AGCTTATCCTTTATCCTTTTCTCTCTATGGATATGCTTGTCGGATCTAATGTTTAAGAACCTTGTTGTGTTTGCTTTTGGATTCTTGTTACATTCATGTTTGGATCTTGATATGTATTATGACATCTTTGTTTATGTTCTTCTAGGAATCTTGTTTGTGTTGTCTTTACAACAAAATACTTGAACAAAAAGACTTAACAAAAAGACCAAACTAAAATTGTCTTAAAAAACAAACAACAATGACCAAACTAGAATTGTCTTAAAAACCAAACAACAATGACCAAACTAGAATTGTCTTTAACAGAAACAACAATGACCAAAACACAAACAACAAAGATCATATGACCAAACTCATTGTTTATATCCATACAACAACCAACAATCGACCAAACTAAACCTACTAGCTTACTACAACCAACAATAACCATGCAACCAACAATGACAACAAGCATCATTTTCTTCACATCGGATTTTGTTGCTGCCAATGTCTCTTCCACTCGCTCAAAAACCTCTCTCTCCATCTTCTTTTGAATCTTCTCAATCACCATATTCTCAAGCATTATTTTGTCTGCTGTAATCTCCCTCACATCCTCTTCTAGCCTATCCAAACAAGAACGCAATGTCTCCACTTCATTCACCAATGCTTCATCAACCCACTTAAAAGCATGATTATCATTGACAAGCTATCATGTACAAGATTTTGAATCAATATCCACAAAATACTACAAAACACATAATAACAGGGGAAAGAACAGTAAGAATGATTTACCCTCTCTGTAGCAGCAAATCCACACCTATAGTATCGACAATATGGATTTGGGTCGGGTTTAGAGATTTTCTCTACCACTAATTCCCCACACCAACATTTCTTTGGCACACCAACAATTCTTCCACGAGCTCGGCCACTTGATGTTCCACTGTAAGCACCAGATTGATAGCTCATCTTCCTCACCCTAATTGAACCTACAAAAACGGAAATCCTTCAATCCATGCGTTAGGAGCTTCTGTCGTCAGAACTCAACCTCCTGAGATCTCACATTACATCTCAGACTACTCAAGTAATCCTAATCTAGCTACAGATTTACAAATTTGTAATTGACGATGTCAATTTCGCAAAATCAAATTTTAGGGTTCTTAGGTGAGAAAGTGATTTGGGGATTTCTGGGGAAATCAAAATTTAAAAGGGCGGGTTTCGTTCGGGTAAAGCTTTCGGGTCGGTCATGTCTCAACCCGGTTTATTTTTGGCGTTGCGTGGTTTGGTTCTCGATTCACTAGCAAACCACAATAACCGACATACAGACCACGGAAACCAACATAAAATAAATAGAGGCTGTGATTACATGAATCTGATAAATGCAAGAATAAGATATATGTTGATAATCAAGACGAAGAGAAGTCGGGAGGGAAATGGACAAAAAGAACAGCTCTATAATCTTCTTTGTATTCGTTATCACAATCCAAAACACCCCTCGCATCACGTGCACCCCTTTTGTTCTCTTTTTCTTCCTCGCTCTTAATTATATATCTTCCTTTTAATTATATTTGGTTAAGAAAAAAACAAACGAACAGATCTCTCTCCGCCGAGCTAGATGACAAAGTTTGGGATTTTTGCATCATGCACATTTGTCCAACTGTCTCCGATATCCGACATCTTCGCCACGTACTAAGAAAGATCAGGTGTCAATTGACACCCCTTAAATATTATAAAAGTGTGAAATGTATCTAAAAGACCAAATAAATCACTATCAAAAGTTGTGTTTATAGTCCAAGCTCGATTCCCATTATTGACCCCTTGACACATTTTTGCCCATTTAAAAACTTTCATGTATTGGCCACTGTCGACATCCAGAGTTTAGATGAGGCTTAAGTGATATATAAAAGACATGAACCCTTTACTTATTACCCATTAGTTTTGAGCTGGATGTCCAGAAAATTTAACATGGTATCAGGATTCGAAGACACACTACTCCACCGGAACCGACATCGTCCATCGAAAGAGACTCGATTAACATGACCTGAAATTGATCCCATAGTAGGATATTGTCAAAACTAATGGCTAGACAAACCATTCTCTCAAATGGGCATGTGAGAATATACCACATCCATAATTTAGATGGGACTTAAGTGATATATAAAAATATGAGCCACTTAACTTATTACCAATTAGTTTTAAGTTGGATGCTGATGAAACTTAACATTTTATCTCAAATTAATATATTAAACATTGATCATGAGATTGATGAGATCTGTGCATTCGGGAGATTGATAAGATATGTGCAACATTCTTGTGTTTGGGACCAGATTTAAACCCAATGAAAAAAAAGAAAAAATACAGCCTCTAGCGAGGTATGTAATCTAAAGGAGGAGGGAGGGCTTGGTTTACGACCCCTCGCGGAAGCCAACAAAGTAAGTTCTTAATTATACTAGGAATTTGACCCGCGCAATGCGCATGATTAAAACTATACCAAATTTTAAAGTTTATTAATTTAATTTAACTATAAGTATTTATAATTAATTATAAAAACCATATATTTAAACTAATGATCTATAATATTTGTTTGTATAGTGATTTTAATTTTGAAAATTTTAAAAGTAATGTTTTTAACTATCGGCTCTTATTTGCATCTCCTTAAATTTATAAGTATCATTTGAATATTATATACGATACATGAACTATTTTTAATTGATTCTTATTTGATACAGTTTTATCATTTACACGTAACATTTTCACATATTTCTATATATAAACAAATGAGCACAATGTTATACATAAATTTGTAAATAATTTTTTTTTCTTTGAATCTTCGAATACTAACTTTCATTTATTATTATTTAAACATGACAATATAAAGAGTTAATGGAAAAATTGAAAAGTCATGGAACATTTGAATTTTTTTTTTCCAAAATGCCACATGTTATGCTCACAACAACCGAAATTGCTGACATATCGCAATCATGAAAAGAGTTATTCTCTTATTATATAGTATAGACTAGATGTTATCCTGCGCTACGTGCAGGTTTCATGTTAAAAAATTTGCACTTTATTTAGCTAAAATTGAAAAACATATAGTATACAATATTAGAATGTAAAATTTATTTTTATATAAATATTATTTATTTGATAAATCTGTTCATTTGAATTTGCTATTTTAAATACAACATTAGACTTGCAATACATTTTTTGAGATGATTTTACAGACTAAAATATATTGTTAAAAAACAGAGTAAAAGGGTGAAAAAGAAAAACAACCTATTATTTTTCTACTTTGAACCTTCTAGGACATATCAAAACTGTAATAATTGTTTTGACTTGATTTTTTAAATTGTTTTGTTGTAGATTTGGATATGGATTTGTATGTTGTGCATAATTAACATCTAGTTATGTATAAAAGAACAGAACATAAACAATTTGCAGTACATATTATTACATAGTGAATTACATAGTGAAAAAGGCGATTCACCTTATACTGAACAAAGCAGAGTTTGTCAAAAAAAACAAAAAAAACAAATCAAAGATGTCCCTTCTCCTCTTAGTATCTCAGCCATATGGACTTGGTATTTTGATCATATGGTCAAACTCTTAATTTGATAATGTTTTCATGATCACCCTCTTTTGCTCCGTATTTTGGGTTATAAGATCTACTTCTCCAAGACATCCATCAACTTCTTATTTGCTGGAAATTCGGGCCACTCCGTTCCAATAATAATCTGCATTACTCAGTTATCTCTAACTAGGAATCTAAGATGTACTACAATGCACTACAGGAAAAAAAATTTTAGAAGTTTATGGTCATAGCTAGAAGTTGTAAATGCTCCTGCTGTTTAAGCCGAGAAACAGTGGATCAGGAAGAATAAGCAACTTTGCAGGTAAAACTTCGAAGTATAAAAACTTGCACACTCCCATACCTGCAACAGTGACTGATTGAGTCTTACTTTGAGAACATGATCTTTAAAGACAGTTTATGACAGTCATAATGGTAGATAAGAACAAAGAACCTGAAAACTTTAAAATAGAAGTTCATGAAAGTGTTGTAGCTGTGTGAAGCAGTGAAGGCCGAACTTAGAGAGTTGTTGGAACAACAAACAGAGTGTTGGAACATCGGCTGAACAGTTAAATCTGGAATCATTTTAATGACGTGTCTTGAGTGCTGAGGTGGACTCGTACGGACAAATCCCACGACCTAGAAGCTGTGCCTTTCGACTGATATAAATACGGAGAAAGGAGGCGTTCTAAAGGTCAGCCGTTTAGAGAACAAAAGTTACAGGATAAGCTTTTGTTCTTGTTGAAAAACCGTAAGGGCATTAAATTGCAGATCGGTGTAGAAACATGGGATTAACTCTGTTGTTAATCTGTGTTTAGTGTAGATTAGAAATCAATTGGTAACAAGCTAAGGGTTGTCTTAGGCTGTGTGTAATTCCAATTTAAGAGTGTGTAAACATCTTGAAAGATTTCTAATAAAGAGAAACACGGTGCGCCGGTGTTTCGGAATCTATTGTCGAGTCCTCTGCTTTTTCAATTGGTATCAGAGCGGGCATCTGAACCAAGTTGTAGCTTTACAACAGGTGAAGATCCTGCGGAAAGATGGACTCGTCAAAGGAGCTGGTAGCTCTGCAGCAAATCCTATTCTCGAGAAAGGAAACTATGGTCACTGGAAATGAAGATGCGAGCTGTCATTCGAGGGGAATCCATGAAGATGCTTGGACTGCTGTTGAAACCGGATGGAGCGCTCCTACTGCTTAGGAGAGGATGGCTCACAGGTTCCTGAAGATAAACTCCTCTGGACAGATGATGAGAAGAGTCTGGCTAAGTACAACGCAAGAGCGATATCCGCTATCTTCAATGCTGTGAATGAAAAACAATTTGAGCGTATAATGTTGTGAGTCAGCAAAGCAGCTTGGGACAAGCTGAAACAAGCCTACGAGGGAACTTCAAATGTTAAAAGATCCAGAATTGACATGCTTGCAACTCGTTTTGAGACTCTACGGATGGGGGAATCTGAGACTATTGAAGAGTTCAGTGGAAAACTCAGCTCAATTGCCAATGAAGCACAAAACATGGGAAGAAATACAAAGACAAGAAGCTGGTCAAGAAACTGTTGAGAAGTCTTCCGCCAAATTCGAGACGAAGAAAACAGCCATGGGAACTGCTCTCGACACCGACAACATGGACTTGGATGAGATTGTTGGTCATTTACAGGCTTATGAGATGGAGATTGCTCCAATTGTGTCGAAATGTTCGAAAGGAATTGCGTTTGTGGCAGATGACCGCAAAGACATTCAAGAGCTCAAGAACGAAATGAGTTTGATGGCGAAAAACTTCAGCAGAGCTTTGAAAAGAGTAGAAAGAGGAAGAAAGAAACCATTCTCAAAGCAATCAAGTGGGGAGAGAGACAACGACAGAACGGAAAAAGAGTGATCAACAATGTCATGAATGTCAAGGTTACGGACATTTCAAATCCGAGTGTCCCACTGCCAAGAGAAAGGAGATCAAATGCTTTGAATGCAAAGGTTTTGGTCACACTAAAGCTGAGTGCAGCGGTTCTGATAGGAAATGAATGAGTGAAAGTGACTCTGAAGATAGTGTTGAAGAATCTGATGGGGTTAGAGATATGTGGCGTTTATGGTTGCTATTGAAGAGAAATGTGACTCATCAGACAGTGAATCAGTTGAAAACAGAAATGAAGACTCATCAGAAGCAGAGGCAACTCTGATAGGAATGTCGTCTGAGAGTGAAGAAGAAGATGATTCATTGATTGATGTTGAACCGGAGTTTCGTAAGTTGTATGACAGTTGGTTGCTATTTGGTAAAGAAAAGCTTTCATGGATTGAAGAAAAAATAGCTTTACAATGTCAGAACAAGGATCTGCGAGATGCTCTAAAATCTGAGGAAGATAAGAACAATCTTCTCACTCAGAAGCTAGCAGAAACCAAAAAGAAGATTCTCATGTTGAATAGTGGAACTAAGGACTTAGACAAAATCCTTTCCATAGGCAGAGTTGGGAAGAGTAATTTTGGTTTGGGTTATCGTGGAGGAGAAGCCAGTGGGAAGACAAAGTTCGTGAATGGAAACTCTCATTTTCCTCAATCTGAGAAACCATGGTGTCCTGATCCTAGTCGTCACAACCAGAGGTCTGAATTCGTGAGGAGTTGCAACATGAGCCGTGGTGTTCAAACACGTAGATTTGATCACATGAAGTTCAGAGAAAGAGTAAAATGCTACTACTGTGGGAGACAAGGCCATATCAAAAGATATTGCCATCAGTTTGCTGATAAAGTGAATGGGATGTTGAGGCAAGGGAGATACTTCCAAAATCAAGACACGGAATCACAAGTTTGGATGGTAAAGTTTGAGCTTCGTTGCATGGTGTCTTATACCTCTGTAAGTACATCTTCCGTCAAGCCATGGTATTTCGACAGTGGCATCTCAACACATGACTGGGTGTGAGGAAGATCTAACGAACTATACTGCCATCAAGGAAAGCAATGTAACTTTTGGTGGTGAATCCCCAGGAAGAATGAAAGGAAAAGGTTCTCTCTCCGACGATGCATTGCCAAAACTGGTAAATGTTTTCTTTGTGAAAGGGTTAACTGCTAATTTGATAAGCATGAGTCAGTTATGCGATCAAGATCTGACAGTGGCGTTCAACAAAGTCAAGTGTTGGGCTTATGATAGTGAAAATCGAATTGTCATGTCAGGAATACGCAGTGAGAACAATTGCTAGATGTGGGCACAATCAAAAGAATGCAAACCTGGTTTCCAAAGTTTTAAGAGTTTATCTTGGTTGTAATCTCTAGATATAAATTTTTCTTTCAAAACTCAGAAACAGAAGCAGTCATTGTAACAATGGTTTTTTATTTTTTTTGTTTGAATAAACTTTACATTCAATAAAAAAAAAATGGTTTTCTGCAAATTAACCCTTCAAGTGGTTTTTGTTTGCAAATTTACCCTCGACTCTAGAAAAATGCATATCAACCCATCAAGTTTGAATTAACCCGCAATATAACCCGTATCTAAAAATAAAAAGTTAAATTATTTTTTTTGGTATTCACATGCAAGTTTATTACATGTATTCAAACTAGTTTTTTTGGTATCCACAGACCAAGTTTATTAAAAGTATTATGTTTGAGTTAATTTATTCTATATATATGATTACAAAATTAAAGTGAATACATGATTCATTAACTTAAACAAGTGTTTAATCTACATTGGATATTGGAAATTAAATATATTTTTTCTATTTCTTAAATAAAGGAGTCAGAGATTCTCTTCAATTCAAAAAAGAAGATGGAAAAAACCTAGTTCGGTTCTATCTCAGTTGTTCGACCACACTAAACTTTTTGGTCTCCAACACAAAGCCTAACACGTGGCTATGAAAACCAATAAGATTTTCAATTTCCTTTGTTATTTATAAACGATGTTTTTTAAATAATTTTTATTAAATACGCGGGTTATATTGCGGGTTAATTCGAACTTGATGGGTTGATATGCATTTTTCTAGAGTCGATAGGTAAATTTGCAAACAAAAACCACTTGAAGGATTAATTTGCAGAAATAAATAATAATTAACATTGATGTAAACGTTGTTTTCCGAATTTTATGTTCTCCAGATTGATGCCATATGTCTTGATGGACTACTAGTTACTAGTACTACAGCCCTTCATGCATGATTCGTGGATCTGTAATCACACCTCCATTGAACTCTTTCTACGAACGTATGTACGGTGACACTTGGTTTCACATTAAAAACCTATTGGTTATGTTTTTTTTTTGTTCTTTTTATGCCAATTGTGAACACCTAAGTATTTAAAATGAATGAAAAGATGAAAAAGAAGTAGGTAAAAATACCTTTATGAACTAACAAGAATAAGACTTAGCTCAACAAATTGAACTGATATTGATAAAAATTGAGTTTACAGCTGAAAATACGATAACTCGTAGAGGGTACAAGTGATTAATCTGTAATAGATAAGTCTCGTGCTTTATTCCTACTTCGTTTATATACCAGGGTCGACTTCTAACTATGACGCGAATATCAAAAATGCGTTCTTTGGATTTTATGGGATCTCCTGGAACAGCTTTGACCAAATTTTAAGTAACGAGCTTGAGAGTCTGCATATGGCAGCTCGTTAGTTATGAATAATGGAGAAGGTCTTTGGATAAATGGGTTTCATCAAGTAGAATTTAAATGGATCTTTGTTAGGTTTCAACATGGACCAGATTTAGGTACAAAATCTAGTTCGCTGAAACCAGAGTACTAGAGTATCCTTTCTTTTTTTTCTCTAATTCTATGCATTAATCTTCTAATGAGGGAGTACTATTGTCTTTGCTCCTCTTTTGGTAGGCCTTATAATAGGTTGTTTAGTGAAGTCTCTTCTCATGGGTGGATGATTTCTTTGGCAATAGTCGAGTCTTCACGGCAGTGGAAGAAACCAGTGTCGCTGTTCTAAACTCTACAGCAGACCACGTGTCCTAGCCTTATCTCTCTAGGGTACACATTTATTGACATGTAGCAATTTCATTTTCATCCAAAAAGTTCACGTGCTGGCTTAATTGTATTATGGGCATTTAGAGTTTGGGTTTTCATGTAGTATATGTATCTACCCATGTTAATGGGTTTTCTCTTTCCATAACAAAATGGATCATTGCCAACAAAAGAAAAAAGAATTAACCAGGAAATTTCCTGGACAAAAACTTTGAATCTTCTCAATATTTTATTTCTATCTCCATAATCCGAATTTGATCTATGACGGCTCTGTTGCGGCTCTGCATAATAAATAAATTATCGGTCAAAACAATTGAGAGTATTCTTTAGATAAGTTGGTTGAGGTCATGAATGAAGGAGAAAAAGGTTGTACAGTTCGAGTCTCTGTCTTCTATTGTAACTTTCTAATTTATTTATTTATTTACAAGCCTGAAATTGATTTTTGCTTGCAACTTGCAAGTGAAACTAGTAGAGTATCTGCACGTTTGTGCGGTGTGCCATTGTGGTTTTGTGTAGAAAATTTAAATTCGAAATCCGAACCCGACAAAAAACTATAATGAAATTTTAAAAACCCAAACTTTTTTAATACGTCTAAACCCGAAAATCTGAATTAAAAAAAAAATCATGAAAACCATGATCTGAACAAAAAAAAATATGGAAACTTTTTCACCCGGAACCCGACCCAAATACCCTAATCAAAATTTTAAAATACTCAAATTTTTTTTAATATATCTAAACCTGAAAACCCGAAATCCAAAAAATCCAGAAAACCCTAAACTGAAAAAAAACTCGACCCAACACGAACATAAATATTCAAAGAAATCCGAACAATTTCTATATCTCTATAAATTAGGTCTCAGATTTTCACTCAATCTCGAACTTATCTATAAAAACCCGAAAATCCAAAAAGCATATACTATTGATTTGGTATTAACGTTAGATTATGTTAATTTTTTTTTTCGTAGATTTTTAAGAGTTGGAAAACGGAAGTTTTCTAAACCATCGGTTTGTTTTAAGTTATTATTCTATCCAAATAGCTTTTTCTCGGGTTGACGATCTATTTCCCCCTGTCGAAACTTTTATAGCATCACTTCCCCATGAAGTTTGACCCTCGTTCCAATTCCCCATCATTTAAAAGTTACCTATCTATTTCACCCCAAAACAAAAGTTACCTATCTATTTCACCCCGAGATTTAAACTAATTGGTTAGATGTTGGTTTCCGTGGTCTGTATGTCGGTTATTGTGGTTTGCTAGTGAATCGAGAACCAAACCACGCAACGCCAAAAATAAACCGGGTTGAGACATGACCGACCCGAAAGCTTTACCCGAACGAAACCCGCCCTTTTAAATTTTGATTTCCCCAGAAATCCCCAAATCACTTTCTCACCTAAGAACCCTAAAATTTGATTTTGCGAAATTGACATCGTCAATTACAAATTTGTAAATCTGTAGCTAGATTAGGATTACTTGAGTAGTCTGAGATGTAATGTGAGATCTCAGGAGGTTGAGTTCTGACGACAGAAGCTCCTAACGCATGGATTGAAGGATTTCCGTTTTTGTAGGTTCAATTAGGGTGAGGAAGATGAGCTATCAATCTGGTGCTTACAGTGGAACATCAAGTGGCCGAGCTCGTGGAAGAATTGTTGGTGTGCCAAAGAAATGTTGGTGTGGGGAATTAGTGGTAGAGAAAATCTCTAAACCCGACCCAAATCCATATTGTCGATACTATAGGTGTGGATTTGCTGCTACAGAGAGGGTAAATCATTCTTACTGTTCTTTCCCCTGTTATTATGTGTTTTGTAGTATTTTGTGGATATTGATTCAAAATCTTGTACATGATAGCTTGTCAATGATAATCATGCTTTTAAGTGGGTTGATGAAGCATTGGTGAATGAAGTGGAGACATTGCGTTCTTGTTTGGATAGGCTAGAAGAGGATGTGAGGGAGATTACAGCAGACAAAATAATGCTTGAGAATATGGTGATTGAGAAGATTCAAAAGAAGATGGAGAGAGAGGTTTTTGAGCGAGTGGAAGAGACATTGGCAGCAACAAAATCCGATGTGAAGAAAATGATGCTTGTTGTCATTGTTGGTTGCATGGTTATTGTTGGTTGTAGTAAGCTAGTAGGTTTAGTTTGGTCGATTGTTGGTTGTTGTATGGATATAAACAATGAGTTTGGTCATATGATCTTTGTTGTTTGTGTTTTGGTCATTGTTGTTTCTGTTAAAGACAATTCTAGTTTGGTCATTGTTGTTTGGTTTTTAAGACAATTCTAGTTTGGTCATTGTTGTTTGTTTTTTAAGACAATTTTAGTTTGGTCTTTTTGTTAAGTCTTTTTGTTCAAGTATTTTGTTGTAAAGACAACACAAACAAGATTCCTAGAAGAACATAAACAAAGATGTCATAATACATATCAAGATCCAAACATGAATGTAACAAGAATCCAAAAGCAAACACAACAAGGTTCTTAAACATTAGATCCGACAAGCATATCCATAGAGAGAAAAGGATAAAGGATAAGCTTGTTCAAGCCAAAAAAGCCAACTAAAAACATCTTCCATTCTCTTTTACCATGGAGCCCAATTCTCAGTCTGAGAATGCTGAACTTGAGAAGCATGATCTTGAGAAGCATCCACCTGAGAAGACTCACCATTTGGATTCTACAATACAATAAGAGATATGTTTACATTCGCATCAACAAACATTATAAATTTCACTAGACACATCATCAACAAAAACAAACCTTTTTCGACTTCTTCTTAGGCCTTGAGTTGTTATTAGCTTGAGAAGCATAATCTTGGGAAGCATGATTTTGAGAAGCATCAACCTGAGAAGACTCGTCATTAGGATCCTACAATACAAACAATAATCAGATTCGCACAACAACAAACATTATAAACTTCACTAGAAAATAGAAAAGTACCAAATACAGAAACCTTTTTGGACTTCTTTTTAGGGCCATGAAACCTTGAGTTGTGATTAGCTTCTCCACATATTCCACAATGCGTCACTCTCTTCAAAAGCTTTGTTTTCTTCTTAGTTGGTGACTCATTTTTTCCTTTCTTCCTTTCCTTATCGTTCTTCTTGAACTTGGTTTTTTTCCCTTTACCTTTTTTCTTCTTGCCTTTATCATTCTCCTTGTCGCCTTTGTCCTCTGGTGGAGGAGGTGGATGCACACTTGGTCCATCTCCAACTGGCCAAAACTTTGCACTTCTTAGTGGAACGAGACCTTTATCATAGGTTATCCTCCACAGAGATGTCCTAAACCAGTGACACACATACTCTTGAGACGGACCTTTAACATGTAAAATTACTGCATAAGCATGCGGACAAGGAATTCCTGTGATCTCCCATCTCATACACGAGCAAGTCCTACAAGGTAGACTAACACGATGAGAGCTTCCTTGGTATATAACGAGCCATTTGTTATTTGTTACTCCTATAAACCTTAGCTTCCTCAACCTTCTCTTTTTCAAGCATCTACTCGAGATACTCAATCACATATGGAGTGCATAGGCTTTCATGTCCACCGGCTATGACATCTCTCTTCGCAATACACACCATTGTGAGCCTAGCTATTGTCTCAAGCATAGGCACAATCATCTTCTCTCTGGCTTTGGAGACTGTGCTGTTCCACGATTCTGTGGAGTTATTCTCCACATCTTCACAGTAGTTTCCGATCTTGTAGAATGCCCTGCACCAAGTTTCAGGTTTTTGCTTCATAACATCTTGGTAAACAACAAAGTCCCATTCTTTAATCTGCTCCAAGTTCGCTCTAAAATCAGCCTCACTGTAGCTCCAAGCTAGCTGCAAAACTAATCCCTTCATCTCCGGTTTCTTGCCATGCTTAGCTTTTAAGTTTCCATAGATGTGTCTAAAACACATTCTATGTTCTTAGGCAGAGTCTTTTTCGCGGCGCTTATCAATCCCTGCAAAGCACAATCACATTCACTATAAACCATTTCACAAGGACATATAATTTAAAGACATAAAGAGCAAAATCTCTTACCTTTTGCCTGTCCGATGCCAGAATGTAGTTGTCGCCATCTTCTAAGCCCAAATCAAATTTGATCTTGTTCATAAACCACAACCAATTGTCTGTGTTTTCAACTCGCACAATACCCCAAGCTATAGGATATATAGCATTGTCTGCATCTCTACCTAAAGCTACCAACAACTGCCCACTTATCGTTGATTTTAAGAAGGTTCCATCAACTCCTATAATCAGCCTGCAAGTGTGTTTCCACTTTCTCCTAATTATATCAAAGCAAACGTAGAGTCTGTTGAAGACATCTAAACCTTCTGTATTCTTTATGCAGTCAATATCCACAGAAGAACCCGGATTAGACTCGAGTATCTCGGCTCCATAATCTCGAAGTCTTGAAAACTGCTCCTCATATTCTCTCCTTATCCATTTCAGAGCTTCATTTCTAGCAGCTTGGCACTGAGCCCTTGACACGACGATCCTAAAACAGCTCTTGATCATTTCTTCAATCTTCATTGGCATGAAGTACTCAGGTTCATCTCGAATCTTATGCAGAAACAACCTTGCAATCACAGGAACTTTTAACATCTCACACTCTCCATTCACATCAAAAATATGTATATTTCTATACACCTTCACTTGCCACTTGCTGATTTTTCCCGAGATAGAACAATAGACATACCATTTGCAGTTTTTGCCTCCACAATTAAAAGCAATTTGATCTTTATCATACCTGCATTGCTTGATATTCCGAGCAGTTTTCAATGCATGGTCTAGGACAGCCTCTTTGAAGACTACACCATTGATGAACTCTTGCCCTTCAAGCAAGTTCCCAGCGCCTCTCTTCGGCTCGCTCCTCTTAGGGTTGCGTTGACCATGCTCATGTTCACCATTCTCATATTCTTCCTTCTCCTCTTCATCACTCTCTGTATCTGGATACTCATCATGTCTAACTCGAGGCTCATCTTCAAACTCTTGAATAGCTTTTTCGATTTCGTAATCGCTTCTCTCCCGTCGAGATTCACCGTCGGAATCGTACTCATCTTCCAGAATGAGAACATCGTGCCACTCCATTAGAGCATTTGGTGTTCCAAGCTCCAGATTTTGGTTGATTTTGCGAGAATCAAAAGTTTCGACTTTTAGGGTTCTTGAGTCGCGAATTGGGGATTTTCGATTTTGAGGATTTGAATTAGATTTGGGGTAATCGGGTTCAAATCGAGAGTTAATGGGTCTAATTCTGGTTTAATGTGGTCAAATCCGGTTTACTATTTCGCTTAACGAGTTAAACAATGATTTGGTCTACAGTGAACCGATTCTAATCGACTTTATGTGCAATTCGTTATTTAACTTTCATTCTATGGGGAATCAGATATTTAACTTTCATCTCGGGGTGAAATAGATAGGTAACTTTTGTTTCGGTGTGAAATAGATAGGTAACTTTTAAATGATGGGGAATTTGAACGAGTGTCAAATTTCGTGTGGAAGTGATGCTATAAAAGTTTCGATACGGAGAAATAGATCGTCAACCCCTTTTTCTCTTATTCTTGTATCCAAACATTACAATGTACTAAATTGACCCTAATTAAATATGTTGTCAAACACTTTTTCTTCATAATTAGATTGGTTTTTTGGTCATAAATTTTTCATGTACTTCTCAATTAATAATATAAAGATACAATAATAGAGAATGGCCAAATTTATAATTTTCCATTTATTAAGCCCCATTATGACTTTGTATAAATTAAAATAGAGAAATTTGGCAAAATACTCCACATTTAGGGAAGAGTTGTCCATATACTCTTTTTTTGCCGAATCTTGTCTAATACTCTTAATTAAAATTTAAACCCAATTTTAACCCTCAAATCACATTTTAATAGAATTTTATTTTAAATAACATATTAAAAGTTAAATAAATTAATAAACAAAGAATTAAAAATATGGAAAAGCAAAGAGAAGTGTTTGTCATCGTCTTATACATAGATATACAACATAAAAATGTAGAAGAAGAAAACTGAAACAAATAATATAAAAGAAAACTAGGTAAAAAATAAGAGAAAAAAAAAGAGGAACAAGAAGAAGATGGAATAGATGAGATTTTTTTGTTTTTTCTAAGAAAATAAAATAAAAAGGAAATATTGTTTTTTCAAAAGATTCTAATATTCAGTTACCATTTTATTATATTCTCATATTCTCGTAGAAGATGCATTTTACTATTTCGTAGAAAAATGTGTTTAAGGTAGATTACAATTTCTACAGGCGGTAGAAGATAATTTTTTCGGGAAAATACACAATCTACTAATAGTAGAAGAGAATATTTTCAGTTGAACATGAATTCTCCAAATAGTGGAAGAGAGTGTTTATGGTAGAATACAATATCTACAAACGGTAGACAAACAGTATATAAATTATACCTGTGGTAGATAACCGTGTAGAACGTAGAACAAATGTTTTACGAATCTACCAAGTCGTAGAACATTGACTATCTAGCAGAGAGCAAATTCTACGACGGTAGAAAGTACAACAGTCGGTAGAATTTACGCTCTACGATATATAGATGTGAGAGCATATAGTAGAAGACATATTCTACTTTGAATATCGAATTTGGTAGAAGCAAACTTTATTTATTTTTCTGAGGTTTAAATTTTTTTTAAAAACTGTGAAAATATTCTCTAACATCTTAGAATCATTTTACTGAATTTATTTAAATTTTTTGAAGTTTTGAAAATATTTATTTCATTGTTAACATATACAAGGACAATATAGTCTAAAATAGGTAAATTTAAAAAAAAAAATGTAAGAGGACAAGAATTCTCTTATTTGGGGGTATATTCACAAATTTTTCATTAAAATAACTAGGAATTGAACCCGCGCGAAATCGCGCAGGAGCTCGTTTTTTATAAATTTGTTTACAGTATCTGTATTTCAAAACTTCAAATAATGTAAACAAATGAGATGCTAGTTATGATCGTAAATAGTACTGCTTGCTGTAAAAAAATATCAAAACATAATAATTTCATCCAGTTATATATTTAAAAACTATCTTACAAGACATCTTTGATTTGGTGAATTGGATAAACACATAACCAATTACACACCACTAATTTGGTGACTTCGTTTTTGTTAATTCCATTATTGATACATTATAGTTTTGAAACACTTGCAAACAAAAACCTATAATATTTTAAAACGAGTTTGTTAACAATACTCATGTCAAGGTACCATACAAATTTCAACGCATTAAGACTATATTAAACATACATATGTTAAGTCAGACAAAACGAAATGAAATGAACTGACGGAGCGGAAGTATTCACAAGTCACAACACATGGATAACTTTGAATTATGAGGATGTTAGCCTAGCCTTTGTAAATTCATTGAATTCTTAGAGAAGGTCCGGAAGTGAGATCAAGAAATGGGTCTTATGCAATAGCTCTTAAGAGAAATTTGTTTTGAAAAATCAAAGGTAAAGATTTACAAAAGAGTAATCTGCTATTTATAAGCTCAGAAACCTGACTAAGTTGTAAAAGAAATAGAAAACCGAAACAAAAAGTAAATGATAAATAGGGAAAACTAACAATCTGTAGCATAAGTTTAAAAAGCAATTTCGATTTCGATAAAAGCATAAGTTTAAGGTATTAAACCCAATTTTGAAACTTTAAAAAGAAATAGCAACGACAAAAAATGAGTAAAATTGTTCAAATCTAAAATTAAAAATGAAATATATATAGACGAAACAATATATAGAAATATAATTAAAAAGACAATATATATTGTTAAAAGACACAACTGTTAGTAAAATTAAGCAGTTATAAGTGAAAGGACGCATAACAAAAAGACACAACCATATAAATAAAATGTTTGTAAACAAAATTTACAACTGTAAAATGCATTTATTCATTTTGTAATTTTGTATTTATTTAGAACTAATGAAAAGATTATCTAAAATCAATTTTATGAACTTCTCTTTCAAGATCTAGATGTTCTGTTCAATAAATCGTTTTCCTAATCAGAACAGTTTCTGAAAAATATATTTACCGGATATATGAGAAATGCAAATTGGTTATAAATAAAAATATGCATAACTAAAGACACAACTGCATAAATAAGTGGTTATAAGCGAAAAGGTTTGTAACAAAAGATACAACTATAGAAAAAGATTTACTCTGTTTGCATTTATTTATAACTGATGAATTAATTATCTAAAATCAATTTTATGAACTTCTCTTTCTAGATCTAGATGTTCTGTTCAATACATCGTTTTCCTAATCAGGACAGTTTCTGAAAATTATATTTACAGGATATACGAAAAATGCAAATTGGTATCTTCCTAATTACGACCACGATTAACAATGAAGTCATATCATATCACTTTAACTAGACTAATGCCCGCGCATACGCGCGGGTTTTGTTGTTGTTAAAGTTTTTAAAAAATGCTCGAAAACAATTTTAGATTTGCGATTAATATTATAAAGTATAATCCAATAATATCCATATTTAATTCCTATTTGTTGGTTAGCGACTGACTTTCAAACATATATTTTTCTATCATACCACATGTCTATGAACCATTAACTCTCTTTGTTTACTCACGACCACATAGAACGGACTCTGATTTTCCGCCATCGATTTTTGCTAAATCCATTTCTCCATATATTAGGAGAATTTAGATGTTTAATAATAACTTAAGATGGAAGCCAAATGTAAAAGTCTTGGATTAATAGAGTGATTTTTATTATCATAAGTTGAAATGTATAAGATTTAGAGTTATTGACTGGAAAGAAGAGGAAAAGTCATGCCACAATATCAATTAATGGAGTGTTGATACAACGTGGAAGGTGAAACAACTGACGGTTTTGAAACCTATTATAACTGTAACGACTAAGAATGCGAAGAGACTGCTCTCTTTAAAAGTTTTGCCACATGTCAATCATATGGAGAGAGTTGGCCTCAATTCATATATATGATTTCAATATTCTTCCCAAAAGTTTAAATCTCCACTAATCATTAATCAAATTTCAAGATGTGAAGCATTTTTTCATGCAAATACATTTACGTGTATTCGTTACGGAAACCAACATCACAATTCAAACCATAAATCCAAGCATTTACAAGTTACAACGATCACAATTCATGAATTAATTTTGTAACTTTTATTTAATTTTGAAGTCCCATAACTGTATTCAAAATCATTCGTTGTCACAAGGCTACACTTCACTAGCTTTGGACCTCTAAAATATTTTTCTTTCATTATAGTTTTTTGCGTATAACCATTAATCAAATTACAGATCACCAAAATACTTTATCGATCGAAAGTAAAACATAAAAAATAAAAAATAAAAATTATCGATTATGCATGCACATGTGTCAATGAAATTCCAAGATGTGAAACATTTTTCATGCAAATGCATTTACAGAAACTGTATTTGTTACGTAAACCAACAACACAATTCAAATTAAATCATAAAACCTCCTCCGTTTTTCTGGTGTCTCCTCGGCGTTCAGTACGACCATCCTCCATTTTCTCGCTGCATTGTTTTTGTATATCGTTAATTCTACTCGGTTTTCTTATGCTCACACACATCAAAATTCATCCACTATTTTGTTTGAGCCTGTGAATCGATGTATTGATTTCCTCAGTTACGTAGAGATAAATAACCAGGCCCGGCCCAAACAGAAGTTGGGCCCTGTGCCCAGAAAATTTTAAAATCAAATTTAGTGACATTAGTTAATAAATTATAAAATCTGGACCCCTAAATGTATAAATTTAAACAATTAAGGACCCTAAAATGTAATAACAATAAGTTAAAAAGTGGCATGACACGGTGCAAAAGCACTGCCAGCACACCCCTAGGGCCGGGCCTGTAAGTAACCATTAGAATTTTACAAGACAAAGTTGATCATCCAAAAATATGGTTAGGTGACGTCAATAACAACATCCATATTGATTATTACAATATAAATGATGAGATTTAATATATGATACACATAGTTGATCACATGATGATTAAAAGAAAATAATGTTTTTCTATTACAATTAACCTATATTTTAGAGCGAATAAGTGAAGATGGAAAGATATTGAAAATATAAACCAAAATAAGAACAAAAATTTGTAACTTTTTGGAGATTTTTAATTCTGACAAAATATTTATTGTGGGCTCAGGAAATATGACATTGGAGAAGGCTATGGAAATGTTTTCAAAACAGCAGCAACCATCGCTCATGTTCTTACGATTTACAGACTAAAAATGAAAATAGCAATGGTCTTCAAATTCGGTAGATCTACACGAAAGCGTGAAAAATTATAAAATTACGAGTTTGTGAATATAGTTTTGAAAGAAAATGTAGAAAGAAATATGGCGAAGATTCAGAAAAAGCTTTTATCAAACTACGACTTGAGAAAATTATAAAATTGTAACTCAGGCATCAAATAATCTTACAGAATATATATAGAAGTGAAAATGTATTACTAAGAGGTGCAACTTTTCAATAATTTAGCGGTTATAAGTAAAAAGATGCGACTTGAAAGACACAACTCTTTATTTGACAGTTATAGATAAAACAGTTAAAAACAAAAAGGCACTACCTTTTTTTTTTATACCCGCAGAAACGGAACTAAAGTTATATGAACGAATACAAAAACATTGCCTTGAATTCAATCGAACCAAATAAGTGTTATCGATAATTCATATTGAAATATTTTAAAATAATACATAAAAAGTGGTGTCTTTTCACATCGAAAAAAATAAAAATTCAACAAAATTAACCTATAATTTTGACTTGAATAAACAGTCGAAATTCTAGATACGCTTTAGAATCATTCAAATGCAAACACAAAAGACATTCATTAATTCTAGATACGCTTTAATATATTTACAACTTATCAATTAGTTCTAGTTACGCTTTAGTATCATTTCATGATTCCATCGACTACAAAGTCAAATATATATCATTTCAAGTTTTAACTTAAGTGACATTCCAACAGTGCGGTGATCATTACCTCTGTGTGATGTTTTATAGTTTGTAGGTTGAAAACGTTAATGGCGTGACGGCTTCTTGATTAAGGCTCCGAATGGGAATGAGTAGTGCGGTATAAAAAATATAGTGGGGCGGTGCGGTTTATGCAAAAGAAAAGCGTTATGTGGGAGAAGTGTGGTTTCTGAAAAATAAGCGGAACAATGTTTGAATGGTGACTATCACAAATATAGTATAAATATAATAACTATTAAAAATTTAAATTACTTCCATTATTTTCTTTTCTTGAATAAGAGTTTAGTAACTAATGAAATAAATAAGCATGGTTTTTCTAAAAATAACATAAAATTTAAAAGTAAAAAAAATATAAGAACCGCACTTGAAACATACCAAATTGGGTGTGTTACAAAATTGAAGTGCGTTTGACAACTTTTCAATTGATTTTGTACACTATGTGGGTCCTTTCAATATTTTCATTTTTTAATTAACAACCACTCTTTAGTTAAATTAATATGATGAATGGTGACATGAAGTGCGTTTAAAATAAAAGAGTCAATAAACGCCGCAAAGATGTTTCCATTCATAGCCTAAATGTGTGTGTATAGATATTGATCTTTGCATTTTAATACTGTATATCACTTTGATTTGATGTGCGGATAGCCAGATATAATAGAAGTTTCTCACAAAACATTACTTCCATATTTTTCTCGGGAAGTGAACAAAAGTAGAGAAGTGAGTGACCCAATGAGGACGGGAAGGAGAATAATGGTCCTCCCAGAGGCGATAATGGTGGAGATCGTTGGGAGATTACCCTTGAGAAGCATTGCAAGATTCAAATCAGTGTGCAAATCATAGAAATCGGTAACAGAATCGTCTCTTAGGATTCGAATGGTAACAGAGGATTTGAGTGGTACGGAACTAAAAATTAAAGCGGGACGGTGCGGTTTATATGAAAAACGCATTATGCGGAATAAGTGTAGTTTTTATAAAATGAGCGGTACGGGATAATGTTTGAATGGTAACAATTGTTAGTGTAATAATGAGTAAATGTTTTTAAATAATTATAATTTTCAAAATATTTATTTCTTTGATTATAAGAAGAGAAAAGATAAAATTGTAGTTATATAAAAAATTTAAATTTTTTTTGAATTAAAAATAATTATAGATAAAAGGTAACGCACCTAAATAACAGCAAAAATGTGATGTTTTGAAACGCATAGAGTGGATTACAAAATCCAAAGAAAACTGAAACGCACTTTTTACTTTAACTAATTTATTTATTTGATTTTATTAAACAAATGAAAGAGTAAAATATGTTGAATGGTGATCAACTTTTGTCCCACACCTCGGACCACTCGTCCCGCCATATACATTCACAGCCTTAGGCTTCGAATGGTAACAGAGGATTTGAGTGGTACGGAACTAAAAATTAAAGCGGGACGGTGCGGTTTATATGAAAAACGCATTATGCGGGATAAGTGTGGTTTTTATAAAATGAGCGGTACGGGATAATGTTTGAATGGTAACAATTGTTAGTGTAATAATGAGTAAATGTTTTTAAATACTTATAATTTTCAAAATATTTATTTCTTTGATTATAAGAAGAGAAAAGATAAAATTGTAGTTATATAAAAAATTTAAATTTTTTTTGAATTAAAAATAATTATAGATAAAAGGTAACGCACCTAAATAACAGCAAAAATGTGATGTTTTGAAACGCATAGAGTGGATTACAAAATCCAAAGAAAACTGAAACGCACTTTTTACTTTAACTAATTTATTTATTTGATTTTATTAAACAAATGAAAAAGTAAAATATGTTGAATGGTGACCAACTTTTGTCCCACACCTCGGACCACTTGTCCCGCCATATACATTCACAGCCTTAGTCTCTCTTCACAAAAACTCGCCTTTCTCCTGGTCACTCATGTTCCGCACTCACTATCTTCATGGCATCACAGAATCTCTAGGCTGCCATGGATGCGAGACATGGGGTCTTCCCAAATCTCTAGCTTCTTATATCATGCCTCTTCAATGGTATCTGCTTTTTCCTGCCTCTTATATAGTTTCTTCTAATAGATTAATCTGGATCAAGGCCATTCTTGACCGCGCTGAGAACATAGTCTTCTATTATAAAAAGTCCTTGGTTGGTAATCCAGTTTTACAAGAATAGTTTGAAATCCCTTCGCCTCCAGAGCTGTGTCAGGTCACTAACACTAACGCGTGTTGAGGACAGCGTCGTTTCAAGCTTCAAAGTTGTTAGGATTTGTCAAAACAAAGATGGAGAAACGAATGTGTGGAGAGTTTGTATGTCTTCGTCTGGGACAGGGAAATGGGCTTTCAAGCGACTTTTCTTCTCTCGTCCTGTTAGCTTGACTGGTTGTCACCTTTGCATGAATCTCAACGGGATGCTTTATCTGTATTCTATTGAATCTGGTGTCCTTATCACTCATGACTTTTATGGCCCTGGAGATGATGATCAGTGTCTAGTTATACCTCTCTTTGTACCTGTCCCATATAATAGCCATGCGAGTAAGGAAAGAATCAATTAAAAAAAAAACAAAAAATGAGAGAAATTGGGAGAACAAATAAGAAAAGATTTATGACAGGTGAAAAAATATGTAATCAAACGAAAATAATCTTACACAACATATACGTATATAGAAGTGAAAAGGTATCACTAAAAGATGCAACTTTTCAATAATTTAACGGTTATAAGTAAAAAGATGTGATTCGAAAAGACACAACCTTTAAATGAGCGGTTATAGATTAAACGGTTAAAAATGAAAAGATACGATAATAAAAGACATTTGTTCATTTTGCTATTATATATAGATAATCCATTGCAGGAAAGTTTAGGGGGAAAGAAAATGTAAAAGTCAAATGTGTGGCGCAGGTGAATTGAGAGAGAGACAGAGAGATGATAGAAAACAGCCGCCATTTTGCTTAGCCCGATGTCTGTTTTTGCCGACAAACACCCTAACTTCTCACTTCTCATCAGTCAAAAATCAAATATAAATATATACTAGTATAAGTCTATAATATAAGACGTTAATTTGTTCCTTTTTTTTTTCTTTAATAAAAGTACAGTCTTTTATTTTTCTTTTGGTATTTATAATTACACAAACTCCAAAATAGTCGAAAACGAGAGACGTTGCTACCGAAGCTAATCAAATTGCTAATTTCAAAGCTGCCAAAATTATTTAAAATGGATAAAAAGTTGATTAGCTGCTGGTCAAACCCTCTATATCACTTCTAGATCTTAGGTTTCGAACAATATGGGTTATTCATGGCCAATTGGCCATTTTTGATTATGAATGTTTTTTAACAGCACTTGCTCCGTTGGAATCAATTAATGGAATTATTTTTGTTTTATTCTACTCAAATGGTAACTTTTCTCTGTGAATGAGTCATCCTACAAAGTTTAATCCCACAAAACAAAGATCTAGTGTAGCCTCTGAATTAAAAACAACCACAACAGTAAAAGTGAAATAACAAAAGAGACTAATACGACGATGTTCCGGCAGATTGAACCTGGAGGAGGTGGTGGAAGCAATCAGCTGCTGTCGGTCGGTTCTCTTGGTTCGGCTCCAAACACTTGCCTTGAAGTTCTCTCAACATCTTTGGCACATTACTCAATCCACAAGTCTTTATCATATAACCCACTCCCCACACATCCACCTTCACCGCATGCAGTCCCCTCTCCATCTCCGGCGCGTGTCTCTCACGCTCCTCCTCCTCTTCCCCCGCGGGACGGTGAGGGTTAAGCTGTGGTGCCTCAACGGCAGCGTCGAACCCGCAAACAAACCACTCCGCGTCTGTTGTTGTTCTTCTCATAACATTTTCCCATCCCATGTCACGATGCATGAACGAAAGGTCGTGAAGCGCAACGAGCGCTCTCGTCACACACATCAGCGACTCGATGAGCTGGTCAACGTTACAAGGTTTGACTCTGATCCCACGTGGCTTAAAACTCAACGAGAGATCCTTCTCGCTTGCCCTATCCAAATGCTCCGCGTGTGGAACTCTTTGGTCGAGAAAATCGTAGATTTCTTTCACTCCGCTCCATTTTCTCTTGCTCGAGTAATACTTAGTCGCCGTGTGAGGTGTAACCTCGGTCACGAAATCTCCATGATCGATTCTCTGGAAGTCGCTGTAACACAAAGGCCTCGTAGTGCAGTGGTCTGCAAGCAAAGGTAAAAGAGAAGCGAGACGGTAACAAGGAACCAAGGCCTTGATTCGATCGGATGGTGAGGATACGTCGAATGAATAAAGATCGGTGCAGATCAGTCGATCTTGCGAAGAACGGCTCAAAGCACAGAAAGTTACGGTGAGACCTATTGCGTGATATCCAAGAATGTATGGAAGATCGTTGTACGACCAAAGAATCTTCTCGGCCAATAGAGAAGAAGGATCAGCTAAACCTTCACGGACTTTATCAGCCTCTTCTCCTCTCCATAAACCATATCCTTTCACGAATCCCATCACGTTTGGCCACTGATCTTGAACGTTGTCAACGTAAGACGAAGAATCCGGTTTACGCAAAACCACCATGTCACAAAACTTTGAAACCAGCCGGTTCACGCAGTCGTCCCAAAGCGGGATCAGCGAGTCTTTGCTCGAGATGACGAAACCGTTGTTAGGGTTTACGCGAGTCATTATGGGGCTGATGATATCATAAGTGATTGCTCTACAATCTAGTAGCTCGGAGGAGGAGGTGGAAAAGAAAAGCTCTTTCCCTGTCGGCAAGTCTTTGTAGACGTCTCGTCGGAGAGGAAATCGGAGATTTTCCGGCGGTGGTTCTTGAAGATAGCGTGCGAGCTCAAATATGCTCGGAAGATTTCCTGCCGGCAGAGACAATTTACTCAAGCAATAGTCCGATGGGTCTTGGAACTCCAATGTTGATATTGCTGCATTATAGCATTAGTTCACATGTTAATAATAGAAATACCGCTTATTTGACAAACTTTGAAGCTACAAGGTTAAAAATAAATTTACATTTATAAATGGGTTCTGCGAGTGGAAGCTGACCTCGATCAAACAAACCTGTCATATTAACTGATAAACAACAAGCATATGTATTAATAATAACATTAGAGAGTTCCATTAACTTTCCTCTTTAATTTATATATTTATCACAATGGATTATCTGGTCAAACAAAACCTGCCACTTAAGCTAGAAAAAGACAAATTTCTTATAAGATTAGACAGCTATAATGAATTGTTTCTCTTCAGTTTGGAGTTAACATTTACATTTACTCCCTCTATCAACTAGCTGATCATCTTTGTTTTTTATTTTTCTATATTATTAGTTAATGAATTCCTCTCACACATTTCCTCGCTCTATAGAGGTTCATTGCATTGATTTCCTGTTAAAATAAGTTATAAATAATCTCTCACTAAACGAATGTATATGTGAGTGTACAAAAAAGAAAAAACCAAAGAGGGAGCTAAGACTAGAGACTATAGAAGTTCATAGCATTGATTTCCTGTTTAAATAATCTATAATAAATTTCTCTGTAAACGAATGTTATATGTGTGTGTTACCTGAAGGTGAAGGAGCAGATGATGAATTTGACTTTCGTCTTCCAAAGACTTTAAGATGTTGACCAGAAATGAATTTATCCAAAGAAAATCCCTTGAGAGGTCCATCTTCGAAAGATTCCATTTTACAAGCTACCATGGAATCATCCAAGTACGTGAGCTCGTCGGCATTCAAGAAACTCGACCCACTAACCCTAATTCTCCCAAAATCAGCATCTCCTTCTTCAGCCCACAAGTTAACTGATTCCTCCCAAGTTAACCGTATTTTCCCAATACGGCGAAGATCTTTTAGAGAAGAAGACGAAGAAGAAGAAGAAGGGATCGTCTCGGAACAAGGATGGTATATCGATCTATTAGAGAATAAACATGATCCTCTAGCAGTGTTGTGTGAATACGGATATTGAGTATGATCATCTCCAACTATTGATAATGCTAATCGCTTTCCTCTTCCTACAAAGTACGTAAATTAAACAATTTTTTTACTCAAACATTATGAAAATAATTTAGAAAAAAAAGTTTCATAATCTTTAGACAATTTCATGTTTCTTCAATTCTAATCAATAAGAGCAAGCATAGACAACTAAAATAAATAACAAAATCTACAGTCCAAATACGCAGTGTGGTATAATGTGACTATTAAATAACATTATACCATCAAGTCAATGAATAATAAATGAATAAATTATATAGAAAGTAAGATAATTAAAATTTTACCGATGGAAGGGATAGGGCTACAAAGCCTATGATCAATATCATCGCTTCTTGAAGTCATCAACGGTGGTGGAGGAAGAGGAAGCGCGTCAACAGACGGAGACGTTAAGGTAACATCTGCCGGAGCTCCGCCACTACCACGGTGGCTAACAGTTGGAGCTCTTGCACGTGGACCCATGAAAAGAGCCAATTCTTGGTACACTTCTTCGTCGAAAGACGCGGGAAGTCGGTGCTGTTTCCTCTCGTAAGGAGAGAGCCTGAAGTAACTCTTGCCAAACTTCTCTCTATCTCCTCCTTTTTCCCACTCGTGCACTTTCCTAAACTCACCGAGCATGTTGTCCCATTTCGTACCGGCGATTTTCGAATCCCTGTTTATACCGTGCCGGTTTAAGAACTCAGCTACTTCCCGGTCTTTTTCAGCTCGGGTCTTCCCTCTTCCCTCACCCGACCCAGATCCGGACCCGGTTCCGTTTCCTTGGTGCTGGTACTGGGCTCTCCAGGCTCTTGCTAGCCATAGCATCTCGTTCGGTTTCCACACGGGGCTCACGTATTTACCTTTTCTGAATTTATGCTGAAACGGCTCCGTTTCGGGTTGTTGTTTCTCGCTGTTGGTAGCTTCTTGGCAAGGCGGTGAAGATCCGGCGGTTTCGGTGGAAGAAGCTGCTACTACGCCGGTGGAAGGGGATGGTGATGAAGGAATTGTGGCGGCGGTTGGTAAGGTGGAAGGTGACGGTAAGGCTTTCCATTGAGGTGGAGAGAGACCACCGGAAGAGCCGAAACGTGGTCGTTTGGGGATGGCAGGAGCTCCGGGAGAAGAGACGGTGGGGATGAAGATGGGAGAAGGGAGGAAAGACTGGTGTTGGTGATGGTGGTGGTGGTGGAGAAGTGATGGGTTTTGGTGATCAAGTGAAGAAGAATCTTTAGGTGAAGAGATTTGATTCGGTGATGGTTTTGTAGCATCTTCTTTTGTTGTCTCACCCATTTCAAGAAGCACTCAAATTAAAGAGAAAATTAAAAATTGCCCTAAATGAGTTTTTATTATTAAAAATACAAGAGGGAGAGGGAACAAGAAGAACCAGAGAAACGATTTGTTTGAAATATTGAGACTGAAGCTGGCTTAGTTTCTCTGGTTTTGTGGGGTTTATGAAGAGAGATACTATTAGGGTTTTTAGCTTTTTCTTGTGGGTTTTGCTTTTTGGCAGAAAATTGAAAACGAGTACTGATGTAAAAAGCAAAAAAGAAAAAGTTTGGAAGTAGTACCATTTCGTAGAAGTAAACAGAAATTTTAATACAAGAAAAATATGACATTTTTTCCTCATATAAACCTAAACCCAAATGCAAAAGTTACATTTCAATGCCAAATTTAAGTAGGAAATAGGGTGAGCTCAAACAGAAACCAAATATTATGGTGTTTCTCTGTTTGATGTAATTTGTTTAAACTATGTAGCACAAGCTTGTATATTGTTATTGAAGCTATTTTTATCAGTAACCAAATGGAATTTAAAGATTATCGTTATGGCGAATTGCAGTCACTAATCAACAAAAGCATACTTTGTTTGAATAAAAAGAGGAGATGCATGTGGAACCTGGCAATGAATAAAGCGCATCAGTTTGGCTAATATAACTACACAATATTTCTTAACGTTGATGTTTGATTTTGACAACTAGAAAAAGGTAAGAGTGTCCATCATTGTCCTTAAGACTGCAAACGCGGCGTAAGAATTCATTTCAATGCTTTTATTATTTTTGTTTTTTTAAATTATATTATTTTTATGCCCTTTTTAAATAAAAAAAATTGTATAATTTGTTTGTTTCCGTGAGCTTCAACGAGGAAAGAAAACATAATAGAATCAGAAAAGAATATTTAATAGCGGAGGAAAAAATGACTGAGTGTATGTTTGTGCGATAAAAGGGAGAGAGGAAGAGATGTGGACACATCGGTTCCATGCTTCTGCTCCATTGACTCTCATGCCAGTTTTGCCTTTTCCGAGCTCTTTTTTTAACTTAATTGTATTTCTTATCAAAATGTAGGCATGTAGCATTACTAAAAATACTTGAAGCATTCAATATATTTTTTACTAGAAGTGGTTAAAACATGTATCGTTTTACCTTATAGTGTGTTGTCCAGCTCAACCCCACTTACCAAAAGCAAGTAAAGCTTAGCTCAACTTATCGAGTTTACCAACTGTTTTTGTTTTGTTTTTAATTCAGTTTACAATTTTTGTTTTTTTCTGAGAAATATCAGTTTACATTTTCATAAATCGATATTAATCAATTTTAGTTCGATTTTTTGAAAAATCTCCATCCTACCCAAAGGAATTTTCAAACAAAAAAATATAATTATTTTAATATAATTACATTTTATGATTAAATTTTACCTTTTTAATTTTTTTTTTTTTTTTTTTTTTTTTTTTAACAGCATTCAAAAAGGGGTGAAACACGAGGACTTCCCGGGAGGTCACCCATCCTAGTACTACTCTCGCCCAAGCACACTGCGGAGTTCTGATGGGATCCGGTGCATTAGTGTTGGTATGATCGCACCCAAATTTACCTTTTTAATCAATTTGAACAAATAGAGGACAAATGTGAACCTTTTTTTTGAGTTGTAATTAATATCTCAATGGTTCTCAAATGAGAACCCCAACTCACTCTCTTTCTTTCATTTTTTTTTATGCTTATTCATGATATATCTATCTCATGTGGATGTGGGAACTTCTCAATGGAGATGCTCTATGTTCATGTGTACTTTTGTAAACTGAAAACAATGATGGATCGATTTTAGTTGTTAGCTAACATCAAAAAATTGTTTATAATGTTGTGTTGATGTTTTTATTAGAAAACCAAGGTTACATGAATCTCAGACTTGTATTAGTTTTGTAGAATAGCATTATCCGAGATGATTCATCTCACATTTTGAATATATAATTAAAAAAAAAATTATTCCATGAAAAATCAAACGTAGTAATATATTAGTAATTCAGAAGTAATATAGTAGTAATTCAGAAGTAATTTACATTTAGTTCATTAGTAATTTTTTCATTCCTAATATATCCGAGATGATTAATTAAACGTAGGAATTAACTAAATGTAAATTCTCTAAAACTTTTGAACACGAAAGTAATATATTAGTAATTCAGAAGATAACACATTACTCGTTGAGCTAGCTTTAGTATTTCTATATAACTTAACAAAATTGCTTCATCAGACTAATCTAACCAAAAGAATTTAATCATTCTGAAATCTGAGTTCAACCAAGTCTAAGCATGAATTAGTAACCCAATTTGTGATCCTCATCTACTTACCGGTCATTGGTTATAGGTTGTCACAATGTGTGCAGAAACTGATTTGCGAGATCGTGTTCATATTCTGTTATATATTATACTCTTAACCCAAGACTCAGTATGTTCATAAGTATCTATTGGACTTTTAATAATTTTCAAAAAAAACTTAATAATAAACGAATAATAACTTGCATAAAATAATGCCTTGAGGGAAATGGAATAGGGTGAAAAATAAAGCATGGTGTCAAATTTTACAAACCGTTAAAAACACAGAAAAACAAGTGAAAAATGATGGGCACGATCACGAAACCATCAATAGTTTAAAACTCATCTCTCTCTATCCTATATCTCCAAATTTAAAATTTTAAACCCTAGCCTCTCTCTCTCTCTAGGTCGGCTGCTGCTCACCTAATTAACAGACCATACACAAACACCTTCTCTCATCACTTTCTTGTCACGAAGTTTTTAATTTGTTATATGCGTGAAATTAATTTATTGTTTCCCCAAAAGGGCACATACACATGCTCATGCCTCATCAATGGAGGTAAAATTAGCTTTTCTTGTTCTAACATTTTTAGAAATGATATGTCTTTGTTTCCACACCTATTTATAGGGAGACATCAGTTTCTTAGTTCTATGATTCTATCTTCTCAAACCTCGATAGTTGTTGATACCATATCAACAACAACAAAAATTATAATGATTTCATTTTATATTTAATTTTGGTTTAGTTAAATTTCGGATTTCAATCATATAAAGATAAGGTAAATAGCACCTTAGAAAAGTGGAGAATGGCATAAAAAAAAAAAAAGAAGAAAAAGTGGCGGAGAAAATATCTATACGGGCTGCTTTATGGAGAACATTAATCATGACTATATTATATGCATGCTTATTGTATGATATCATTAATAGCTAGAGTTTGCTTTGCCTCGCGCTCATAGGCATATGATATTTTTTTTTTATTTCACTATATACTACAGGCATTTTGGGATTTCGGTGCTTTACTCTAAAGCTGTTCTTTTATTAGTGTGTTTATTCTACAAGCCCCAGGCTTTTTTTCGCAATCTGAAGATCTTCATCAATTTTAAAGATCTTCATTTGAGATCCTGATTTTCCCCGCATTAGAAAGATTGAGAGAGTGATGAGAGCAGTCCCGCAATAGTCGTTTCAACTGTAAAGTAAACTATGGAATCAAAGAAGACAAATATCGTGTGAGACCATCTCCATCTCTAGAACCAAAATTTTGGTTTTACAATATTTTGTATTAATAATTTTCACACAAATCTATATTAACAACTTTAGTGTGAGTTTTTAATTTTTTTCTTCCTCCATTGCTAAAACCATTGATATGGTTCTTAAAAAAAGGACTTGATAATCAACAAAAGATGAGCTTGTGTAGAAGAAGCCACAACCTTACATCTAAGAAAGCAAAACTCTCGGCTCTGTTCTTGTAGAAGGACTTGATAATCAACAATAAAGTCTCTCAAGAACAAAAGAACTCTTTAAAGAATAACTCTCTTTATTGATGTTTAGAAACTAACTCAAAACTAAACACTTTGATCTTGAATTGAATGATTGTTAGAGCATCTCCATCAGGTGATACCACAGTATGAGTCTCATATATATTTAACTAATATAATTTTAGAGAATAAAAGGAATTCAACCAATTAGATAACAACACCTCTTACCATAGTATCTATTTTTTTCTGTTATGGTCTCGTTATGTAGAGACGTATCACACTCTCTTTCCTCCTTTTTCAATTATTTTTATTTTTTTAATGTATAGAGATCGTGTGAGAGACTGAGGATGCTCTTACAACCCAACAATCACTTATATAGACAAAGCACAACTTAGCTTTTCCTTTTCCTAAATAGAAACTAGACAACTTCCTAATCCTATAAGGAATGTATGAAACAAGAAGTTTTCCTTTTCCTCTTGCTTCTAGTTACTTCTCGAAGCTTATCCAACAATCTCCCTCTTAAGCTTCGACTTGGTTCTGGACATATCTTGAACTCCAATGAAGCTTCTCATTTCCACGAACTTGATTCTTGCTAATGCCTTAGTCAAGATATCCGCCTTCTGTTCCGTTCCTGGCACATGCTCCACATCAACTAGCTCTCTTTCAATGCATTCTCGAATGAAATGATAGCGCTTGTGAATATGTTTGCTCTTGCCGTGAAACACAGGGTTCTTGGTGAGAGCGATTGCTGAGATGTTGTCTATCTTGATCGTGACTTGTTTGACCTCTTCTCTTGTTATCTCGCCTAAGAGTTCTTGAAGCCATATGGCTTGTCTTTCTGCTTCCGTTGCTGCCATGAACTCAGCCTCACATGAAGAAAGTGAAACCATGTCCTGTTTTTGAGAACACCAAGTGATTGGTGAAGTCCCAAAGTAGAACATGTGACCTGTTGTACTTCTTCCGTCATCTTGATCGATGTTGTGGCTGCTGTCACTAAAACCGGTGAGCGTTTTTGATCCTCGACCATACTTCAAGCCATAAGCATAAGAACCCTTGAGATATCGTAGTATATGCTTCATTAAATCACCATGTGACTTACGAGGACTCTGCATATATCTACTAGAAACTCCAACGCTGAAAGCCAAATCTGGTCTTGTATGTAGCAAGTACCTCAAACACCCAACGTTTCTTCTGTAGTTCTTGGGAACTATCTCAGTCTCCTCTAGAGCCTTTGACACTTTCAAACCGAACTTCATGGGTATTTGTGTTGGATTGCAATCATCTAGACCAGCTTCCTTTATGATTCTCCGTGCATATCCTTCTTGTTTGATCTCTATTCCATCTTCTCCTTGATTCACTTCAATACCGAGGTAATAAGTGAGCTTACCAAGGTCCGACATCTCAAACTTTGATGACATTCCTGCCTTGAATTCATCAATCGCTTTGAGTGTGTTTCCGGTCACGAACAGATCATCCACATAGATAGCAATGATAAGAAGGCTCCCTCCTTCTTGTTTACGATAGACAGCACTCTCCTTTGCACACTTCTTGAATCCCAAACCTTTTAGGATTTGATCAAGTTTCGTGTTCCAACACCTTGGAGCTTGTCTCAACCCGTACAAAGCTTTTAGACTTGTATACTTTGTGTTCTTCTCCCTTCACAGTAAAGCCTTCTGGTTGGTCAACATAGACATCTTCTTTTAGCTCTCCATGCAAGAAAGCTGTCTAAGTGATGAATCTCCCAGCCATGTGGTGCTGCCAAAGCAATCAACAATCGAATTGTTTCAATGCGAGCTACTGGCGCAAAGACCTCATCAAAATTTATCCCAGATTCTTGAACATATCCTTTTGCCACCAGTCTTGCTTTGTATTTGTTGATTCTGTTGTCAGCGTTCTTCTTGAGCTTGAAAATCCACTTGAGACTAATGACCTTCATGTCACTTGTTCTTTCAACCAAAAACCAGGTCTTGTTCTTGTTGATAGAATCAATTTCGTCCTTGCAAGCTAGAGTCCACTTAGCTGATCCTTTAGCTTCGTTGAAACAGCTTGGTTCTCCGTTTATCATAAGAAGAAGCATCTCGCACTCGACAACTGCTTGAAGAAGGTAATCATTAAGATAGGCGGGCTTCCTTGCTTGTCTATCAGATCTCCTCAATGGAACTTCTTCTTGAGGAGCTTCCTCTGTATTATCAACATTCATCTCTTATGATCATCACCACCATGATTCTCTGCTTCGTTCTCTTCTTGTGTATACTCATGAGGTTGATTGTTGACAATCACAGGGCCTTCTCCAGTGTCTACTATGCCTCTCCATATCATATGAAACATCCCTGGATCCATACTTGGTCCATCTTCTGTTTCTTTCCAGCTCCAGTTTGTTTTTTCGTCAAAAAAAACATCGCGGCTCACAACAATCCTTCTTGTAGATGGATTGTACAATCGATATGGCTTGGATCCTGGCTCGATCCCAAGATGCACTAGTGATTCTGATTTGTCATCTAGCTTCTTAAGATGTCCTGCTTCCACCTTAGCATAAGCTACACAACCAAAAACTCTCAAGTGGCCTAGGTTAGGTTTCTTCTCGCGCAAGCTTTCGTATGGAGTCTTCTTCTCTAGAGCTTTTGTGTGAACTCTGTTGATGATATAGGTAGCATGACGCACTGCTTCTCCCCATAGGTAGTTAGGTACCTTCATGGCTTTGAGTATGCTCCTTGTCATCTCCATCAAAGTTTGATTTCTTCTCTCTACTACACCGTTTTGTTGAGGCGTGTAGGGAGCCGTGAGGTGTCTCTTGATCCCACTTTCTTCACAAAACTCTTGAAACTCTCTGGAAGTAAACTCTCCTCCTCTATCGGTCTTTAGAGTTAAGATATGCTTCCCAAGTTCCTTCTCCACCAAGGTTTTGAACGCCTTAAACCTTTCAAAGGCTTCACTCTTCTCTTGCTTGAAGATAGCCCACATGTATCTTGAATAGTCATCAATGATAACAAATATTTATTTGTTATGAGCTAGGGTTGATGGCGTTATTGGTCCACAAAGATCTGCGTGAAGTAGCTCCAATGGTTTAGTTGCTCGAAACATAGTTACCTTTGGAAACGCACCCCGAGTTTGCTTTCCAACTAGACACGACTCTCATAACGTCTCGACTTCTCTGATTTCTGGTAAACCATAAGCCATCTCGTGTTGGAAAATAGCTTTAAGTGTTCCAACACTTATATGCCCCAACCTTGCATGCCACCTCCATGTGTCGTCTTCTATGTTTGAGTGTAAACATATTGGCTTCCCTATCTTTAAACTTAGCTTGTAAAGTCTATTAGGTGATCGCATAACCTTCACTAAAAGCCTCCCTCTTGGATCGTGAACCGTCAAATAATCTTGACTCATCCTCACATCGCATCCAGCTTCTGTAGCTTGTCCCAAACTCAGAATATTGCTCTTGAGATTAGGGATATAGTAGATTTCGGAAACAAGCTTCTGCTCTCCAGCTTTGCTTTGAAATAAGATTGAACCCTTCCCTCCTATTTCAACGCATGATCCATCTCCGAACTTTACTTTCCCTTTTATCTTCTCATTGAGCTCAGAGAAGTACTCCTTCACGCTGGTCATGTGATTGCTAGCTCCATTATCTAAATACCAAACACCTTCTTCTCCTCTCTGGATTTCGTAGTTCTTCGGTATTAGATTCTCTTCATTCAAGAAAACGATTTCATGCATATAGAGTGCAGAATCAGCTTCTTCTGTCTCCACTTTATTTGCTTCTTCAATCTTCGGTTTTCTTGTAGGACATTTTGAGGCATAGTGTCCTGGTTTATCACAACGAAAACAAATTATCTTTGACAAATCCTTCTTCTCTTTGGATTTGTTTCCTTCTTGATTTGTTGACTTTTGTTAGTTCTTCCAGCCTTTCCCTTGCCCTTTGTTTTCTTTTCCACCTTCTTTTCCTTCTGAAGATGATGTATCGCCTCGCTCATCTGACTTCGCATACAACAACTTGTCTTGAGTTGCACCACCATACTCGCCTTGGTGGATCCGCTCCTCATATGCTTTGAGTCTTCCAACGACATCTTCAAAGCTTGTTGTATTCAAATCTAGAATTTGTTCTAGAGATGCAGCGATTTGAAAGAACTTGCCCATTGGTAAGCTATTGAGAAATTTCTTCACCAACTTGGATTCCTCCATAACTTGTCCAAGGGAAGCTGATTTTGATGCGATCTCCGTTAGCTTCCCAGCAAAGTATTCGACTGTATCTGTGTCCTTCATCTTGAGTCTTTCAAAATCCCCGTTTAAGGTTTGAAGTCTCGCTTCCTTGACACGATCAGCTCCTAGGTTGCGGGTTTTAATCGCATCCCATATCTCCTTTGCAGTTTCTTTCCCGCCAACTTGAAGAACAAGATACTCCAGGATTGATTGGAATATCAAACCGGTAGCTATATCGTTCTTCTCCAACGAGATAGAACCTGGCTCAATTGCTTCCCACACCTTATGAATCCGCAACAGAACCTTCATCTTCATCATCCATACAGCATAGTTTGTTGCATTCAACATGGGACATGTCATCGATGGACTCATCTCCTTCGATCGTACTACCACGGCCGCGTCGACAACTTCGTCTCCTGCCATGGCTTCTTAACAAAACGGAATCGTGTCCTCGCCTAGGATCGATTAACCTGGTTAAGCTCTGATATCAAATAAAGTCTCTCAAGAACAAAAGAACTCTCTAAAGAATAACTCTCTTTATTGATGTTTAGAAACTTATCTCAAAACTAAACACTTTGATCTTGAATTGAATGATTGTCACAACTCAACAATCACTTATATAGGCAAAGCACAACTTAGCTTTTCCTTTTCCTAAATATAAACTAGACGACTTCCTAATCCTATAAGGAATGTATGAAACAAGAAGTTTTCCTTTTCCTCTTGCTTCTAGTTACTTATTGAAGCTTATCCAACAAACAAAGATGAGCTTCTTCTTGGTCACCCACCATCTTTGTCTCAGCAAGAACGCACAACTAAGGGAATGCAGAAAAAACAGATGCAAGGCCTGATTGCAAATCAACACCAGCAACTGTCCAACAAAACCACTACTATCTTCATGAATCAAAGAGTGACTGCAGCTTTGAGAAGTTATGCTCCAACTTGTGACTGCAATCTGGAAAGAAACAATTTCCTGTTTGTCCTTGTAGAAAGACTTCACAACCAATATCAAATACTGTCCATCACTACAAAAGTCTCCATTTTCATTGGAATTATTTATCGTAGTAACTAGGATGAATTCAACAAGGCTCCATGTGCTTGTAACTGAAAATAGCTCCTTTGACACACAAATGACAGCATCTTCTTGTGACTGTATCAACCTTAGGTAAAACTGAAAGATTGTACCCGAGATCAGCCAAAAGATCACACATCAATTACGCATGATTACATAATCAAGTCACATAAATCAAAGTAAACAAACTTCCTAGTCTTGCACAAATTTCCTATACCTATTATGTCATGGTCATCAAATCAAACCATGATTAGAGCTATGTTCCAACAAAACTCTGAACTAGACAAAGGCAAACTCTGAACCTGAAACATTGAACTAGTAATCCACATTTCAAAGGCAAAGTTCGATTGACTAGACAAAGCACACATAGCCCTCTAGAAACTAAGCAAGCCATCAAAGTTATGTTGGACACATCTGCATAAAACTCTCTAGGATAGAGTATGGAACAATAACATTTCAGATAGCAAGATTGATAGTCACATAATGAAATTCCAAAGCTAGACCCAAAATTTCAATGTAAATGCAAAATTTCACATAATGATAGTCACCATTTTATCGATTTCACACATGTCAATCTGCTCAACAGAGCTACGGCGTGCCATTTCTCGGAGGACTCCTTCATCTCCGATACCAATGACCAACACCTGCAGAAGAAAGGTTATCACAAGAAAACCACTTAAGTTTTAGTAAGTTAGCTTTTCACCATTAAACAAAACAAAATAATATTTTATTAGACTATAGAGATTAATTGTTGTAAACCGGATAGAGTGTGGTAAACCGGACACAAAGCTCAAATATAAGAGAGACGTTGTAAACACATTAATGAATAACAGAAGATATTTTACATTTGCTCTCGTCTTCTCCGAGCGCTCAGTTCTCTAATATGGTATCAGAGCGTTGAGATGCAAAAATCTCAGCCCGATCCTTCCATTTTCTTTCTTCCGCTTCAATTTGACCTAGAGCAATCGTTGATTCTCACGATTGTTCACTCTTTGTGAAAGTTTTTCGGTTAATCTGCCGTGAATCGCGAATTTCACAGTTTATCTTCGATTTGAGCTCCGAATCCTCCGAAAATGGCGACCGGACGCAAAATACCACGTCGCCCAAACAGAACGACTTCATCGGCCCGAAGAAATCCAGCTCCCGAAGACTCTCCACCAGATTCTCCGATCTCGCGAATTGAATCTCCCGATTCTATTCACTCACCGTTCTTCCTCACAAGCGGTGATAATCCCGGCACTACGATCATCTCTAAGGTACTCAGAATTGGCGAATTGCGATGACTATAGCTTTAGATGCTAAGAACAAAATCGCTTTCATCGACGGATCTATTCCTCGGCCAAGTGAATCTAATCATAACTTCAGGATCTGGTCTCGTTGCAATTCGATGGTGAAATCGTGGATTCTTAATTCAGTTTCTAAGCAGATCTATAAGAGTAATCTGCGTTTTAATGATGTTTCGGAAATCTGGACTGATTTGGAAACGAGATTTCATATCACTAATCTTCCGAGATCATACAACTTGTCTCAGCAAATATGGTCTTTGCAGCAAGGTTCCAATGATTTAGCTACCTATTACACCAAACTCAAGACTCTTTGGAATGAATTGGATGGAGCTGAATGCATAGAAACTTGTCATCGTTGTGATTGCTGCAAAGCGACTGCTACTAAGGCTGAGCATGCGAAGGTGATTAAGTTCTTGGCAGGATTGAATGACTCTTACTCTGTCATTAGAAGTCAGATCATTATGAAGAAGAATGTTCCAGTATTATCCGAGATCTACAACTTACTTGATCAGGATCATAGCCAACGGACTATCAATCGGGTCAAATGCTTCTACGTTTCATGTTGCTTCTCCTGATCAACATATTTCGATCAATGCTGCGAACTCCAACTATGGGAAGCCGGGTTTAAACAAACCTATATGTGCTCATTGTGGATACACTGGACACACTGTTGAAATGTGTTACAAAATCCATGGTTATCCCATTGGTTTCAAACACAAAGGGAAACAGCAGCCTGAGAAGAACCTTCAGTCTACCCCAAAACCTCAAGCTGCTCCGAAACCCGTTGTTGCTCAGCTTATCTGCTCAGAGTAATAATGACAACAGTTACTCGGGTATAGTCAATACACTCTCGAAGGATCAAATACAAGAAGTCATTGCTTATTTCAGCTCTCAACTACAAACCTATGCGCTGCAACATACCTCTACTTCTACCAGTGGTGGTACCATCACAGCTCTTCCCGGTATGGCTTTCTCTTCCTCCACATTGTGCTTTGTTGGGATATTGAAAGCAACCGGAAATGCTCTTTCATCGAAATCTTGGATCATCGATAGTGGTGCTACACATCATGTTTGCCATGATAGAAGTATGTTTGTTGGTTTATCTGACTCCCTGAATAGATCAGTGAGGCTTCCTACTGGAATAGGAGTGAAAATTGCTGGGATTTGGAACTGTTAAGCTGAATGAGAATCTGATCCTCAACAATGTCTTGTTTATTCTGGACTTTCGACTGAATCTCCTGAGTATCAGTCAGTTGACTAAGGATTTGGGATATCGAGTAATCTTTGACGTGGCTTCTTGCGTGATACAGAATCCTACCAAGGCATTGATGATTGGTCAGGTTGAAGCTATTGCAAACCTGTACGTCCTGGATGCTGAAGCTATCTCAGTTAACTCGATAAGTTCCAACCCTTATTTTTGTTCAAATGTTGTTGTCGATTCCATAGTTTAGCACAATAGACTTGGTCATCCGGCTATGAACAAAACGGATTTCATTAGAGATGTAACTGGTGTTAAACAAAGCAATAAAGAGTTTCATTGTGCAATCTGTCATCTTGCAAAACAGAAACATCTTCCTTTTGCATCTTCAAATAACATCAGTGCTAATGCTTTTGATCTCGTTCATATCGACACTTGGGGTCCGCTCTCTGTTCCAATGGCATAAGGATACATATAATTTCTAACCATAGTGGATGATCATACTAGAGTTACTAGGGTTTATCTGATGAGGAGCAAAGATGAAGTCCTCCGGATCTTCCCTAAGTTTTTGAAAATGGTTGAGACTCAGTACAAAGTGGTTGTGAAAGGAGTGTGATATTGATATACCTCTATTTTACATGCTTTTTATACTATTTTAGTATGGTTTTCTAATGGTTTTTAGCAGGTTTTCTATCTAAAAAGGTAGTTTTATTGGATTTATAGTACTAAGAGTCTAAACAGGTGAAATGATGCATTTTGGAGCAAAACCATAGGATTTGCACTTCAACCCACTCCATACCGAAGTATCAACTTTGAGAAGGCCTGAAAAAAATCTACTCAATGGATTTCATCAAGACCACTTCGCGTGCTCTGAGTGAGTTAACTTTCCAACGCAAGTGGATTGGCATCATTTGGATGAGTAGAAATGAAGTTATGATCAAATTAGTGAAGACTGGTCCAGACGGCTTACACCAACCGCGCGTACCGGCGACCGAGGAACTATCGTCCCACGATCGACCCGCGCAGAACTCCGTGTTCCATCCCGCCTAGTGCACGGCCGAGCTCACGTACCGACCCGGGAAGCATGGTCGACCCGTCCAAGTCTCGCCACCATAAGCCGCGCACGACCGCACCGCGCGAACAGGGAAGGCATCGCCTCCGCCGACCGCTCACCACAATCCGTGCACACGCACGATCGCACCGTCCGACCAGGAAGGCACGTCCGTCAGAACCTTCGGCCAATATCATCCGTCCGGCCGACCCGACGACCGAACGACGAATCCCTCGGCCACGATCGACCCGATCGTACCGATGGCCGATCATGACCCGATAGCCGGCCGATCGTCCCGACCGACCGTCCGAACGGTCCGGTCGACCCGAAGCCCGTTTTGAAGCCCGTTTCACACGTTTTCACGGCCCGGCTTAACCTAATGCCGCCTCTGAAGACCTAGTACTATAAATACAACTTTTTAGCCTCTTGAGAGAGAGAGAGCCGCATATTGTATCACGTTTTTACACTTAGAGTTTTGTTCTATTTCAAGGAGAAGATCTCTCCTCCTCTTCAATTTGAAGTTTTCTAAACCTTTATCTATCTTTCATCTCTTTGTGTTATTGCTTTGATCATGTCTGAGTAATCCACTAGTTAGGTTGCTAGGGTTACTAATCAATGAGTTGCTTGCATGATCTTTGATTTCGATGTTAGCTAGGGATTATCTTAGAGTCTTTGTCTCGTCTTGTCACTTAACTAATGCTGATTGCTTTACCGCGCATCTAGTAATCCGATCTTAGGTTGATTTGAGCCTCGAAAGTGTTGTATCATTCGCCGGACATATTCTTTGACAAGCTAGGTTTCTTAGACTGCGAAAGTTGATTTACTATAACCTAGTGAACTGTATCAGAACCCTCGATCTAATGCTTGATTTAATCACCTAGGGACATACCAAAAGTTTAGCGACTAGGTAGATTAACAAAGGAACCGGAGCCTCGAAAGTGGAATGGTTTTATATTCGTGATCTGTGTTCTAGACGGTTTTAATATCCCAATATCCCTAATCATATCATCTATCATTGTTTCATTGATCATTGCTTGCTTCTCTGCGATTAGCCCCTGTTGACCTAGCGCTTCTTCCCACTGATTTACAACCTCGTTTACTTGCTAGTTTTAGTTACAATTACAACCTCTCAATCATACTTTTGTTTTAGCTTGATCCAAAATCCATAGTTTCAAAGTGTACTCAATAGCCAGTCCTTGTGTTCGATACCCATACTTCCGCGATCTGTGCACTTGCAGAGGTCTAAAGAGTTTGGTAAAACCTGACTCACATCAAGTTTTTGGCGCCGTTGCCGGGGACTGCAGCAGTACCTTTGAACTCGACTAGGATCTAGTCTAGAACCTTTTTTTTTGCTTGTTTTTGCTTTTGAATTTTCTAGTTTTTGATTTCTTTTCTTTTGATTTTGTTTTTGCTTTTTTTTTCCCTTTTGATTTAGTTTGTTTTAGATCTTTTCAGGTGCATGACTAGGAGGTCCAACAAAGACAACCTAGTTGAACATCCGGAGATAGACAAGCTTGAGAAGAACTTAGGAAGCAAAAAGCCCAAGAGATGGCCGACGCTCACGCTGAGGTAGCTCGAGCTAATGAAGAAGGAAGAGATCCACCTCCTCCTTAATCCACAACATCCTGCTGGGAGTTAATGTGCAACCTCAAGCTGACATCCAAACAATCGGAGACTATGACTCTGCCGATGCTTTCTTCACGGATAGAAACCCTATCCATCCACCACTTCCTGCAAGGAATGACTATGAGATCAAGCCTCAGATCATAGCATTGGTTAGACAGAACCAATTCAATGGCCTTCCAGCCGAACATCCTCTTGATCACATAGAAAACTTTGAAGAGATTTGCAGCACTACTAGATCCAATGGAGTCTCAGCTGACTACTTGAAGTGCAAGCTCTTTTCATTCTCTCTTGGCGACAAAGCTTCAAGATGGTTGAAGTCTCTGCCAGCTCACTCCATTACCACTTGGGATGAGTACAAGGCCGCTTTCATCAACCACTTCTACACCAAGCAAAGATCAGTTTCTGTAGGAACAAGATCTCCAACTTTCGCCAAGCCACTAATGAATCTTTCTATGAGGCGCTAGACCGATTCAAGGAGTACATTAGGGACTGCCCTAATCATGGTTTCAATGAGGGAAACCTATGGAACATCTTCTATCGTGGCATAGACCACAAGTACAAGCTTTCATTGGACACTGCAAGCAATGGAAACTTCATGACCAAGACAATTGATGAAGCTAAGGTTCTTATTGAGAATCTTGCAGCTAGTGATTGTAACAACTGTCCTGATTATGACCGCTCAAGCCGCACCACTACTAGCTCCCCTGATGTTTCTCAAATGACTGAACTCAAGAACATGATGGCTCAAGTTCTTAAGGGACAGCTCAAGCATATCAATGCAATAGAAGGGATGAGTGATGCGAATGAAGACCCATCAAGAGAATGCATGGGAGATTTCTCTAATGAAGCCAATGAAGAAGATGTGAACTACATTGGAAACTATGGGAACAAGGGATACAATCCAAGCTATCGCCCAAACCCCAACATGTCTTATAGAAACCCCAATGTGGAGAATCCTCAAGACCAAGTGTATCCTCCAAGGTATCCACAACAACAAAGACCTCCTTACCAATCTCAAGGAAGTCAATTTCAGCCAAGGCAAGGATATGAGCAGAGATCATCATATCCGCCCAAGGAGCCATATGCTTCTTCACCAAATCAAGCTCCTCCAAACCAACAAGGTGGAAGATTTGAAGGAATCCTCCAACAGATCATGGATGGCCAGAAAAGGAATAGCAAAGAGATGTATGAGAAGATGGACACTTTGTTCAGCAATCTCAACACCAAGTATGATGCTGTTGCCACTCATGTGAAGAAACTAGAGACTCAAGTCACCCAAACCATGGATGCTTTCAAAACCTACTGTTGATTGCATGATTTGGCCTGAAGAGATATACCCAGAGAGAGAGTCCAATCGAGCTAGAGAAGAAGACTCTTCCCAAAGATTATCCCCAAGACTGATAACTCAGGAAAGTTTGTGTGCCTTGTATCATCAAAGGTAACATTCTTGAGCAATCTTTGTGTGACACAGGAGCCAATGTGAACATCATGTCTAAGAGGATAGCTGACAAGATAGGCCTCACCAAGATACAGCCATCATCCATCTCCATCAACTATGCTGATTCATTCTCACAAACCCCTATGGCTTTGTGCCTAATGTGATGGTGCAGATTGGAAATTGCTCTATCCCTACCGATTTCAGATTGTGGAAATGAGAGAGAGTAGCCATAGACCTCTCATATTTGGAACCCCTTTCCTGTCTACTGTGGGTGCCATATTTGATTTCCCCAATCAAAGAATCTCTTTCAACAAGGTGAACAAGGGTATGTTCTTCCCTATGTGTTCAACAAAGAACTCTTTTGTTGACATGGTCCAAGAGGAGAAAGCTCTCTGAAGCCACCCCAAAGAAGGAGAAACTGAAGATTCAATCAAGGAAGATCCCATTCCTAAGCCCAAGCAGCTTGCCACTCAAGCAAGGAGTAAGACTAAGGCCCCTACACCAAAACCGCCCAAGGGATCATCCAAGATTGAAGATGAGGCCAAGCCAAGAAGGAAGGATAAAGAAGCCTCGATCTGGCCGCAACATGAAGCTTCTATTCCCAAAGGAGCTTATTGATGAGAATCTAGAAGGATTCAAGGAGAAAGTGACAAGAACTCTACAACTTTTTCCTAAGGCATTCTACCAAGGGACATTCATGGAGAGATTGTCTATCCAGCTGTGAATCACCCACCAGATACTCATTGCAAGGAGAAAAGACTTGGAGGATCAAGGATGCCTCTGTCTCCATCTTCTCCTGAGCGCCAAGCCTTACAGTCAAGCTAAAGACTTAAAACAAGCGCTGCATGGGAGGCAACCCATGAGGTACTTTTACTTTTCTTTCTTTAAATTTCTTAGTTTTTGTTTTGCTTTTGTGTTTTCTTTGTTTTAAGATAGGATAGAAGGAGAAAAAGTGTGAAAAACACAATCCGGGTCGAAAACATCGGCCGCGGACGCGCAAAGAAAAATCTGGCCGAGGAAAATTCCAACCGCGCCGACCGTACCGGTCGACTTAGATCAACCTGGAGGTAGCGTAGAACGTTAGGCACTGGAGTAGATTTTCCTTGGCTTTTGTAAAATTTTAATTTGTAAGATTAATGACTTTAAAACCCCCATACCTAGTTTATTTTGGTTTATTTGGGCATTAGGCCATGGTTAAAAGACTTTTTGGTTGTATTTTAAAAATTCATCTTTAATAAAATATAAATGGGAATAAAATTATGTTTTATTAAAAGATGGCTTGTTCGGATGATGTCCGAACTAACACAACTCAATATTCATAATACGGGTTGCAAAGCCTTAGCATATTGGATATTGAGGTAAGAGAGTTAGATGGGACCGGATATGAGTCAAGGATCCCCTCCGGGACTCAAGTCTGGACTTATCTAAGTCTCAATTGTGACACACTCGATTAGACCTATGTATAGATCGAGTCGGGGGTGTTACACATTAGTGGTATCAGAGCATGATTCATGATCATGCTCACGGACAAGCCAATTTTCAAACGTTTTATCGAATCAATACTAGAGTCGCAAAAGCCAAGTTCCACGGTTTCGTATTAGTTAATATACTTACCCCTTTTTTTATTTTAGATGACAAACCAGGGTGAGAATCGGTCGCAGGGTTCGCAATCGGGTCAGGATGTGTCTCAATCAGGAAATGAGAGTAACTCTTCTGATGATACGTACATGCCATCTGAGGAGGAAGGGTCTTGGTATGAATTCATGCTGGAATCCGCTAGTGACTCGGATAGTATGAACTATTGGCACTACGGACCTTGGGAAGTGCTAATGCAACCATACTACTCATCTTCAGAAAGCACCGAAGCGCCAAATGGGTACGAATATCACAACTCGTCATCGCAACAACCACCAAATGAAGTCTCTAACGGTCATCAACAACCAAATCCACCTGCCGGACAACAAACTAATGGAGCGAACAACTCTCAAGGAAGCCGATCAGCAGAACAACCCAGTCCAAATGAGCAACAACCTCTTGATCCAACCCTCACAATGGTTCACAACCTACTGTCTCAAGTCTTACGTCAGGGAGCAAGCAATGGAACGCCTCCTCCCCCGGATTTTCTTAAGTACCTAAGACTTTGGAAACTTATCGATTTGAAGGAAGCCAAGATCCCGACGAAGCCGACACATGGATGCAACGCTTGGATAAGAATTTTGCAGCAACAAGATGTCCAACCAAGTTCAAGAAGGATGTAACAGTCTACTACTTGGAAAAGGAAGCACTAGGATGGTGGAATAGTGTGGATAGGCAAACCAACCACGCTATCATCACATGGGAAGCCTTCCAGAAAGAATTCAGGAGGAAATACTTTCCTTTGGAAGCAAGAGATCGCTACAAGAAAACACCCGATTTGACACGTCAAGAATGGTGGCAAAGCAGTCACAAAGTAGAATTGTAAGACTAATTCGCGACTATATCATGCAGTCGCAAAAACGAAACATATTTGAAACTAAAGTGCGACTGACATTCTAGTCTTACTTTAGCGACTCAAAATAAATCAGACTAGGAGTAGATAATAGTGACAAAAGAGTTGCACACTGGAGTGGCTTTGATGTCGCACATCTTTGCGACTGTTGAAAGACTTATTTTCTGATTATGATGTAGTCGCAAATTAGTTATCTTGGAGGAGGGCCATGATAACTCAACTATATACCAAGGGATACGTCCGAGCAACGGCGTGTCTCTGGTATCAGCGATGCGAGTGAAACAGCACTTGATAGAGGGGAGCGCCTATCTTGTTGCTATAAGTGTGGTTGAAGAGAAAACTTCAAGCGAAGAGAAGATCGAAGAGATATCAATTGTCAACGAATTTGAAGACGTGTTTAAGTCATTAACGGAGTTACCACCACCTCGGAGTAACCTGTTCACAATAAACTTAATACCAAGAGCAGCACCAATCGCGTAGACCCCATACCGGATGGCACTGGCGGAACTAGCAAAACTAAAGGCTCAACTGGTAGATCTTCTAGACAAGGGTTTTGTCCGTGCAAGCTCATCACCCTGGGGAGCACCAGTACTATTCGTCAAGAAAAAGGACGGAAGTATGCGGCTTTGCATCGACTACCGAGGAATCAACAACATCACCATCAAAGACAAATATCCTCTACCAAGAATTGATGAATTGTTGGATCAATTAAGAGGAGCAAGTTGCTTCTCCAAGATCGACTTAGCTTCAGGATATCATCAAATCCCCATCAAATACCAGGACGTAATGAAGACGGCGTTCAACACTCGCTACGGACAATACGAGTTTGTAGTCATGCCATTTGGATTAACCAACGCACCGGCGGCGTTCATGCGGTTAATGAACGAAGTATTTCATGACTACTTAGATAACTTCGTGATCATCTTCATTGACGACATCCTAATCTACTCAAAGACCAAGGAAGAGCATCAACAACACTTGAAGAAAGTCTTGGAGAGATTAAGAGACCAAAAGCTCTACGCAAATTTCAGCAAATGTCGTTTTTGGAAACGAGAAATAGGCTTCTTAGGACACCGAGTTTCTGAACAAGGCATATCAGCAGATCCAGAGAAGATTGAAGTAATAAAAGGATGGCCGACACCAAGCAATGCAACAGAAGTGAGAAGTTTCTTTGGATTGGCCGGCTATTACCGAAAATCTGTTAATGGATTCTCATCCATAGCCAAACCCATGACAAAGTTAACCGGGAAAGGAATTCCCTTTGTATGGAGTGAAGAAACGGAGGGAGCATTCAACAAACTTAAGGAGGCGCTAACCACAACACCGGTTCTAACCTTGTCCGAACCTGGAAAACCATATGATGTATACGCAGATGCATCGAGAGTTGGACTTGAATCTGTCCTTATGCAAGCAGGAAAGGTGTTGGCGTACGCATCAAGACAACTACGGAAGCATGAAGAAAACTACCCAACTCATGACTTAGAGATGGCGGCAGTAGTATCCACACCAAGAATATGGCGGTCTTATCTCTATGGGGAGAGTGTTCAAGTATTTATGGATCATCAAAGCCTTAAATATTTGTTCACTCAGAAATGACTTGAATCTTCGACAAAGACGGTGGATGGAGTTCATAGCGGATTATGATCTCAAAATCCAATACCATCCCGGAAAGGCGAACGTAGTAGCGGATGCACTAAGTAGAAGACGAATGGAAGTCAGCATTGGGAAAGAATTGGAAGCTCACCAACAATGAGTTCCAAACCATAAGGTTATCAGCCTTCAAAGGAGAATCGAGCGAACCACTCAGATTTCAAGCGGTGAACCAGGCAGGATTTATTCATAGAATCCGAGAAGCTCAATTTAATGATGACAAGATCAAGAAGATTGTCGAACGCATTGAAGACCCTGAAGACGAAGACACCAGCGAATACCAGATAGCAGAAGATGGAACCTTTCTAGTTCACGGAAGGATCACCGTAACAGAAGGAGATGGACTTCGAGAAGAAATACTACGGATTGCTCATCAATCTACACTAAGTATACATCCTGGAAGCACCAAGATCTACAAGGATGTGCGGAAATATTACCATTGGCCTGGCATGAAGAGGGCAGTGGCTAAATGGGTAGCACAATGCCAAACTTGTCAACAAATCAAGGCAGAGCATAGAGTACCGGGCGGTCTACTTCAGAGCCTACCCATACCTCAGTGAAAATGGGATTCAATATCGATGGATTTCATTACCGGACTTCCAGTAGCAAGAGGACGGATGAACAATTCAATTTGGGTCATCGTGGATAGACTAACCAAAGTGGCACACTTACTCGCGGAAAGAGATTCAGACAAAGTAGAAATCTTAGCCGAACGCTACATCAATCAAATAGTCAAACTACATGGAGTACCAACAGATATAGTGTCAGATCGAGATCCAAGATTCACGGCAGCATTCTGGAAGGCATTACAAGAAGCAATGGGAACAGAGCTCAACCTCAGCACAGCTTTTCATCCAGAAACCGACGGACAAACAGAGAGAACCATCCGTACTTTAGAAGACATGCTACGCATGTGTATACTTGATTGGTCTGGCATGTGGGAAGACTATTGACCACTCATAGAGTTTTCCTACAACAACAGCCATCATATTAGTATAGGCATGTCTCCATACGAAGCCTTGTATGGGAGACCATGCCGGACTCCGTTATGTTGGACGGAGGTTGGAGAAAGAAGGGTATTTGGACCGCCGATAGTAGACCATACCATGGACAGACTATTAGAGATCGGAACCAACATGAAGAAAGCTCAAGATCGTCAGAAGAAGTACGCAGATCAAAAGAGGAGAGAAGTTACATTTGAAACCGGAGATATGGTGTTGATGATAGGATTTGTGAGTGGGTGTGAAAGATATGATATGAAATGTGGTGGAATGCAACAGTGGTATATAAGATGAGGTGGTAAGATGCAAAACACAATCAGAATCAGCAATTCCCCTTAACCACCGTAGTCATTATAGTATAAGGGTATCAATCCATATGGGTTAAATTGTCACTCTATGAGAATATGCAATAACCAGGAAGTCAAGCAACAGTAAATGATAAGATGGTAACACTAACAACCTAATGAAACAGAAATGTAAATAAAGCAGTAGAGCAACAGCTCGACCAAGGACTCGAGTCGAGTGGGAACAAAGTAACCGAGCTCGATCGAGTTTAGGGTCGAGTTGAAGTAAAAAGCGATAAAGGCAGTGACTTTAACAAGCTAATGCGAACAATAGGGTCTAAGACAGGGTTTTACAATCAGAGGAAGGCTATACTTAATCAATCTTGCTCTCAAACAACTTGTATCAAGGTATCTCTTCATATTGAGCTTCTCAATGCCTAGCTAACCCTTTCCCAAGGTGAAAGCTATCAACCAAGACTTGATCTCAGAAACAGGGGGTTAGCCAGTGAGAATCAAGCCTTGGAGGCCATAGGATCATTGCTCAAACTAATCCATCCAACCCCTATGAACTCCATTTCGAGAGCAAGAGTTATTGGAGCTCTTAGTGGACCTTTTCCAACGATTTCCATCACTTCCATGTGGAGAATCGCCTAATGGACATACAAGCCAGGGGTAGTGGTCATGTAGCCTTAAGGTTTGTCCAAAAGAGAGAGATTTCTAGATTAAGAACATAAGCAAGAAGGATTAAGCATAAAGATCCCTAATCTATCCCATCTTTGACCCTAAGGGAAACTACTCACTACACATGAATGTAAATGATATACCTCTAATTTACCTACTTTTTATACTGTTTTAGCATTGTTTTCTAATGGTTTTTGGCAGGTTTTCTATCTAAAAAGGTAGTTTTACTGTGTTTATAGTGTCTAGAGTCTAAACAGGTGAAATGATGCATTTTGGAGCAAAACCATAGGATTTGCACTTCAAGCCGCTCCATGCACAAGCACCAACTTTAAGAGGGCCCAGAAAAAGATCTACTCAATGGATTTCATCAAGACCAGTTCCCTGCGTGCTCTGATTGAGTTAACTTTCCAACGCAACTGGAACGGCCTAATTTGGATGAGTAGAAAAGGAGTTACAACCAAAAGAGTGGAGACTGTCCAGACGGCTCTATCGAGAATCAGCGCCCAACCGCGCAGTCCGGCTGGCCGAGGAACGATGTTCCGCGCTCGGCCAAACTGTGTCCGTCCGTCTGAAGTCTCGGCCAAAGTCCAAAACCACTCGGCCGATCACGCATCACGACCCGGGAAACTCCCCGCGGTCGGCCACGCCACAACCGCCACGCCACGCCGCGCACGACCACGCCGCGCGAGCCGGGAAAAAGCCTCGCGGCCGCGCAACTCGTCTCACGTACCACGCCGAACGCTCCGTCCGAGCCGGGAACTACGCCCACGTCCGGCCGAGAATTTCATCGGCCAAACTCATCCGCTCGACCACGCCGGCCGACCATGAAACGTCCGGCCACGACCGTTCCGACTCGGCCACGACCCGACTGTCCGGCCGATCGTCCCGACCGACCGTCCCAACGCCGCGGTCGACCCGAAGCCCGTTTTGAAGCCCGATTTCATATTTTCAAGGCCCGGCTTAACCCTAAGCCGCCTCAAAAGACCTAGCACTATATATATAGCTTTTTAGCCTCTTGTGAAAAGAGAGCCGCCTTGTATACGATTTCATACTTTGATTTTATTGCAATCATGTTTTCTTCATCTCTTTGTGTTTTTGCTTTGATTATGTCTGAGTAATTCACTAGTTAGGTTGTGAGATCTATCAAAGAGTTCATGGTTTGATAGGTTGTTAGAAGTCACATAGGGTTTATCATATCGCATCTTCGCCTCTGCTTGAATTCATTGCTGCTTGCTTTTCTGATCAACTAGCATCAGATCTTAGGTTTCATATACTCTCCAAAAGCTTGCTATATAACCTGAACTAAGTATTTGGTGAGCAAAACTTCATAGACTGCGAAAGTTGATCTATGCGGGGTTGTGAACAATTGGGTCTTGAACGAACTATTGCTTGATTTAATCACCTAGGGACATACCAAAAGTTTAGCGACTAGGTAGATTAACAAAGGGGTCGGAGCCTCGACAGTGGAAAGATCATACAATCGTGACCTGAGTTCTAGATAGCGCAAACCCTAGTGAACCTTCTAATATCTTGTTAACCTTGAATCTCTGCGAGTTTCTCATTGCCTAGCGTTTCCCTTATTGATTTTCATAAACCGTTTAATCTGCTGTTTGATTTACTTTGTTACACAATCAAAACCCTAAATCATACTTGTTTTCTAGCTATATTAGACTTGCAATACTCGAAGTGTACTTATCTGCTCCTTGTGTTCGATACCCGTTTACTACTTTTGATCTGTGCACTTGCAGAATCAGGGATAGGAAAAGGGAAGACCTGATCCCGCGATCAAGTTTTTGGCGCCGTTGCCGGGGAGCAATACAGCTACCTTCGAGTTCCCAACTATAGTCTAGTCTAGAATTTCGTTTTTCCTTTTTGTTTTTGCAAATTTTCAACTTTTGTTTTTCCTTTTTACTGTTTTCTATTTAAAGAATCTTGCCTCTACCCCTTTCAGGTACTAAGCTTGAAAGAAGGACTCTAATATGAGTGATTTTGAAGATCAAGAGGAGAGAGATAATTTGGCCGCGAGAGAGATCGCGCTGGCCGAGCAGCAGCACGAAGATCCGCCGGATCCGAATGCCGCGCACGATCGCGCCAATGATGATATGCCGAGAGATGGAGCGCGACACAATGAAGAAGTCATGGGAGACTTCGATTCCAATCCAACACTACTAATCGATCGGAATCCCATCCAGCCGCCACTTCCTGAAGGAAGAAGCTATGAGATTTCACCGGAGATCATTGGTTTGGTGAAACAAAACCAGTTCCAAGTGCCGAGCAGCACGAAGATCCGCCGGATCCGAATGCCGCGCACGATCGCGCCAACAATGCCGCGAGATGGAGCGCGACACAATGAAGAAGTCATGGGAGACTTCGATTCCAATCCAACACTACTAATCGATCGGAATCCCATCCAGCCGCCACTTCCTGAAGGAAGAAGCTATGAGATTTCGCCGGAGATTATTGGTTTGGTGAAACAAAACCAGTTCCAAGGGAAACCCCAGGAGAATCCTTTGGAACATATTGATGCTTTTGAAGAAATTTGTGGCACCATCAGTGCAGGAGGTGCGCCCAAAGAGTACTTAAAGTGCAAACTATTCTCTTTCACTTTGACAGGGAAGGCTTTGCGCTGGGTTAAGTCTCTTCCAGCTCAATCCATAACCACATGGAAAGAGTACAAGGTGGCATTCCTAGGTCACTTTTTCACAAAGCAGAGAGCAAACTTGTTGAGAGAAAAGATCTCTAGTTTCCAACAAGGGCCGGTGGAGCCTTTTCATGAAGCATTGGAGCGCTTCAAGACTATACAAGAGAGTGTCCTAATCATGGCTATCTGAGGGCAGTCTATGGAACATTTTCTACAGAGGAATAAGTGGGAAGTGTAGATTTTCTCTTGATACAGCCAGCAATGGAAATTTCATGACCAAGACAGTTACTGAAGCAAAGATTTTGATTGAAAATCTAGCCTCAAGCGACAGTGACAACTTCATTGGCATGAGAGAGCAGTGAAGGCCATAAATTCTGATCCATACAGAGATGGATACAGCGAAATCAAAGCCATGATGGCTGAGATACTGAGAAACCAAGGAAGAGAAGTGGAGAGACAAAGAGAAGCTTATAGAGTTGAATCCACAATAATTCAAGATTACTTTGGAGATTTGATTCCAAGTTTCCAAGAAGAAGTAAACTTTGTTGGAATAGATGGATCAGCACATAGAGAAGAAGCTTGGAAAGGAGAGCATGATGTTTTTACTCAAGAATCACCCAATGAGAAGAGGGATGTTCATGGAGGAAGAAATTATCAGCAACCACCTCACAAGAGAAGAATGGAGCCAAGGAGCAATTTTGAAGATTTGATAACTTTCATCAAGAGTTCTCATAGAGAGCACACAGCCTTGATTGATGAGAGATTGGAGTCAGCCTTCACGAGATTGAATGAGAAGTTGGATTCAATTTCTCTTTCACAAGAGACTTGGATCTTAGAGTTGCCAACATAGCCAGCTCTATTAAGAGAGAAGAAGGTATGCTACCAGGAAAAGTGGAAATCAATCCAAGGAGAGCAGCTGTAGCAGCTATCACTCTTAGGAATGGAAAAGGGTATGACCACCAGCATACCCAGATCAAGAGGAAGCAAAGCCGCCATCAAGAAGAAACCAATGGAGTATGTATCATTGGAGATGGGACTGAACCACCTAAGAAGTCCATGTCAGAATAGAACCAGGAACTCAGGAGGAAGTGGAGAAGCCACCTGAAGAACCAAGAGTGTATGAGCCAAAGATCCCATACAGAAATGTTCTTTCTCAACCCAAGAAGGAGAAGGAGCAAGCAAAGCTCAAGGATCTTGTTAGCCAACTTTCAGTAAGGTTACCTTTCATTGATGCTTGCCAAATAATTCCATCTCTCAGGAAGTATATGAAGGCCATACTCACAAGCAATGTGAGTCTTGAAGAAGGAGCAATGATGATTACAAAGGAGTGTAGTGCCATACTTCAGAATCGCATGCCAGAGAAGCTGAACGACCCAGGGAGTTTTGTTTTGTCTTGCAAGATCGGTTCTACACACTTCCATAGAGCACTTTGTGATTTGGGTTCTAGTGTGAACCTAATGCCTTACTCAGTGGCCAAGCTATTGGGCATCACTGACTTCAAACCTACAAAGATATCTCTAGTCTTTGCAGACAGATCTGTTCGCCGCCCTGTTGGTGTTATTATGGATGTTCCAATCATGGTTGGAGATTGCTACATCCCTGCTGATTTTGTAGTTCTTGAGCTGGAACACCAACCTAAAGACCCTCTTATCTTGGGAAGGCCATTCCTAGCTACTGCAGGAGCTATAATAGATGTCAAGAATGGAAAGATTGACTTGCATCTTGGAGATATAGTGATGAATTTCGAAGTAAACAAGTCTATGGAGAAGCCAACTGTAGATGGTCAAGCTTTTTGGATTGGAGAGCTCGCAGAGACAAGAGAAGAAGTGCTGGATGAACTCCTTCTTATTGATCCCTTGGAGCTAGCTTTGACAAAGGCTGAGAATGAGTATGGATACATGGAAAGAGAAGCTCAATGCTTAGTCAAGTTCATGGATTCAAGGAAGCTTATAAAGAGCTAATAGCTTATATGGACTTAGAGAGAGAAGAGGAAGAGCCAGACATTGACAAGATCAGGAAATATCACAAACCAAGTTAAGTTCGACCCATGGTGCCCACTTAGAGCTCCAAAAGCCGAGCTCAAACAACTCCCAGTTGGTCTAAGGTATGAATATCTTGGTCCTAATGAAACATATCCTGTTATTGTTAATGCTGCACTAACAAAAGAAGAGACCGCTTTACTTGTTCGCGAACTGAGAAAGCATAGAAAGGCTCTTGGTTACTCTTTGGATGATTTAACAGGAATCTCACCTGAACTATGCACACATCGCATCATCCTGGAGGATGAGTCTAGTTCTTCAATTGAACACCAAAGGAGGCTAAACCCAAACCTAAAGGAAGTTGTCAAGAAGGAGATAATGAAGCTATTGAAGGCTGGAGTGATTTATCCAATATCAGATAGTGCATGGGTCAGCCCTGTACATGTCGTGCCAAAGAAAGGAGGGATCACAGTCATCAAGAATGAACATGATGAGCTCATTCCAACAAGAACAATCACTGGACACAGAATGTGTGTCGACTACAGGAAAGCTGAACTCCTCCACACGCAAGGACCACTACCCCTTGCCATTCATAGACCAGATGCTTGAGCGCCTTGCCAATCATCAATACTACTGTTTCTTGGATGGATACTCAGGATTTTTCCAAATTCCAATCCACCCAGATGATCAGGAGAAGACTACATTCACTTGTCCCTATGGCACATATGCTTATAGGAGAATGCCTTTTGGATTGTGCAATGCTCCAGCTACATTCCAAAGGTGTATGATGTCCATATTCACAGATCTCATAGAAGAGATTATGGAGGTTTTCATGGATGATTTCTCAGTATATGGTTCTTCCTTTGAATCATGTTTGGGGAATCTTGGAAGAGTGCTACAGAGATGTGAAGACAAGCACCTAGTTCTAAATTGGGAGAAGTGCCACTTTATGGTTAGAGATGGAATAGTGCTTGGACATAGAATCTCAGAGAGAGGCATAGAAGTTGACAAGGCCAAGATTGAAGTAATGACAAACCTTCAGCCGCCCAAGACAGTCAAAGATATCAGAAGCTTCCTAGGACATGCTGGGTTCTACAGGAGGTTCATTAAAGATTTCTCACAGATAGCAAGGCCGCTAACACGCCTATTATGCAAGGATATTAACTTTGAGTTCACAGAGGAGTGTCACAAGGCTTTCACTAAGATCAAAGAGGCATTGGTCAGTGCGCCAGTGGTTCAACCTCCAAACTGGGAACTACCTTTTGAGATAATGTGTGATGCAAGTGATTATGCAGTAGGAGCAGTGCTTGGACAAAGAAAGACAAGAAGCTACATGTGATCTACTATGCCAGCAGAACACTTGATGAGGCACAATGCAAGTATGCCACAACAGAAAAGGAGCTTCTTGCTATTGTCTTTGCATTTGAAAATTTCGATCATACTTGGTGGGATCAAAAGTTATAGTTCACTCTGATCATGCAGCATTAAGGTATCTTTTATCAAGAAAGATGCCAAGCCAAGATTGTTGAGATGGATACTACTATTGCAAGAATTTGATCTTGAGATCAAGGATAGAAGAGGAGCAGATAATGGAGTAGCTGATCATCTTTCAAGGATGAGAGTTGAAGAAAATCTACCCCTTGATGATAGGCTACCTGAAGAACAGTTTATGCAGCTGAAGCTAGCAATAAGCATGGACAACTAGGCCATCACAGGCCAGGAACAAAGATCTCATCATCAAACACACCATGGTTTCGCCACATAGCAAACTTCCTTGCAGCTGAATACCCACCACCAAACTTCTTTGGCTACAGAAAGAAGAAGTTTCTGCGTGATGTAAGAAGGTACTACTGGGATGAACCTTACTTATACAAGAAATGTTCAGATGGAATGTTTAGAAGATGCATACCAGAGGAAGAGGTAGAAGGAATATTGTTTGCTTGTCATAGTTCTAGCTATGCAGGGCACTTTGCCACTTACAAGACAGTATCCAAGGTCCTACAAGCTGGATTTTGGTGGCCAACTATGTTTAAGGATGCTCATGCATTCATATCAAGATGTGATGCTTGCCAAAGAATGGGAAATATAAGCAAGAGGAATGAGATGCCACAGAACTTTATACTAGAAGTTGAAGTTTTTGATGTTTGGGGCATTGACTTTATGGGACCTTCCCAACCTCTTTTGGTGACCAATACATTCTAGTGGCAGTTGATTATGTCTCCAAATGGGTGGAAGCCATTGCCAGCCCTACTAATGACGCACAAGTGGTCATCAAGATGTTTAAATCCATCATTTTTCCAAGGTTTGGAGTGCCTAGGATAGTCATAAGTGATGGAGGTTCACATTTCATCAACAGAATCTTTGCCAACCTTTTGAAGAAGCATGGAGTCACTCACAAAGTTGCCTCTCCTTACCACCCCAAACTAGTGGACAAGTTGAGATCTCAAACAGAGAACTCAAGAGCATACTTCAGAAGACAACAGGCAAGACAAGAAAGGATTGGAGTGCCAAACTAGATGATGCTCTATGGGCATACCGCACTGCCTTCAAAACACCACTTGGTACCACCCCCTTTCATCTTGTTTATGGTAAAGCATGTCATTTACCTGTGGAGCTGGAGTACAAAGCAGCTTGGGCTATTAAGGAGTTGAACTTCAACCTAAAGACAGCAGGAGAAAGAAGATTGATTCAGCTGAATGAGCTTGATGAGATTAGGCATCTGGCTTATGAGAATTCAAAGATCTATAAGGAGAGAACCAAAGCTTTCCATGACCGCAAGATCATCCCAAAGAACTTTGCGCCAAACGACCAAGTTCTACTATTCAACTCAAGGTTGAAACTCTTTCCAGGAAAGCTTCGCTCAAGATGGTCAGGACCATTCAGGATTAAAGAAGTTCGCCCCTATGGAGCAGTGGTACTATGGGACCCAATGGGAGGAGACTTTACAGTCAATGGACAAAGGTTAAAACCTTACCTAGCCTCCACCACCATACCACAGGAGACCACACTAGCTCTTGGCGATCCACCAGATCCTTAAGGAAGTGCCATACAGTCAAGCTAATGACTTTAAACAAAGCGCTGAATGGGAGGCAACCCATTGAAGGTCATTTCTTTTCATTTTCTTTCTTTAATTTTCTTTTGTTTTGAATATTACCTCTCACCTTAATGTGATTTGCTTTCACCGGGACGGTGCAAGTTAAGTCTGGGGGGAGTTTTATTGTGTTACTAATGCATTTTTCTTTCTTTTCTTATGTTTTATTCACTTTGTTTCATGTTTTTCAAAAAGTTTTATTGAGTCAAAAACCAGTCCGGAAGTTATGAACTTGCTTTGAGAATTGAGAGTGTTGTGCTAACAATCCATGACCCTAGAGCAGAAACCAGCTAAAGGCACAAGCCTAACAGAAGCTCTTACAGTGGATCGACATGCTAGCTCAGCAAAATTTCTAAGGTAACCAAGCAATCTAGAGTTAACCTCACCCTTAATCAATCTTAATTACTCTTGTCAAGGGGGTTGGCATACATGTCGACAGTTCCTTGCTTGATTTTCAATAAGATTTGTCTAATCTTTAAAGAGTTCTCCTCTCTCTCCCATCCCAAATGGTAAGTAATGTTTATGAGAAAAAGCTCAAAGAGCACAAGGAAAACAAGTAAGCATGAGGAATGCATATGTCTGTACCTTCATGTCTTATGGAATACCTTAGTCAAACAAGGAACAAGCTAAAGACTTATCCTGTGGTTGAAAGAAGGGTCAATAGAAAAAATAAAATGATACCCTAGAAAAGTAGGGAGAAATTGACCTTTCAAAGTTCTGATGTGAGAAAGAGAGAGGAAAAGAACTCATTGCACTTAAAGAGGCAATCTTGGAGAGGATCAAGTGGGTAAGAACAAGTTCAATTGATCGATGTCCCCTTGATAAAGAATTCACGCTTTAAATTTATGCAAGAGGTTAGCAATAGAGAGTTTGGATTGCTGGATGAGACTAGTTGGGTTGGTATTGTTCGCTAAACTTGCAGGGTGTATGTGAAGCTAACCTTATGTTGTCTATGTTCATAGTGGAATACAGGAAAGGAACCTTTCACAGGATATTCAAAAGAGCAAGGGAGCTTCCACGTTTTCAAACCTCTTTCACGGATCTAGATTCTTTTTGCTTGAGGACAAGCAAAGATCTAAGTCTGGGGGAGTTGATATACCTCTAATTTACCACTTTTTATACTGTTTTAGCATTGTTTTCTAATGGTTTTTGGCAGGTTTTCTATCTAAAAAGGTAGTTTTACTGTGTTTATAGTGTCTAGAGTCTAAACAGGTGAAATGATGCATTTTGGAGCAAAACCATAGGATTTGCACTTCAAGCGCTCCATGCACAAGCACCAACTTTAAGAGGGCCCAGAAAAAGATCTACTCAATGGATTTCATCAAGACCAGTTCCCTGCGTGCTCTGATTGAGTTAACTTTCCAACGCAACTGGAACGGCCTAATTTGGATGAGTAGAAAAGGAGTTACAACCAAAAGAGTGGAGACTGTCCAGACGGCTCTATCGAGAAACAGCGCCCAACCGCGCAGTCCGGCTGGCCGAGGAACGCATGTTCCGCGCTCGGCCAAAACTGTGTCCGTCCGTCTGAAGTCTCGGCCAAAGTCCAAACCACTCGGCCGATCACGCATCACGACCCGGGAAACTAAGCCCGCGGTCGGCCACGCCACAACCGCCACGCCACGCCGCGCGAGCCGGGAAGTAACGCCTCGCGGCCGCGCAACTCGTCTCGCGTACCGCGCCGAACGCTCCGTCCGACCCGGGAACTACGTCCCGCGTCCGGCCGAGAGATTTCATCGGCCAAATCTATCCGCTCGACCACGCCGGCCGACCGTGAACGTCCGACCACGACCGTTCCGACTCGGCCACAACCCGACTGTCCGGCCGATCGTCCCGACCGACCGTCCCAACGCCGCGGTCGACCCGAAGCCCGTTTTGAAGCCCGATTTCATATTTTCAAGCCCGGCTTAACCCTAAGCCGCCTCAAAAGACCTAGCACTATATATATAGCTTTTTAGCCTCTTGTGAAAAGAGAGCCGCCTTGTATTTCGATTTCATACTTTGTTTTATTGCAATCATGTTTTCTTCATCTCTTTGTGTTTTGCTTTGATTATGTCTGAGTAATTCACTAGTTAGGTTGTGAGATCTATCAAAGAGTTCATGGTTTGATAGGTTGTTAGAAGTCACATAGGGTTTATATATCGCATCTTCGCCTCTGCTTGAATTCATTGCTGCTTGCTTTTCTGATCAACTAGCATCAGATCTTAGGTTTCATATACTCTCCAAAAGCTTGCTATATAACCTGAACTAAGTATTTGGTGAGCAAAACTTCATAGACTGCGAAAGTTGATCTATGCGGGGTTGTGAACAATTGGGTCTTGAACGAACTATTGCTTGATTTAATCACCTAGGGACATACCAAAAGTTTAGCGACTAGGTAGATTAACAAAGGGGTCGGAGCCTCGACAGTGGAAAGATCATACAATCGTGACCTGAGTTCTAGATAGCGCAAACCCTAGAACCTTCTAATATCTTGTTAACCTTGAATCTCTGCGAGTTTCTCATTGCCTAGCGTTTCCCTCTATTGATTTTCATAAACCGTTTAATATGTTGTTGATTTACTTGTTACACAATGAAAACCCTAAATCATACTTGTTTTCTAGCTATATTAGACTTGCAATACTCGAAGTGTACTTATCTGCTCCTTGTGTTCGATACCCGTTTACTACTTTTGATCTGTGCACTTGCAGAATCAGGGATAGGAAAAGGGAAGACCTGATCCCGCGATCAGTAAACACAAGCAAATGCAATGAAGAAGACATAATATGAAAGAGGAGATAAAGATAAACAACTTTTATTGAAATAAGCAACTGCAAATATAGAAAGATAGAGCCAAGATCTAGGATTCAAGAGCAAGAACACAAAGAGTGGCTAGGGTTTTCAAAAGTAAAAGACAATAAATTAAAAGAAATCTAAAACTGAATTAAAACTAAAGCTTGGTGGTTTTTTCGTGGCTTTTAGCCTTTAAATATAAGAGGATTTAGGTTTAGGGTCAAAGGCAAGTCAAGGGGGAAGCAACATTTTTCGGGTTTGATTTTGACTTCTCAGCTCGATCGAGTTGAAGCTTGGTCGGTCGAGTCGAGGAACTCGAGCTGGTGGTCGATGGTGGTCGAGCTGGTCGTCAAGATGGCTTCTTCCTTTGCGTATCCAGTTGAGCTGCGTCCATGTACCGAGTCCTTCCTTGCTCCTCACGTCTCATATGCTCCAAAATACTCCAAAAGACCTATTCCAAAGACCAAACATGCATATGTATGCAAATGCAACCTAAAACTTCTATGAATGCACAAGAAGAGAAAGAGAACAAGATATGATGCTAAAGGATGCTAAAACTATGCAAAAGATGAATAAAAGATGTACTAAAACCATGTAAAATGCAAGTACATCAGGTGTACCTCAAAGTAGCAGCTCAGAAAGGGAAAGATAGGTTTGGGAAGATTGGCAAACTCGCAGTGTGCTATATCGGACCATACAAGATCATCGGGAAAGTAGGTATCGTAGCTTACCGATTAGAACTACCTCCAGAAATAAATCTACATCCTGTGTTCCACGTTTTCATGTTGAGGAAACATGTAGCTGATCCAAACGCCATCGAACCGGAATGATAGAAGACCTTCGACAAGACCTCACTTATCCGGAAGGACCCATCAAGATCGGTCTAAGAAGAGTTAGAGAACTCAAAAATCGGCGCATCCCACAAATACAAGTTTTCTGGGGCAGACAGAACAGAATGGTCATCACCTGGGAAGACGAAGAAAGATTTCGAGCCAACTACCGGAGTTTTTCATGGAAGAAGCAACACAAATGGAAGAAGGCGAGCCATCACATACATAGAGAATTCGGGACGAATTCTTTGAAGTGGGGGAGAATGTAATATCCCTCATAGTGACGTAAGCGCGGCCGGAACGTCCAACGCGCATTCAAACGCGAAACCAATCATTTCGCGCCCAAGGAGGTTATTTTTGTTCGATGCAGCACGGCCATACGAATTGGACCCGGCCGGGAAGAAACCTCGGCCAGAAATATTTGGCCGAGAAACAATCAACTCGACCAACAAGGACGGCCAACTCGATCGAGCGGACAAAAAGCTGGCCGAGAAAGTCACTTTTTGACAAGTGTCGCGAGAAGACAAAAAGTGCCTTTTTGAGAATCAACACTTGTTATTTGGGAGTTGGATCTCCAAACTCCTATGACAAATGGAACCTTCCATTTTACAAGTGTAAGAAGAACCAACAAGTGTCACCAACACATTCCTTACTCCCTAAGTAAATGGAATCCCAACAAGTGTCAAGAACTCCTCTACATGCTTGAAAGGTGCCATCGACTATTGGAAGACTTCAACCCACACATGTCTCCTCCGCCACTATAAATACCCCTCCCTCACCATTGTAAACTATTTTTCTTCATTTCTCTTCCTTAAGTTTAGTAAAAAAGTGAGAGAGTGAAGAAATAGTAAGGTGAGGTTCGTAGAGTAGAACGAGAGCTTAGGAGCGACGGTATAGAGTTTGGAGTGTCAAGCGTCTACACCATCGTTAAATCTGTGAGTCTCGGTAGTATAGTTTAGTTTAGTTGAGTTGTTTTTATGAGAATCGATCTCGGTATGGAACATGCGATCCAAAGGTGTTTCATCCGATTAGATCTCATAAAAGCTTAGTTGTTTTTCTTATAATTTCTAGGTTTGCATGTATAATCGAACTCATGAAACATGCGATCCAAAGGTGTTCTCATGACTAGACTACATGACAACTAGAAATTTAGGTGTTACTTGTGGGTAAGAGTCCCAAAGTAACTTTTATTTCTTTATTTTGTTTTTTTCTTTTGATTTTTGGTAGGATTATAATTCAAAGAATTATAAATCTGAGTGCATATGAGACATAGTATTAAAACTATGGGTTCATATGGGTGGAACATAGCAAGGGCTATAGATCTTTTGCATTTAAGAGTCTTGGTGACTCTTAGGATAGATAGATCATTTGATTTTTGGCGTAAATCATGATCTTAGGGCATGTCTTGGTACTCCTCATACCCTGCGGTGCGGGAACTCGGATATACTTGGGTAGCTCCCTTGGCCGACGGTAGTACGACGGTATGAGTTAAGCTTGTGTTCTTGTCAGGTGATTTGAGCACAAGTACCGTGAGTTCCGTGATTGTAACGGATAACGGTGGCGAGATTTCCGGTAATAGTTTCTGTGTGATTTCTAGAACGGATATCGCGTGAGGGGAGTATCAGCATGTATTAGAGGCCTAAAAATGCATATTAGGATGCATTCATAACATGGGATGTTATTGCATGCATATAGGGTCATGTAGAGCATATTGCATTATTGTGTGTTTGTTTGCTTCCGCTTTCTCTCATCTCGTTGGTTGACTATGTGTGTTACCAATTAGATGAGTTATGCGTACTTTATTAGTACTTTGTTTTAGATTAGTGGGGGAAAACTTGTTGTATAGAGGGTCCTAGACTCACTAAGTAACATTAGGTTACTTATGATGACTATTTGTTTTTCAGGAAACCCCTAGATCAACCTGGAAGTACGTGGAACGTAGGCACTGGAGTAGATTTCCCTTGGCTTTTGTAAAATTTTAATTTGTAATGACTTTAAAACCCCACACCTAGTTTATTTTGATTTATTTGGGCATTAGGCCATGGTTAAAACCTTTTTTTGTATTTTAAAAACTTCATCTTTAATAAAATATAAATGGGAATAAAATTATGTTTTATTAAAAGATGGCTTGTTCGGATGATATTTGTTTTGTCCGAACTAACACAACTAATATTCATAATACGGGTTGCAAAGCCTTAGTATATTGGATATTGTGGTAAGGGAGTTGGGCGGGACCGGATATGAGTCAAGGATCCCCTCCGGGACTCAAGTCTGGACTTTCTAAGTCTCATCTGTAACTCGATTAGATTTATTATAGATCGAATCGGGGGTGTTACAGCGACGATCTCCTTTTGCGCTGGGAGCAGTCTCCTTTCACTGGGGGAGTTCTCCTTGTTGATACATCCATAGGAGATTGCGAGCGAGATGCTTGCAGTTCCTTGTGGAGTGGCCGCTGTTTCCGTGAAGGTGGCAGAATGCGTCGGGGTCATTGTCGTCAAGCGGGATGGCGTTTGACGGAACCGTCATGGCGTCATCAGCTGCTGCGAATGATGTGAGGAGCGATCTCTTGGGTTCGGGTCTCCTCCGTACCTCCACGGCATCTTCCCTTGGCTTCGACGGGGCTGTCCTTATATCCCCATGGTTCTCGGCATATAAATGTTTGTCCTCATCGAGGAAGATGTAGTTTCGGGAGCGATGGAATGCGTCTACCAAAGTTGCAGGAGGCCTTAGTGATAAGTCCTCATTGAATTTGGAGTCGTACCAGAGGCCATTGCGAAGTGCTTCCAGAGGGACTCTATCCGGCATGTCTGCGACGTCGCGAGCCGCTTCCTTGAACTTCTCCATGAACTCGCGCAAGGATTTTCCTTGAGCTTTCATCATGGTGAACATGTTCCGGGTTACTCGGGTCATGTGCATGGAATAGTGCTTCATGAAGGCATTAGTTAAGTCGTCGAAGTTATCGATCGACTCGGCGGGCAGGTTGGAGAACCAGACCAAAGCGTCTTTCGTCATGTGCTCGACAAATACTTGACAGTAGTTGGCTTCCTTCTTGTCATATGAGTTGTATCCCTTGTCATAGGTTGAACGCCGTTAGCCACTTCTTAGGGTCTTCTTCCCCGGTGTAGGAATCGATCTTGAGTCGGATCCTTTCACGCAAATCGATCTGACGGAGTTTGTGGATGAGGGGGCTCTCCCGGGTGTCGGCGAGTGATTTCGTCAACTCCGAGGCTGAGCTGGTGGCGCGATGGACCTTAGAATCGAACTCGTCAAGACGACGGTTCATTCGCTCAAATTCTAGGGCCGCTTGTCGGCCAATACGTGTGGGACGAGTTGCGGTTCCATTGTTCATCGCGGCAGCGGAATCCAATGGTTCCTTGTCATCTTCTCGGGCCAGGGCCTCGACTTGCTCTTGGGTCTTCTTCTGCTGGGCTTGCATTGCCTCGAAGCCTTCGGCCAGCGGCTTCACGAGTTTCTCCATGAGTTTGCGGAGTCTATCACTCGAAGAGGATTTCCTCGTGTGATGGCGTCGTGCGGACGGAGGAGGGCTTCCACCCTTCCTTGGTGAAGTAGATCGTTGCGGCGAGGTAGATCGACTTCTTGGGGGACAGATTTGGCTCTGTCCTCGACGTTTAGCGGCTTATCCACCGTTGGCGGCACGCGCTCTTTGCCAAGGTTTCCTTCTTAGCGGGATGGACTCCTGGTAGGGGTGTTTTCTTTCGAATTCACCATGATGTGTCTTGGTAGAAGTCAAGATATCTTCGAGATAAGAAGTGAGAACTCGTGAAAACGAGTTATCAAAGATTGAGTTTAGGAAACTGGGGCGCTTGATTAACTCGAAGAATATCAAAGAAGTTAAAAAAGGATGTGGTCTCGTCCACAGGCTTGACGAGACGAACAATGATGAACAAGAAGAAATGAAAAGAATTCTATCGCCTAGGTTTCTGCTGGATATTTTTCTGGATTCTTCTGAATGAATGGGGGTCTTTATTATATAGTGATGGTAGGTCGGCTCCTTGATGAATATTTTCCTTTTGGCGAGATGGAAAATTTCTTCTTTTGCGATATGGAGAACTTCCTCTTGTTCTTGATTTCCTTCCGTTCTTCGAGTCAGTATGAGATTATGTTTACATTTTCTCATGAATTGTGCATTTCTCCTCAAGTCTTGCTATTTCATTGAGAGGGCTAGGACTAAAATCGGATTGGGCCTTTATGATTTTACTAATGGTGATGGACTCAGGGAAATGTGTTAATTTCACCTCTAACAAAGTTCTCCTCCTAGATGTTTGATGTTAAGTTCTATCAAATTCCTCTTGGTGGGAATTATGTTATTACAGGTAAAAAATTCTTCTCGGGTGTTACTAGGTTTGCGATCTCATCTCATATGAGTTGATTTTCTTCTACCGCTGAATTTCCCTTGCTGGGTTGTTACGTTGTTAGCTGGTTGAGCACCACTGTTATTATAGCAGATGGTGTAGTCTTGAAGATTGTCTTTTGTTGCAGTGAAGGATCCAAGAACTTTCAGTAGAATGAAATCTCTTTGTTATCAGACAAGACTTTCAGTTTTTTTTTTTTCTTGTTTAGCCTGTCATATGGCAAACTGTCTGGTTGTGTCCATTTTGTATTCTTGTTCGGTTACCTCTGTCGTTGCAGGTTGAGTTTATATATTAACCATCGTTCGCACACACACAAAAAAATAGAGCATTCATACAATTACAAAATCATCCAGAAAAATCTGATACAAAAACAGTCTTGATTTTGCTTGCTGTTCCTATGCCAAAAATCAAGAAGATATCTAAATATCTCAAACAGAGGAAGAGATAATATTGGCTTTTTAATTTTGCTTCTATGTTCATTTGCTTCCTCTTGCTAGCTATATCCGTTTAGATAGTTGGCAATACATGCAGCAAATTATGTTATATTTTAGACCAGTCAAAGAATTGGTTACCACGTATGGCATACAATACAGCTGAGAACTAAGGAATCTGCTGTGGAATGTGAATTTATTGACATTTTGGTTAGGCCAGAACCTCGAACAGGCATTAAAAATCAGTTTGACATAAATATTTCTTGATCATGGATTCAGTTTCGAAAATTAATTCGTAAGTTTGTCTAAAATCTTGGCAGTATTTGTACGATTTCCGCTTTAGGAGAGACGCATGGATTCTGGATTGAAATAACTCATAATTTACTAGAGTTGCTTCATATTATAATTTTTCAACCCAATTTCAATAGTTTATCTAAATCAGTTAGTTAATGAATATATATGTATAACACTATATTTGAACCCCAAAAGAAAAGAACTATGACACTATGATATATCATTAAAAGTCTAGTTGATACGAGTCAACTCACATACCAAAAACTCAATTTCGACACTCTTATTCACAGAAGAATTTTGTGAAGTTAAATATATTTTTGACCAACATTCGATCAGTGGATTTTTTTAATTTTGTAGGATATTTGGTACTATTAGTAAACCACATTTAGCACCCAAAAATAATATTAAATAACCACCAAATATATTCGAAACCTGACCACACACAAGCGGCTTTTATTAGTACATACGGATATCGATATGGTTGCCAACTAAATATCAACATTAAAGGGGCCACATTCACACACAACTAGATAGGTTTATGTCAACTAAACCAGACATATATGTAGAATTAAAATTAGTTTTCAAATTAGGTTAGGTTAGCTGTCTCAAATTCTGCACTGCATGCCTTCATTAGTTATGATTCACCACTATATCTTTAAGCATAGAAGTTCGACTATACCTTTCCTCAAAGGAGTAGAAAATGACACTACAAGAAATATGCTCATTGACTGCATACGATTAGTGCTATAATATATGTTTGATAGCGTTTTCATAAACGTTGTGTTAACCGGAGCTATCGTAGGTCAGATCCATATGATAGCACTTTTTCAATGTGCTATTAAATGTTTATCTACTATAGCGTTATTAGAATGCTCTAACATCTTTTGCTATAACACATTTATGTGCTGTATTATATTTTGTTATAACTCATTTCGAGTACTATTAGATTAGATATCATATCATATTTGTGGTGCTGTAGTATTATTAGTTATAGCTAATTTACTAAGCTATGATCCATTGTTTTATAGCAGCTTATTGAAGCAATAATTATTACTATAATGATTCTTATTCGATGTGATTAATATTGTATTTATAATACATAATAGTAAAGGAACCTTTTTGCATATATTGAAAATTATATATATATATATATATCATAATCCACCACACCATACATAAGTCTTAAAACGAGTAACAACACAAGTGCAGCTACCAACAAAGTCTAAGAAACTCTTATATCAGATGATCCACAACGGCAGCGGCGGCGTCCATTCCCAGATGATCCACAGAGAAAGCTGGTGCTACTCCCTAACAACAATAAATCATTAAAGTAAATGTGAGAAATCTATGAAAAAGAAGAGCAAGGAAGTATATAACGCCAAGAGAGGCTCAACATAGATGTTCTCATATTAAAAATGTTAAGAACTTTTCGTTTAATCTGCAGAAACTGTCAAAAACCCAAATGCCGATTCATAAAAAAAAACACAACTTTGGAAACGTGAACAAAGATCTCAGTCTAAAGCAATGAAAACGATCTATAAAACAAGAGAAATCAAACCCAAATACACACAGTTTATCAATTAAGTTTATCATTTCTGTTACTTGAAGTCTGTATGCGCCAAAAAGGATTATTTGCTCACCTTGGATACTTAGAAATTCGCTTGTGGCTTGCTGCTCCATTACCACTATCTTCGGCTTCATTTGGTTCCATGCACATACAATCCTTGCAAAAACCAAAACAGTCAACCAAATTACTTCCTTAGAAATATAACTTTTCCTAATAAACGGCACTGCACCTCACAGACATAGTAAAGTAACGAGAGCCTGCATAGACGAAGTAACGGATTGGTTGCTCTTCTCAAAATGACTTAAATTATTAACCATGTTTTTTTGTTCAAGAGTGATCATTAAGAAAGATGAAGCACTTAACAACCTTAATGACAGCATCTGAAGTAAATTGTTGCTTTGATGAGCGCTCATGAGGGCTATTACATGATAGCCGGTTCACCATAGAAGCTGCATAACTAGAAAATAACAAATGTTAACATTAAATCTAACTTCAGTAAACAAACTTTCACCTAAACCTTGTCACTTTCACATATAGACTTACAACAGCGACATAAATTCAGAGGCCGAAACTACCACAGTTAAACAAACATAGGACAGACTGGGAAGAGATCAAAACCGGTAATCCACTAAATTCTCCATTCTCAAACCTTAGCTAACAATATCTTGGTAAAAGACGAGAGATCATTAAGATCAAAAACCAAAGTTATGCATTTTTAATCACTACTCAACATAAGACCCATACATTCCAAACGATTACCAATAAGTTTAGCAACTGGCCTCAAAGAGAAAATCTAAGTTTAAAAAGATACCTTGCTGCAGGAAATTTGAAGACCATACTACAGCCATGAAGCAGGCTATGGTTTTACTCTTTTGAGTCGATCCTCATCCTTCAGAGTTCACAGTCAACCAGTTTCTGTACCATCGAAATTCCAAGCAACCAAAATCAGTGATTTTTTCTTCTTCTGTTCCCCTGATGAATCACACAAAACTTAGTCCCACGATCTCTCATCAACATAACAACACCACTCACTAGCTTATATTTAAATAATCTCATAAACTGATATAGTCGTCAAGTGTTTTAAATTTTTAGACACCCTAAATTTTCACCTTTAACAAATGTGGATCCAGAAATCATCAACAGTCATATCAACAAGAGTACAACTTTCTGAAACATAAGCGAAAAATCTTAGACCCAAAAGAAAGAAATAGCAAATACCAATCACGACAAAGGATTAAAAGGGATTTTTTTCATAAATTTCACCTCCAAATCAGTCGACAGAATCTCTGCGACATGGCAACGGCGAGATCTACAAGAAAATAAATTGAATCGAGCTACTACACTAAACACATACGAAAACCTATGTATCAGAATCCCAATTTCCGATTCCAATCAGAGGCGAGTTAGGGTTTGGGTAAGCTGGGTCGGGGGAAATGGAGGTGGAGGAGGAGGCTGAGTGAGAGGGAGAGAAGGAGGAGGGTGGGGAGAGGCGAAAACGGTGGAGGAGTAGATCGGAGACGGCGAGGATAGAAGGAGGAGAAGTGTGGGTCGAGAGCTTTTATGGATTCGAAGAGATTTTTTTTTTTGTCTCGAGAACGTATAGAGAAGAAAATCTCGATACCGCTAATTTGTGTTTTTTGTTTAAGTGTTGGCGGCCACTACAGAAATTGGGCTCCAAAAGACAATTTTTTGTTCCCGCTTCATAAAATTTCGATGTAGCATTCTTAAAATGCTATAATATGGTATCCTAATTTAACATTCCCTTTTTAATAGCAGTTACGAACACCGTGCTATGGTAATGTGCTATCAATGTCCATATTTCTTGTAGTGTGAGAAATGTTTTGAACCCGTTGATAAAAAAGAAAACAAAAGCAAACATCTCGAACTTAAAATCATTGACATTGTCATCCAATATTTATAACAAATCATTGACATTGTTTTTCCCATTGTGTTCGAATTGGGGATCCGACATAGAAATCTTTTCATTGTTAGCCTTTACGTACGGTGCGATGTAAAAGAACGATAAGAAAATCAATAATTTAATCTATACTCCAAATATCCTACAATATATTAAAGACCATACATTTTTGTTGATGTGGCAAGCTCACAGTTTTTTGGACTCATTTTTAAATTATTTAAATAATTACATTATTATTCGGGTCGAAAAACGGATAAACACGCGGATCCTTAAAACGTTGACGGATACTTACTTTATTTAACCTGGTTGCTGGGCTTTTAATATATTGTCTTCTATTATGGATCAAATTTAGGAATATGGATGGCCCAAAGTTAAGATTCTGCAAACTTCTTCGTTTCCATAAAATGATCTTAAACTTTTTCTTCAAGTTTTTCGAGTTTCCATATATATATTTTTTTTTTTAATTTTGGTAAGCAATTTCCATATATATATAATCGTCATAGTTAAGGTTGCATCTTATTGCTTAAAATCTAAATACGAATTCAACTTTATTTCCTAAATGTAATATTCGAATACTATATAATCTATGTATGATCCGATTAACAATTACAATGAAAACCTTCTTCCTCAAGTAAATTACTATATTCCTTACTTTGACGTGCCTAACTTAATTGTTTGAGAGATTCCTAAATTGTATATCCCGAATCAGAAGAGAATAGGGTAAAGTGATGTTCATATTTTCTATTGTATAACTACTTTCCTTGCGATAATGTATGACAATTAATGAGAAAGATATTGCAGACAGTGGCTTAACCTAATAGCATCACCTCATTTTTCTATTTAAGCAGAGTATTCTACATGTTTGCCTCTCATCATCCTTCCGATCGAAATATTTAGGTTTGAGTTATCATATGAGGTTACTAATCAATCGTAGGTATGAAGGATCCTTCATCTCTCTCACTACTCATATGCTTCCTTCTTCGATTTGATCTTCCACTTTAATCCTCCCCGATTTTGGTTTCCAGCTCCGTTGACTCCTCTGTCTCTTTACAATCGTTACCACACGAAGAAGAAAAAGAAAGTTTTAACCTTTACTATGAAAGTTCCAACTGTTTCATATATATATATATATATATATATATATATATATTTTGTTTGTTACTGTCCGTTTTCATTTCTGCTTTGAAACTATGAAATCACAAAAAGGAATCTATGGTGAAACCACGTAAGCAAGCAAGACGATCTAGCCCCAATAGTGGATTATGTGTAGTAAGATTTAATTTGTTTTATTATCTATTGGAATTTGTGTTTGTTTGCTAAGTAAAATCTTTATGCGATTATAAATCATTTTTTCTGATCTATTTGGTTTGAAATTAGATGAAATATGCAGATACTTCATACATGGTCTATGGTCTCACATCTGCTCCGGAAATGAAGCTTCCTTACAAGCAAACAAGTGGAAATGAAGATTTTAAAGAAATGTTTTTTTTACTATTAGAATTTTGTTTATTTGATTATTCAAATGCCAAGTTATTGCCATTTTCTTTTGTTAAAGTATTGCCATGTACTATTTGCAGTTTCTTCTTCTCAATTCGAAATAAAAATCATTATATGCGTTACTGGACCAGAAAAACCTATTATTTTATGTCATGTTTTCTTAGTACGTAAGCATTACTTATAGTTTGTAAAAGTATGGATATTTTCAATATATGAAAAGAAAACTATTGCGATATCTAATGTAAGGAGGGGTGGGGAGTGGATTTGAAATTTTTGTTTTGAAAAAATATGGTCTATGGTCTCACATCTGCTCCGGAAATGAAGCTTCCTTACAAGCAAACAAGTGGAAATGAAGATTTTAAAGAAATGTTTTTTTTACTATTAGAATTTTGTTTATTTGATTATTCAAATGCCAAGTTATTGCCATTTTCTTTTGTTAAAGTATTGCCATGTACTATTTGCAGTTTCTTCTTCTCAATTCGAAATAAAAATCATTATATGCGTTACTGGACCAGAAAAACCTATTATTTTATGTCATGTTTTCTTAGTACGTAAGCATTACTTATAGTTTGTAAAAGTATGGATATTTTCAATATATGAAAAGAAAACTATTGCGATATCTAATGTAAGGAGGGGTGGGGAGTGGATTTGAAATTTTTGTTTTGAAAAAAATATATATTGCGGGAAGTTTTAGGAATCAATTATCTATTTCAAATCATTATTACTTTATTTGCGGGAAGTTTGAGGAATTAATGTATAAAATCTTTCAGAAATTTGGTTTTTATAACCATGTCATTCATATAAAATTTAGGAAGGAGAAAGATTTCTATTTTTAGGCTGAAAATATGTAGAATCATATATTTAGAAAAAAAATATTATTGGCGGATAATTTGCAGATTTAAGCTTTAATAACAAAACCCCAACCATAATTAACTAAATTAAAAGTTAACACTAATCCCGTGCATGATGCATGAAATATTAAAATGTAAATTGTTACATAATTTTTTTGAGTGAAATATCAAATATGTAATGGATATTCCTATTTTTTTGTAATTAATGGATATTCCTATTTGTTGTATCGATTTTTAGTTATGCGTTTTGAAGATAGTTTCTTCATCACTGAATTTTTAGCATTTTTGCTGAAGTTTTATTAAATTTTGTTAAATAAGTGATTTTAAAAATTTGAGAAACGAATCACATAACATAAGTATCTTTTCAAAATAAAATTTATAACTCATCATATACTGTATATCTTCGAAAAATAGAATGTGATAACAGGGATAATATCTATTTTTAAAATTAATTTGAGTTTCTTTATTGTACAAGTATTGATTGCAAAAAAAATGAACACATTTACTTCTTCTGTTGTGGGAAATTTGTGGAATCAAATTGCTTTGGGAAATAGTTTTTGGAATAATGGTTTCGATGAACAAAGTTTTGATGGGAAATTTGTAATACAACATTTTCTGGAGATTTGGTTTTTGAAATCATGGCTCTGATGAAAAAATTAGAAATAAAAATTTGCGGACTCATCATATTTTTGAAAATTAATCCATAAAATCAGATTGTTTGAACATATTCTTTTAGATAATTATATATTGGATATTGCTATTTTCTGTTTTTCTCGATTAATAGTTATGTATTTTAAGAAAGATTTTATTAGGCTAATTTTTCTTAGCATTTTTTTCTAAAGATATTTTAAATTGAATTGAATCATAAGCAATTTTAAATATTTTGAAATGATTCACATAATTATTTTGAAAATATTTAACAGCTAAGATGAAAAATAACATACATAAATCGATAACCGAGAATTCATACTGTATTTAAAAATAAAAACCTAAATATTTTTAATCAACAACAAAATAATATATGTTAAGAAAAAAGAAATGAACAGGTGAAATTATAATGTTTTCGATCGAAAACATAAACAATATATTTCTTTTTATATGTTATAAAATATTAATGAGAATACTAAGAAAATAAAGACATACCTATTAGGGTCTATAAAAATTAAAATTAACATAACATTAAAAAAAAATATTAATATTACCCAGCGCATTATGCGCGGGAACACATCTAGTATATATATATATATATATGAAAATCATCATCCATGTGAACTATATAGTTACAAAATACAAAAGGAAATAGTGTCTTGTACCAAAAAAAATTAAAGGGGGTTTAAACTTTAAACTTCAATATCTGTTTTGGTTTTGAGATACTGTCGGAAAATTATTTAATTACTCATCATCAGAAACTGATTTAAGTAATGATGTTAGGCTGTCTTTGTTGGAACATAATCCGGTTTGAAGATCATAAATTCGTTGGACAGCATATCTCCTTTTTTGGTGTGCAAAAGGACAGCATCTCTCTACTTAACAATTAACTAAAACTATTAAATTAAAGGTATATTAGAGAGATCTCAACCACTCAATCTCCCCGTATCTCTAATTGCTTTAAGATTCGAAATAATGCCATTATCGCTTAACTTTATAATTAGTATATATCTAAGTGTGATTTTTAATCTAACGAAGATTATTATTCAACGGATAAAATAGATGTGGAAAGGCAAAGAAACCGAAATAATGCGATGGACAGAAGGCCTAAAACTTGAACTCGATAGAAGGCTCAATAAAGTTATAACGATTGCTGACGAATTCCCTTAGAAAATGTCACTAGATTTTTTGTTTTGCTGATGCACAAGAAGAATTCCGTTACAAAATGTCACTATATTTTTGTTTTTCTGATGCACATGCAGGAAGAATTTCTTGATATTCAAAAGATACTCGATATACTCATATATATAAAGAAGAATGAAAGAGAGTTAAGAATTGGCTAATCCGATCATCTTCACATAAAGATGCACTCCTAGAGAGAAACACCAAAAGAAACACAATTCTACGAAAAATAAAACAAAGAGATCGGACAAAAGTATCATTTGACAAAATTCTTAGTACTTAAAAGTTGATTACCCCGTCGTCGAAAGTACCAACTCCTCAATGAGCTTTTGCTGCAACCAAGCTAAGTCGAAGCAGACAAAGCTATTTACCTGCGGACATATAAACATAAGTACATGTTCACAATAAGTTAGCACACTTTTTTTTTGCTAAAAGATTACATAAGTTAGCATAAATGAAAAACCCTATAATAAAACTAAAATATATGTAACCCTACCTCGACTTGTATAGTGTACATGAGCCTCTCGTTGACTCGTGCGGTTAAAGAGCTGATGACTTCAAGTCCTTGTTTATGTAGAACCTCGAGAACTCTTGAGAGTGGCCAAGCCTCGAGACCTGATGCTGAGCTGCTCACAACCACTTCGAAGCCGCTCACGCACGGTTGCACCATGACACTAGCTGGATCTGATCTACTTGACCCAGATCCGGATCCAGATCCGGTTTGACTACTAGGGCCCGAACAAATCGGACCCATATCTTTCTTTAGCTCGTCTCTTCTTGCGGCAAGATCTTTTATCCGAGTTTGCGTGTCGTTGATGAAATTTACTGCTCCGTTTACATGATCTGACATCGCTCTCTTTCCCTGCGAAGAAAGAGAGCTATAAACCTGTCAAAACTAAAACCCTAGAAAACAAAAATCTCTCATAAATGACTTTGAAAGGAAAATTTTGTATTTAGTTTGAGTAAATAAATATATGAACCTTGATGTATTGGAGAGGTAGGTGACTACGAAGAGAGGCAAAAAGAATCGCCATTTCTTGTCTTCTTTGCCGTTCGATGTTGCGATGAAGAAGCTTCTTCTCTTTCTTTGTTTCGTCTCTTTCGTGAGGCATATGACTCTGGTGCCTTATCTTTCTAGGATTATTACAAGGATTCATGGGTTGAGAGGATTACCAATGGCCAGATCTCAGCAGGATTTCTGAGTTCTCTTGGTTTTACTCAACTTGATAGGTCTTATAGGAGACAGCCCTTAAATAAGTGGGTCTGATTTCTTTAATCCTATTTCATGGAAGCGAAAGAGAAAAAGACTTCTTTAGCAAATAATGCAGCCTTGGGAGTCGTTCTTGACTTTATTAATATATTTTGGTTTACTGTACTAGTTTCACTATTTACACTTTTTCACGTTTGATAAGTGATCGATTTTTAAATCACGTTTAATATCCGGCTTGAATATAGGAGTATAAAGCTTTTCACGTTTTTATTTTTTCTAAAAACGTGACTCAACCATGTATTTTGATCACTCACAACGCACGGAACAACAAAATATAGAACAAAACTAGTAAGTGATCGATTTTTAAATCCACATGTTTTAATTTATTAAGTAGATCATATAAAGATTTATTCATCTATTAAATAGTAAATTTTTGTTTTTCAATTATTTTACAATTCTGATTAATACTTTTATTCATTTTACAAGTTTTTTTTGGGGGAAATTCTAATTCATTAACACTAAAAGAAGTTTTTGTTCTTTTAATCCATTACTATTTTCTATAAACAATATAAATTTAAAAATAATTTAAGCCTTCAAAACTTCCTATAATTCAAACCCAAATATTTAAATTATAGACCCTTTTAAAAAATCTAGTAATGTTAAGAGAGGAACAAAAACTTATTTGAATAGAGTTTCTCATTTTTTATTCCAGTAATTTAGCTATTCCGATATACTTATACTAGTCAAACCCATTACTTTTAACCTTTTTGTTAGACACTAGAACTTCCAATTATTTTTGGCACATAATATCTTACGGTGGCCGGAATCATTCTTTGATAATATCAAGTTAATGTAAATCATTTATCCGTAACTATGATTGAACTAGTTATAGGGAAACCACTGGATCAACATATGTATTTGGTTTTATGTATATTGGTTCGTATTAATTTATCTTTTATGAGATTCATAAGTGAAATTATGTCGAAGGATGACCTAGCACATGTACACTACTAATTAAGGTGTTGAGTGACATAGCAAAGAAAGTGTGTTGGATCTAAGGTTTATAAGTGTTAACGCTTGGATCTGATGAATGGATATAAATTAAGCAAGGGGAAAGAAGCCAATGATAATAGAGGTACAGAATTCAAATATACTATTTAAGGCTATATATTTGCCATTGCAACAATATTTTTATACATTTTTTTTGTCACATCGGATTTGTTTATATTTCAAAGATATGATTTATCATGTAGATCCATTCTAAATCCTTTATAAAAAAATAATGTAGATCCATTCTCCCATATATTGCATGTGATTTGAATATGAGGAGTAAATCTTATATTTCCTCCATTTCATAATAAGTGTCGTTTTGACTCTTCACTTACCCAATGTATCTAGATATTAATGGATGTATTAAGACTCAAAACACATCCAGATACATCATTAAATAGTCCAGATTCATTTTGTCAAAAAGACACTTATTATAAAACGGAGGGAGTATATAATTAGGGAGTTCTCTTTCCATCTAGAGTGTACACACCAGCACAAAAACATTAAATTGTATTTAAAATATTTATTAAATACATGACTATTCATATTTCTTTACACTTGTTTATATTTTAAATATAAATAAAACTAAGAAAAATACACAAATACATAAATAAATTAATATTATAAATATTAAAAGTTAAAAGTTATCAAAAAAATTGGAATAGAAAATAGCGATGGAGTAAATAAATATTTAACTTGAAATAGTATACATTTAACTTTTTATTCAAATGATTTATCATATTTAAAAATGTTATAATGTGTTTATAAGTTTAAAATGTTATAATGTGTTTACAAGATAATAGAAAGCTAATGAGATATTAGAGTTAGATTTTCTTTTTAAAAATAAATAAAAGTTGAGTTTTTATACGTAAATTTAATTGCACTGAAAAACATGAAAACTTGAAGAATTATGATATGTTTGCTTTGAAAATATAATTTATATTTACAAAATTAACATAGTAGAAAATAATCAATGGTCATGAAGCTCATATGTTATCACAACAAAGTAGATATGTAAAAAGTATATATATTAATTTTTTTCATCTTATTTCGGGTGCAAATGCGATTTTATATTATGTTTACTAATTTTAACATTGAGCACCACGCAAGGGCGGGATTATTTGTGATAGTTAAAGTACTAGAGATGCATTTTTACAAACTTATTAAAGCGCTGAAAAATGATTGCGAGTGCAGAGTGGTATGACATTTTTTTTTTTAAGTTGGTTTCCCAAAGGCTTTCTAGGCCCAAGGACTAATCCAACCTGGCCTTGCATCCGGTTACGCGTTATTTCATCGTTAAGGACGCGGCTAGATGGTCAAGGCGACTTGAACCCGGGTGACGGTACTCACAGCTGTGAGTCCATTATCACTCGGCCAAGGCGAGTGCCGAGTGGTATGACATTGGTATACGCTTCTAGACAAAACAAAAAGTGATCGACATTTAATCAAAATGTATGGATTTGTATATTGTGATAGTTGATGAGCAGTTAGCTAATTGGTAAAATTCACAATATAAGCTTTCAAGTAAGTAAGAGGTTGCTTGAATTATAAAGTTTGTCGTTGCTTATGTGCAGTTTCTACTAACTTTTAACCCAATAAAACTTGCAAATAAAACACGTGTATGATACAAATCTATACATAATACATGTATATGATGTATATGATAATCTTATTCAAGAAAATATATATAGAGGTATTGTGAACATATGTATATGTATAGTATCAATGCATGCAAATGTTGGGGATCGTTTTGTTGGAACTAATTTTTTATAATATATTTATATGTTCAAAAATGAAGTTGGTTTGAATGAGAAATGGAGGTCCAAATGGGTTGCTTGTATAGCATAAAATGTAACATTTATGAAATGTCCCATATTGGAAGTATGAGGTGAAATCCTCTTGTATTTAAAGTGGAGAAAAGAGATATCCGGGCTGAACTTGTTTCCGGGCCTCGGGATTTGGCAATCGGGCCAACAGTCTTTAAGATTATTCTTTTGACCATTGAATTTTGTTGTTGAAAAATAGTCAACAAAATATCAGTTCATTAATGTTGGTAACATGACAATTAAGTGAGAAAATCAATTGTGATTTTTGTAACTTATAAAACTAATTGCATGTTGAATTCATTTGGTGAAAATAAAGTTTTTCAACTCCACTTTAATGCTTTACGTTGGTTGAAAGCATGAGGCTATATAAAGCCATGTTCCTCCTCTTGTGATCATATTTTTAATCACACATTCATATAAGAAACAATCCTTTCACTTCTTCTTTTTGTTTTGTTTTTTCTTATGAGAGTACATCACAGAAAACATGGTTCGAAAGCTTATGTATTGAGTGATGCAATCATAAGAAGTATGCAGTTTTATCCTGGGATTCGGAACGCCATGCAACCGTCACACTACGGGCGTTTACAGAATTAAGGAAAGAGATCATATCTCGACTCTGCAAATCCGGTTTTGTTTTCTTAATTCTTGTTTATTTTATATCATTTTAATATTAAGTTATATTAATTTGTTCATATTAATACTTTACATTAATCAGTCGCCCATTGTAGAAATTGCGTTCTTACAATCTTAATTCTGTAAATTTTCGTTTTTGCTTATTGCACTAACGAAAACTGATTTTTGTGAAGTGTTTTTGTTATGTAAACAGGAACTGGAAATTCTGGATTAATTGGATTAATTTTCCAATTTTCTACAAATTTATTCTAATTGTTTTTTGCAGATTATCAGAATTTTAGGAAATTAATTTTCTGTTATTCAGAAATTATTCTGATTATTTTGTTTTTGCAGATTATTAGAGGAAGAATATACGGTTAATTCTTCTTATTTTCTGAAATTTATTTTAATTATTTTGCATAAATTTTCAGAATTATTTCAGTGTTTATATCTGAAAAAGTATTCTTCTATGCATTAATAATTTTTATATTTGTTAAGATTGATATGAACATATGTTCATGGAGGAATTATATTCTGGAATCTATATAATTAATAAGGTTTGGATACTTTCCTGCTTGTGACACGTGGCACTTTCTATTTTTTTTCCCTTCCACCGTCAAAACGACGTCGTTTTATGTTGTAACTTTTTTTTTAAAAAATTTTCGTCTTACACCAAAACGATGTCATTATGGGTCTTCCTTTTTCCCGAAAGTTTAAACCTAAAACCAAAACGGCGTTGTCTTGGATTGGTTTTACCTAGCTCCTACCATTTAAAAAAAAATTTAATCAAACAAAACAACTCGTCCTCTCCCCTTCCTTTCTTTCCCGATGAGGCGGCCGATTTGAAACACTTCCGGCGATTCCAGTTGTCATGGTTTCCGGTAACCCTCGCGCTCCACCACCGCCTTCATGTGCTTTCGAAGAGTTTCTCTTGGGTCTGACTGCGGAGAGCATCACCGTGCGCCTCCTGCGTATGTGGGGAACATGCCTTACCTTCTCGACCGCTTGATTGATTTTTTTCATTTCGACTGTCCCGGTTTCGTTGCATTCTTCAGATCCACGCAGAAGAAGTTACGGTTAATCTGAGGTATAAACGTTCTCTATTGTCTCCGTTTCCCTATTGATGCACCTCAATCTTCTCCTGCAATTTTAGATCGAATCCCTTATTTCGATTGTGTTGATGTCGTTCTAATCAGATTAAATTCCCGTGTTCGTAGTTATCTCAGATTTCGTTGATTTTCACTTTTCTTTTTGCTGTTTTCAAAATGGTTTGTCTCGAAACTTTATCATATAAACATGATGAGACTTTTTCTTAAACTCATTGATCAATCTCCACTCTGATGATGTTATCTCCTTATCTGCAACTCAATCCTAATCGTATGTTTCATGGATTGAATGATTTTGTGGTTTAAGAGCAAATTGGATATGGCACTGTCAGTGAAGCTCTATCATTCATGGTGCTTTTTGTCTTTGTATGCAGAGATTATTTCAATGAATAACCATTGCTCGAGGTTCAGCTATATCATTTCTGATGTAAGCTTCTCCTTCGTTTCCAGCTTTTATTGATTTTATAGTTTTGCGGATGTAGACTTGTGTTTAGCTTCTCTCTCTTGTGCAAATCTGAAAGTTTAGTTTTTGTTCTTCTTCGTTTGGTTTGGTTTTCGTTTTCAAATGGTTAACACAAGTGTAAACTAGAGGTTTTCAAATGTAGCTATTGAGGGTGAACTAGAGGTTGCTATATACAAGTCCGGTGGGATTCTAGATAGTAACTTTGAAATGTGTCTTTGATTGTCGTTTGTGTTTCAGGTTCATTCTCTGACAACGACAATATCGCTGAAAATGGAGATCCCTGAGACTGCTTGGAAGGATGATCCTCACAGCACTCTTCTTGCTATGCATCAGCAAACATCTTCCTCAAAATATCAGAGTTTTCAGCGTTTTACCATCACAAAGGTGAGTGACTCTATTATTATGGTGTGCAAATATGATTCTCTAATGTTTTGAAAAGGTGACAGACAGAGAGATATTTGCATCTTCAGAGGAGATTTGATCCTTGAAGGGAGTGTACACTTAAGATGTATTCTTATCTCCTTCCTGTTGATGTTATTGGGGTCAAGAATAGCTTCACTCCATTTGAGATTGAGCATCACATTTCGGATTGCAGCGAGATTTTTACAAGAATTCAAGGTGAGAGAAGCTTTGCATATGTTTCTAGAGACTTCAAGCGAAGCTTGTTACTGTTCTTGCTTCATTGACTCTGTTTCTTTTTGTCTTGTAGGGTGACTATCCTTTCCATAACTACACACAGCGGTCAAAATACAGAAGTAAAGCTCAACAAAAGTTATCCCAGAGAAACGATCGTCCTCCAAAGAAACCAAAATCAATCAAAGCATTAGAATCAGAGTTTACAGAGGAAACTCACAGAGAAGTTGAAGAAGAAGAAGACGAAGAAGCAGAGGGTGAATGTGAAGAACATGTTCCTGATTCTGATAACTCTCAAGCGTACATTCGTGCACAATGGCTATACGAGCCAGATGAGTCTGATAAGCTGAGCTCAGCCCATTTCAGGAAAGTGTTTCAGTGTCGTTGCGGAAAGCTTGAGAATTCACTTGGATTAGGGTTTGTCGAGGTCTCCATATGGGTGAATCATTCATGTTACAGCAGGTAATATATACACACACACACAACTGTTTCCTTCTGCAAAAACTTAGGTTGGTTATGTAAGAGTGTAACTAAAAAGGTTTTTCTGGGAGTTAGATACGGAAGATGATTGGAACAGCTGTGGCAGTGAAGAGAGAGCTGCTTCCTAGAGACATCATCATACGACTATCTCTCAACAAGTTCACAAGAATCGCTTTGCCTCTGGCTCCATCTGAAGTACTGATCTTGAGAGGAAACAGTTTCCAAGTGCGTAAAGTTCCGGGGAAGTTCCAGAGGCTGGACATTGAAGCAATGTGGGAATCAGAGGAAGTGAATAAGGAGATAGAATTTTTTTACAGAGCGGTGTTGGTTCCACAGGTGAGTAGATTCTTGGATTCTGAGGAAGCGACATGGAAAGTGGTTGGACCATTTGGAGAAGAACGATGGTTTGATCGATGAGGATTTGGAACATTTGAGGAGAGGTTGGAATGAGTGGAAATCGAAGCTGAGTTAACACGAGGAAGACGGAGAATGATGGAGAGTTTGGTTCTGTTTCATTAGCTGGTCATCAAGCTCTGCATTAGTCACATTTACATTTATGCAATTTTGACAATTGTTTTATGACTGATTTTTTTTCTTCTTTTAAATCACATTGAATTTGAGAAAAATCTAAAGTTTTATGCACTTCAAATTGAGGTCTCGCTGTTACAAAGCTATACTTGTTTTCAAAAGAGAACCTCCGTCAATGAAGCAAAAAACCGTACCAAGCTGAAAAGACGGAATGTAAGGTTTTGCTTAGGTTGCATAGGGTTAGGACTAAAGAGAGCTTCATGGAGATGGTAATAAACAGTAATTTGGTATCCCATCCATATCGAGTAACCCATATAAAGAAAATGATAAACAGATATTTGGTTCAATTAGATTAACTTGACATGTAAAACCTACTTGTTTAACATAAAAACATCCCGTATACAATGAGGGAAACAATAGAGAATCCCATCTATACAACTTTTTGCTTTTGTAATCTCAACTATACAACTGGCACGAACAGAGTCAATCTGGTCTTAAGTTGTGGTTACGTTGTAAGGCGCAAGGTTGTGAGAAATGAAATTATTGATTCAAGCAAAAGTACACCACTAATGTCAACCATCATCAAACTAAAATGTAAAGCACATACCTTATGAACTTCAAACTACTTTTAAGAAACAAACTCTTATTCCAAAAAATAATTGTTCCTAAATATACAAAGTGACATTTAAACAAAACAAAATAATATTAAGAATAACAATAAACCTTTAGAAACATAAACCCGCGCATTGCGCGGGTACTCTCCTAGTTGGATTAATATTCTGATTATTTTGCAGGATTTTTGGAGCAATTATTTGTGTTTTAAGAACACAAATTTCTTTGTGACTAACAAAATTTCTTTGCTGCATTTTTTTTTATTCGTTGATAAATGCATTGAAGTATTCAGATTGATATTTCTTTGCTTTGCTAGCATTTAACTCCTTCGTTGCAAAGAAGTTTTGACTTTTGTTGTTAAGTCATTCAAAATGTTTTAATTTTATTGAATATTGCATTGAATATTGCATAGATTTTTGACTGTATTGCTAGTATTATTTTAATAATTAATTGATGCAATTTATTTAAATTGTTTAAACTGTTTTTTACATTGATTAAATTGTTAATTCTGAATTTATTAATTCTGGAATTTTTTTAATTATTTGTTGCAATTTTCAGAAGTGATTAAATTGCTTAATATATTTGATATATTTCTAATATTTTTGGTATGATGATTCAGGTTTGGCTTTTATGCAAATTGAATCAAAAGAAAAAAGAATTTACCAAAAATTAGAACATTTACAAAAATGTTTCTAAAGTGAAAAATCAAATGAGTTGATACCCCATGTTGGGAGTGGTCTACCATTTATGATTTTTTCCATACCATTAGTGGTTGAAGGGTTATTGGTAACAAGTTTAGTGAGTTGACATACCAAATTTATTTTGGTAATGGTCTTCCACTTGTGATTGTACCAAGTTATGATATTTATCATATTGTCATATTAGTGCTTAGTGTTGTAAACACAAGACTAATGTTAGACAAATTCTGTGGAAAAGAGTTTAAAATTGGTTACAAAAGATATTGATCTTTCTAGCCATTGTTTAAACTTAAAATGTGAAAATGCAAAGTGCATGATTTTTGAGTTATCTCAAGAAATGTGGGGGAACATTGTTTACCACATAAAGTTATTGACAAAATGTCATATGAAGTTTTGAAAGGTAAAGTACATTTGTACAAATACCTAAAAGTGTGGGGTGCATAGCAAAAGTTGCAATGCCACTGCCTAAAATTGTTAAACAATTGATCTCAAATGGAGTAATCTTAATAGATTATATCTACTTGAATGACAACCTAGGATCCAATTAAAGGTGTGTCATGAGATCAAATTGTAAAATCATCAAGAGGAATGGGTTTAAAGCCTATACTTAAGAGGAGTTTGATGGTAACCCTACCTAACTGATTGGAGATCCCATGAAATAGGTTCAAGGGGAAAACTAAGTCAAACTGAATCAACTAGCACTGGGAGACTGTCTCTACCCAGTTCCTAGGATGATGAACAGTGCTACCTGTATGGTGTAGAGGATAAGCTTTTGCTTTTAATGATTTGGGTCCATAACTTTGAAATATACATGGAGTAATGCAGGATACTCCTTTAAACAAAGTTAATGGCGAATCACCTTGTGAGTGTGAAATGGGGCCGTTTCTAGGAGAATAAATGAAAGGCTATATTCTCCAAGTTCACTCATGATTATCCAGGCAAGTTCACGGCCAAAATGAACACAATAGAGAACCTGATTCTGTGAGAGAATGAAGCTGTGTTATAGCTATTGTCTCGGTTTACATCAAAGCCCGAGAGGTTCAAGACATCATGTTCACCTCTTGGTCGAGTAAATCCGATAGCTTATGACAGTGATTTGGTTCAAGGCTGAAAAATGCTACCAACTCATATACAGTGGATTTTTCGCTTGTACTCTCAAAAGTCGTTTTTTGAGTCTTTTTGAGTCTTGTCTAGAGAGTCAAGTCTAGAGTTGAGTCGTCCAGTGTCTAGAGTCATTTCTATTCATGTGGGGGATTGTTGGAACTTATTTTTGATAATATATTTATATGTCAAAAATGAAGTTGGTTTGAATGAGAAATGGAGGTCCAAGTGGGTTGCTTGTATAGCATAAAATGTAACATTTATGAAATGTCCCATATTGGAAGTTTGAGGTGAAATCCTCTTGTATTTAAAGTGGAGAAAAGAGATATCCGGGCTGAACTTGTTTCGGGCCTCGGGATTTGGCAATCGGGCCAACGTCTTAAGATTATTCTTTTGACCATAATTTTGTTGTTGAAAAGTCAAACAATATCTTTTCATTAATTTGTAAATGACAATTAAGTGAAAATCAATTGTGATTTTGTAACTTATAAAACTTAATCATGTTGAATTATTGTGAAATGAATTCTCAACTCCACTTTATGTTACGTTGGAGCATGAGGCTATATAAAGCCATGTCTCCTCTTGTGACATATTAATCACACATTCATACAAGAAACAATCCTTTCACTTCTCTTCTTTTTGTTTTGTTTTTTCTTATGAGAGTACATCACAGAAAACATGGTTCGCAAGCTTATGTATTGAGTGATGCAATCATAAGAAGTATGCAGTTTTATCCTGGGATTCGGAACGCCATGCAACCGTCACACTACGGGGCGTTTACAGAATTAAGGAAAGAGATCATATCTCGACTCTGCAAATCCGGTTTTATTTCCTTAATTCTTGTTTATTTTGTATCATTTTAATATTGTTATATTAATTTGTTCATATTAATACTTTACATTAATCAGTCGCCCATTGTAGAAATTGCGTTCTTACACGTTTAACCAAAATCTTCTACGTATTCTAGGCATGAGAGTCGTACTGCTGTCCTATACATATTTTTGGGTCATTGTTCCTGTCATCAACAATACTTGAAAAAACTTAAAACTGTTCAGAGATTTTAACCGAAGTACAAAACAAACATATAAAATATTTCTTGTAGCCCTTTTTCAACCAAAGAAAATGTTGTAAAAAAAATTATTCTATTATTTTAATTAAAATAAGATCAAACAGTAACGTCGCAATATTTTCCAATGAAAATGTTGTAAAGATAAACAGTAAATCTGCCGTCAAGGAAGACAATTTTGGTGAAATCCGTCAAAAAAGACAAATTTAATCATGGGTATAAACTGTAAATAGGTAAGATGAGTGAAGGAGAATGGAACAAGCTAAAAGATATAGGACAGCTCAGACAAATTTGGAACCATATTGGAAGAGGGGGCAAGAAATATCCTAATCGTTTTTGTAGATATATATGGAAACCAGCTGTTTAATTTGTCACAAAATATCTCAGCCTCATGCTCATGGATCCCACTTTCCCAAATTATTTCGAGCATGTTATCACATTTGATGTCTGTATTTATAAAAAACCCCATATAACGTTTGATTTTGTACTTTCTGGTGTGTGTGTAAGCGTTTAAATTCAGATGCAAAAGAAAAGTGCCTAGGTAGATGCAATCTTTAAAATATAGTTTATGAGTAATACATAGCTACCATATGATTTTCAAAATTCCTCTTATTGTCAATCTCTGCGATTTGAAAACTTTAGATTTATGGCTACCATTTGCTTTTCACATGCTTACCACCATTTTTATCTCAATTTTTGTATGAACATACTGTATACCATTTTATATAGATCACATACCAAGAAAAAAAACAAGTTTTTAGACTTTTCCGATTGACGCAAACTTTAAGGCAGCCTAGCACCTTATTGATGTGGGGGCGGCCACATTGGCTGGTTTTAGAACTCCAAATAAAAGTTATTAGACTATCTCCATCCCTAAAACCATGTTTTTGATTCTAAAGAGTTTTTTAATAATAAATTTTCTATCTTAATAACTTTTGTATTGGATCTTAATTTTTTCCTACTCCATCCCTAAAACCTTTTAGAGAGTTCTAAAAACAAAATTATATTTTTCAAAGTTTATGATTCAAAACATAATACATGTTACATCAATAAAATTTGAAATATCAAGTCACATAAAAACATCGGGATTGAAATATAGATTTGCATTTTTTCTCCACCGAATTCGTCAAGGCAAACAGACTGCATTGTATCAATCGCATACCTGAATATGTGAATTCTAAATCCATCAGTTTGGAAATTCACAGAGTAAACCAGCTATATTCATGAGTAATAGATACTGACCTCATGAACTCATGAGCAATTGAGCATCCTCCTGTCTACCATAGTCAAGAGTTCCACCAATATTAGTTAACCGTGAAATCATGTTCATTGGTGAAAAAGAGAACCAATCGTTGTTGCGCATACCTGTCAAACAAAACACAAAATCAAAGCTTTATTGCATAAAGAAATCCAAATGAAAGAGAGTTTGGAAAATAAAAAAGAGAGTCCAAATGAACTTTACATTCACTCTTGTGGCCTTTCTAGAGAAGGTATGCAACAAAAGAATGAGTCCAGCAAAAGCATTGTAGAATCACATTCGCAAAATAACTGAAACAAGATTAAATAAATTCATAACCATTCAGTTGATGCTTTAAAACTACACTATAAACTAGAGGAATACAAACATGTTTCCACAATTCATGAACCCACAGGGAGCCAATTCTGAATTGTCCCAATTGAAATAATCAACAAATTCGTCATATGGGAAAAGAACCTGTAGAAAATGCAAAAACAAAAGGTACAAGTTAGAATTATATATATTGATTTGAAGAATCTCTGTTTCGGTAATCATCGATATCGTCATCAAGACGATTTGCTTCGTTGGTGACGGTGAAGAGACGAGAAAGAAAGAGAGGAAATAGTGAAATGAAAGTTTTTTCTTTTGTCAGGCCGTGATTTAACCAGTGTTTGACACATGTTGGGATTTTTAATTTAGCAGAAGGAGTTTAGGTAAGACTCGGTTTTAATATTTTGTTTGCTTAAATCTTTATTTTAATCAGTTTTTTCCTTTAAAACTCTCTTTAGATCCTTGAATATTTTCGATTACAGTTGACGACTGAGACAGAGGAACCAGGGGCGAAGGCGAAGAAACCGGAGGGACTAAGATCGGCGGATCGGAAGTTGTTGCGGCTTGAAGGACCAGAGAGAGTAGAATTCCATGTATCAGTAGGTGACGGTTTCGACCCAGTTTAGTTAGGGTTAATGGTATAATTCACAATTAGGACTTCCGTTTAATTAAAACTATTCACCCAGTTAGATAAGTTAACTGGTTAATAGAGTAGGGTTTTACTGTACACGTGACTTTTTATTTCAATATTTTTATTAATTTTTTAAATAGTTTGTGATACACACTACCTGCACATCGCGCGGGCCAAGCACTAGTAATATGTAAACTAAAAATCGTTAGTATAATTTTGAATTAGAAAATATATTTTTTAATAAAAAAAGGTTTTCATTGTTATACTTTTGCTGTAACATGTTTCTCAATCAATTTAATTATAGTATTAGTTTAAATAGAATAAATGTCAAAGAAATTATTTATATGTTTTTTTTAAGAAAAATGAATTGTCAAGTAGAGCTTATTATACAGGGAAATTGCAATAGGTAGTTTTAGATATAGAATAATTAACCGACCATATCTGACCACTTTCTACATCTTCTGTTCAAAATTAAAAGACTGTAATGCCCCTATACTTTTGTTCCAGTAAATATTACTCCATCCATTTCAAATTAGTTGTCGTTTTGGGAAAATGTATCTGCAATGCAAAACACGTCTAGATACGTCCAAATATTTGCATATACATTTTGCCAAAAGGACAACTAATTTGAAACGGAGAGAATACATCATTTCGCTAACAAGTTTTTAATTATATCGCTAATAAAAACACGTCACCTTGCTAAAAAATATCACGTCTTTTGCTAACAAACATCAAGATTTACTAACAAATATCACATTATCTTGTTAACAAAGACTATGTTATCTTGCTAACAAAAATCATAATACATTATCACGTCATTTGCTAACAAACATCACACTATCTTGTTAACAAAGATTATATTATCTTGCTAATAAAGATCATAACACATTATTTGCATTTAATTGTTAATGAATTTTTTAGCAAGTTATAGTTTGCGTGTTAGCATGTAATTATTTGAATGTTAGCATGTAATGATTTGAATGTTAACATAATTTCGATAGCTTTGCTAATAGGTAATGTTAACAAGTAATGATTTAAATGTTAGCATATAATGGTTTGAATGTTAGCAAATAATAATTTAAATGTTAGCACGCATTTAATTTGTTTCCCATGAGTCTCAATACTCACTAACTCACACCATAATTTTATAGGGGTAAATCAGGCAGAATCTGGCTCTAACATATGTATGAAATTAATTTACAAGTATTATTATTGTATTCTTTGTTTCCCAAATTTCTCAGGGTATTTTCTAAATTCACCCTATTATATACATATCTATGACTTAATAGAAGATAGACTTCACAATTTTGTGAAGAAAATTTAAGTTAAGTATGGGGAGGATATCTATATATATAAAAGTTGTTTATGTACAGAAAGATGCATTAATTGTTAAACAATAAATGTTTCTTAATTTGTGTAAAAACTCTAAAACATCATATATTCTGAAACAGAGAGGGAGTATATATATTAGAGTTTTAAAACGTATGATGTTTTAAAACTCCCTCTCTGTTTCAGAATGTATGATGTTTTAGAGTTTTTACACAAATTAAGAAACATTTATTGTTTAACAATTAATGCATCTTTCTCTTACATAAACAACTTTTAACTAAATCAACACAACAAAACCCCTTGTTTCTCTCCGGGTCATGACACATCAGCATTTTCAAACATTATGGAGTTGACACCTCATTTAAAACCTCCAACCAATCAAGACATTCTAAATAATGCCAGTCAGCAGTTTTCTTGGTTTATTTGCCAAGTAATTGGTTCGGTTTGAATGTTTTTTTAATTTCCACCAATCCGGTTTTGTTGCATTCTTCTTCTCTTCCACCAAATCGAAGCCATTCGCGAGAAGAACTCTTCTTAGATCCACACAGAATAAATTATGATTAATCCGAAGTCGAAACTTAGTCTATCGTTTTAGTTTCATTTAGTCTATCATTTCCGTCTGGGTAAACACAACAAAACCTCTTGTTTCTCTCAAGGTCATGACACATCAGCATATTCAAACATTATGGAGTTGACACCTCATTTAAAACCTCCAACCAATCAAGACATTCTAAATAATACCAACAACAGTTTTCTTGGTTTATTTGCCATGTAATTGGTCCTGTTTGAATGTTTTTTAATTTCCACCAATCCGGTTTTGTTGCATTCTTCTTCTCTTCCACCAAATCGAAGCCATTCGCGAGAAGAACTCTTCTTAGATCCACACATAATAAATTATGATTAATCCGAAGTCGAAACTTAGTCTATCGTTTTGGTTTCATTTAGTCTCTCATTTCCTTCTGGGTAAATTGATTTGCGGTATCTTTCCTCTGTTGATTAACCTCAATCATCTCTTGCAATGTTAGATCGAATCCCATTTTTTGCCTCTGTTTCCGTTTGCTCCCTTATTTCGATTGAGTTGATGTTACTCTAATCAAAGTGAATTCCCCTCTTTTTAGTTTTCTGGGTTTTCGTTGATTTTCATTTTTCTTTTTGGTATTTTAAAAATTGTTTGTGTCCATAGTTCATCATAGAAACATGATGCAACTTCTTCGTTTTAGATATTGTTAAGGAGTTTTCATATTTTGAGTGATGCCAAAAGTTATAGAAAAAAAAATTGCGTTCATAAACAGAGGAACCTAATGCTATAGAAAAACCCAGAAATGAAAGGTTGCTTTTGTTTCACTTGACGAGAAAGATTGGATTGTGGCGAAGAGAAGGACACGGATGTTTCGGTGGAGCCTGATATACCTCTAATTTACCCACTTTTTATACTGTTTTAGCATTGTTTTCTAATGGTTTTTGGCAGGTTTTCTATCTAAAAAGGTAGTTTTACTGTGTTTATAGTGTCTAGAGTCTAAACAGGTGAAATGATGCATTTTGGAGCAAAACCATAGGATTTGCACTTCAAGCAGCTCCATGCACAAGCACCAACTTTAAGAGGGCCCAGAAAAAGATCTACTCAATGGATTTCATCAAGACCAGTTCCCTGCGTGCTCTGATTGAGTTAACTTTCCAACGCAATTGGAATGGCCTAATTTGGATGAGTAGAAAAGGAGTTACAACCAAAAGAGTGAAGACTGTCCAGACGGCTCTATCGAGAATCAGCGCCCAACCGCGCAGTCCGGCTGGCCGAGGAACGAATGTTCCGCGCTCGGCCAAATCTCGTCCGTCCGTCTGAAGTCTCGGCCAAAGTCCAAAACCGTCGGCCGCGCGCAAGTCACGACCCGGGAAACATTGCCCGCGGTCGGCCACGCCACGCCACGACCGCGCACGACCAAACCGCGCGAGCCGGGAAACGCCTCGCGGCCGCGCAACTCATCCGCGTACCAGCACGACGCGCCGTCCGAGCCGGGAAACTACGTCCCACGTCCGGCCGAGATTTCATCGGCCAATTCACCCGTCCGACCACAGCGGCCGACCACGCATCCGTCCGACCCCGACCGTTCCGACTCGGCCACATACCCGATTGTCCGGCCGATCGTCCCGCACGACCGTCCCAACGCCGCGGTCGACCCGAAGCCCTTTTTGAAGCCCAAACTTATGTTTTCAAGCCCGGCTTAACCCTAGCCGCCTCTAGAAAGACCTAGCACTATATATATGGATTTTTAGCCTCTTGAGAAAGAGAGCCGCCCTGTATTTCGATTTCCTACTCTAAGTTTTATTGCAATCATGTTTTCTTCATCTCTATGTGTGTTTGCTTTGATCATGTCTGAGTAATCCACTAGTTAGGTTGCTAGGGTTACTATTCAATGAGTTGCTTGCATGATCTTTGATTTCAATGATTAGCTAGGGATTATATTAGAGTCTTTGTCTCGTCTTGTGCACTTAACTAATGCTGATTGCTTTACCGCGCATCTAGTAATCCGATCTTAGGTTGATTTGAGCCTCGACAGTGCTGTATCATTCGCCGGACATATTCTTTGACAAGCTAGGTTTCTTAGACTGCGAAAGTTGATCTATCTATATCTAGTGAACTGTATCAGAACCTATTCATTCTAATGCTTGATCTAATCACCTAGGGACATACCAAAAGTTTAGCGACTAGGTAGATTAGCAAAGGAGCCGGAGCCTCGAAAGTGGAATGGTTTTATATTCGTGATCTGTGTTCTAGATGGTTCTTAATATCCCAATATCCCTAATCAATTAATCTATCATTGTTTCATTGATCATTGCTTGCTTCTCTGCGATAGCCCCTATGACCTAGCGCTTTTCCTTTATTGCTTACAACCTCGTTATACTTGCTAGTTCGGTTCACCATTACAACCTCAAATCATACTTTTGTTTTAGCTTGATCCAAAATCCATAGTTACAAAGTGTACTCAATAGCCAGTCCTTGTGTTCGATACCCATACTTCCGCGATCTGTGCACTTGCAGAGGTCTAGGAGTTTGGTAAAACCTGACTCCGCATCAAGTTTTTGGCGCCGTTGCCGGGGACTGCAGCAGTACCTTTGGAACTCGACTAGGATCTAGTCTAGAACCTTTTCCTGTTTTACTTTTCTTTTGCTTTTGAATTTTCAGTTTTTGATTTCCTTTTCTTTGATTTTTACTTTTGTTTTTGTTTTTCCCTTTTAGTTTAACTTGTTTCCAAGACTCTTTTCAGGTGCATGACTAGGAGGTCCAACAAGGACAACCTAGTTGAACATCCAGAGATAGACAAGCTTGAGAAGCAACTTAGGAAGCAGAAAGCCCAAGAGATGGCCGACGAAGCAGCTCGCGCTCACGCCGCTGAAGTGGCGCGCGCTCAAGAAGAAGGAAGAGATCCACCTCCTCCTCCTCCTAATCCACAAGACCCTGCTGGAGATGTGAACGCACAACCCCAAGCTGGAGCACCTACAATCGGAGACTATGACTCTGCCGATGCTTTCTTCATGGATAGAAACCCTATCCATCCACCACCACCTGCAAGGAATGACTATGAGATCAAGCCTCAGATCATTGCATTGGTTAGACAGAACCAATTCAATGGACTTCCAGCTGAGCACCCTCTTGATCACATAGAAAACTTTGAAGAAATTTGCAGCACTACAAGATCCAATGGAGTCTCTGCTGACTACCTTAAGTGCAAGCTCTTTTCATTCTCTCTTGGCGACAAAGCTTCAAGATGGTTGAAGTCTCTGCCAGCTCACTCCATCACCACTTGGGATGAGTACAAGGCTGCATTCATCAACCACTTCTACACCAAACAGAGATCAATTTCTGTGAGAAACAAGATCTCCACTTTCGCCAAGGCAACAATGAGTCTTTCTATGAGGCGCTAGATCGATTCAAGGAGTACATTAGGGACTGCCCTAATCATGGTTTCAATGAGGGAAACCTATGGAACATCTTCTATCGTGGCATAGACCACAAGTACAAGCTTTCATTGGATACAGCAAGCAATGGAAACTTCATGACCAAGACTGTTGATGAAGCTAAGGTTCTTATTGAGAATCTTGCAGCTAGTGATTGTAACAACTGTCCTGATTATGACCGCTCAAGCCGCACCACTACTAGCTCCCCTGATTCTTTTCAAATGACTGAACTCAAGAACATGATGGCTCAAGTTCTTAAGGGACAGCTCAAGCATATCAATGCAATAGAAGGGATGAGTGATGCTAATGAAGATTCATCAAGAGAATGCATGGGAGATTTCTCTAATGAAGCCAATGAAGAAGATGTGAACTACATTGGAAACTATGGGAACAAGGGATACAATCCAAGCTATCGCCCAAACCCCAACATGTCTTATAGAAACCCCAATGTGGAGAATCCTCAAGACCAAGTGTATCCTCCAAGGTATCCACAACAACAAAGACCTCCTTACCAATCTCAAGGAAGTCAATTTCAGCCAAGGCAAGGATATGAGCAGAGATCATCATATCCGCCCAAGGAGCCATATGCTTCTTCACCAAATCAAGCTCCTCCAAACCAACAAGGTGGGAGATTTGAAGGAATCCTCCAACAGATCATGGATGGCCAGAAGAGAAACACTAAAGAGATGTATGAGAAGATGGACACTTTGTTCAGCAATCTCAACACCAAGTATGATGCTGTTGCCACTCATGTGAAGAAACTAGAGACTCAAGTCACTCAAACTATGGAAGCTGTTAAGAGACAGGAAGCTGAATCCAAGAAGTCCTTTTGCAACTCAGCCGCCATAGAAGAAAGATTTGAAGACCAAGTTCCAGAATGGATGCTTTCAAAACCTACTGTTGATTGCATGATTTGGCCTGAAGAGAATTACCCAGAGAGAGAGTCCAATCGAGCTAGAAAGAGAAGACTCTTCCCAAAGATTATCCCCAAGACAGATAACTCAGGAAAGTTTGTGTGCCTTGTATCATCAAAGGTAACATTCTTGAGCAATCTTTGTGTGACACAGGAGCCAATGTGAACATCATGTCTAAGAGGATAGCTGACAAGATAGGCCTCACCAAGATAGAGCCATCATCCATCTCCATCAACTATGCTGATTCATTCTCACAAACACCCTATGGCTTTGTGCCTAATGTGATGGTGCAGATTGGAAATTGCTCTATCCCTACTGATTTCCAGATTGTGGAAATGAGAGAGAGTAGCCATAGACCTCTCATATTTGGAACCCCTTTCCTGTCTACTGTGGGTGCCATATTTGATTTCCCCAATCAAAGAATCTCTTTCAACAAGGTGAACAAGGGTATGTTCTTCCCTATGTGTTCAACAAAGAACTCTTTTGTTGACATGGTCCAAGAGGAGAAAGCTACTTTGAAGCCACCCCAAGAAGGAGAAACTGAAGAAACAATCAAGGAAGATCCCATTCCTAAGCCCAAGCAGCTTGCCAAACAAGCAAGGAGTAAGACTAAGGCCCCTACACCAAAACCGCCCAAGGGATCAACCAAGATTGAAGATGAGGCCAAGCCAAGAAGGAAGGTTAGAAAGCCTAGGTCTGGCCGCAACATGAAGCTTCTATTCCCAAAGGAGCTTATTGATGAGAATCTAGAAGGATTCAAGGAGAAAGTGACAAGAACTCTAAAGCTTTTTCCTAAGGCAGTAGTGCCAAGGGACATTCATGGAGAGATTGTCTATCCAGCTGTGAATCACCCACCAGATACTCATTGCAAGGAGAAAAGACTTGGAGGATCAAGATGCCTCTTGTCTCCATCTTCTCCTGAGCGCCAAGCCTTACAGTCAAGCTAAAGACTTAAAACAAGCGCTGCATGGGAGGCAACCCATGAGGTACTTTTACTTTTCTTTCTTTAATTTTCTTAGTTTTTGTTTTGCTTTTGTGTTTTCTTTGTTTTAAGATAGGATAGAAGGAGAAAAAGGTGTGAAAACACAATCCGCGCCAAAACATTGGCCGCGGACGCGCAAAAGAATTTTGGCCGAGCAATTCAATCTGGCCGACCGTTACGGTCGAGCCGGGAAGGAAAGCTCGTGCTCGGCCGGATTCTCATTGCGCGACAGAAACGTTCGCGCGACGCACGAACCGGGAAGAAGCCGCGATCGGCCGAATCGGAACGACGGAACGCGACCGACGCGCTCGGCCGGATCGTATCGGAACGGACCGACATCGGTCGATCCGGGAAATTCTCTCGGCCAAAACAAATTTGGCCGACCAAATCGCTCGACCGCGACAAAATCCATCGGCCATCGGCCCAAAACTTTTCTAGGCCAAGGTAAGTCCCCTTTTCATTAATTCAAACCGGTTTTAACCAATCTAAACCAACTTAAACCGGTTTTCAATCAAAATTCGAATTTGAAAAGGAAAATTGATAGGATTTAGATCTTATTTACTTCACCTTTCCCTTGAAAACCACAAGAACCTCTCTTTCTTCTCCAAAACCCTAAACTCCATTAGAGGAACTCTAAGAGTTTTGATTTCAAAACTTTTACTGTTCATAACTCTAAATTGGAATTACTTGCTCTTGCAACCTTATTCACTTTTCAACACACAAGGTATGTCTTCTAACTCTAATCCTATGTTTATGCAAGATCGAAAATCTCAATAAGTTTCATGTTTGGTCTAAACTCTTGTCTAGACTTGAAATTAGCATCCTTATAGTCTTGTAATGAACTTGCTAGGTGGAACCTAGGTGGTTTAGAGTTAATTTGAAGTTTAATTTCACAATTGAATAGTTTTTCACAAAACTTATTGGGCATTCCAAACCCCTTATTCAAAGGTGAAATTGCTTGGGCATACTTCAATTCATTAGTTTATCTAGTGATTACTTGGATTAGAAACTCAATTTCTCTTGATTTGCTGAAAATTTTGATTTTAAGCACCATAATCTTGGGATGAACAGTAAAATCCGAAAATTAATTTTGAAAAAGTGAAATTTCTATTTTGTCTCTTTGATTCATGATTAAGCCTTGAGTTGTTCCTTTATTCCATATCATTATTGCAACTCAATTAGCTTATTCTTCTTTTGCATTAATCACAAACTCATATTTCTTCCCAAGAATTTGCTCTTGTAGGTACACCAATGGCAAAGACAAAAGGAAATGAGAGTATGAAGAAGAAGAAGAACCCATTCATGGACCACCAAAGAAGCAAATCAAGCTAGGGAGTAGTAGCTCCAATGCAAGAGCAGCAATACCAACTTCACCACATTCCATTGATGCAATCAAGAACATGTGGAGAGTCCAAGAGAGGAGAAGATGATTGGGCACTTGTAACCTTTGTTGGAGAACAAAATCAAGACCCAAGAAAGTGTAAGAAGGCAATGGAGAAGGTGAACATCGAGCCATGTGTGAAGATGGACACCCAAACCCTTGATCTTCTCAAGATAAGAGATGATGTCACATGGTACATAAGGAAGCTAGGCTTGAGCAAGCTCTTCAAGCTAGAATGTAGTGAGTACTCACAACTCACCAAGGAGTTCCTCTCTACAGTAGCTCTTGCCTTTCCCAACCACAATGGAGACCAACCAGCTGGTGAAGGACTCCTACTCTTCAAGATAGGCGATGCCAATGGGCGCATATCTATCTCAGCTCTATGCCAACTCTTTGGACTTCCCAATGAGACAGCACATGACTTCAAGGAGAACTCAAAGAGGAAACAAGCTGCCTTTGCTGATTGGACACACTTTGCCAATGAACCATTCTTGCCTTCAAGGTCAAAGGTGTCTAGAATCACTCATCCAGCCATTCGCTATGTGCACCGCCTCATCTCCACCACTTTCCAATGCAAACAAGAAGCCAACAAGGTCACAACTGATGAGTTCTACATCCTCACCACACCATTCATCAAGCATGAGTACAAGGCCAACCTTGGACTTTTACTTGCCAAGACATTCATCAATGTGAGGAAGCTAGCTAAAGACTTGGAAGGCAACAAGAAGCTTTGTGTTCGTTTTGGGAGGCTTATCACGGCCATAGTACTGCATGTGGGGATTGACATTCCCAACTATGAGCCACTACCCAAGCCAACCCCTTTGGATCTCCATGCTCTTCAGCACATCCACTTCCTAAACCGTTGGACTAAAGACCCAACTCGGTTTTGCTATGAGTTTCCAATTGGTCCAGCCAACACTTCCCTTGTCTTGCTGCCACATGAGACATCCCAAGCCTACGCTCAGGAGTTGTCACTTTCCAGCCCAATGAGGAAGAGTTCTATGTTCCATCAAGTGAGAAACCATCATTCCCCATGCTCACCTATCGCACACTTCAGCATGCAGTCAAGACTCAACGCCGCTCCAAGAACGCCATGTTCTCACTACTGGCATGGCTGCGCACCAAGCTCTAGACCGTGTTAACAAGCTGGAGAAGATAGTGGAATGCCAATCTCGCTTCATCTCACGCCTAGTCCGCGTAGTTCGCCACATTGCACCGGAGAGACTCTTTCGCCCTTCTTCCACCGCTAGAGAGCCATATGAGCCTGACCTTGGTGAGTTCTCACTAGACTCAGAGCTTGGTTCAGAAGGCGATGACCCCATAGATGAGGAAGAGAGTTCTTCTCACTGCCACACATAGTCATCTCAAGTGGTACTTAGTGCAATGGACACTTACAAATCTCCATTTTCTATCCCTATCTTATTTTAATGAATTTTTCTTTATTTTTCTTTTACTTTGAATATTACCTCTCACCTTAATGTGATTTGCTTTCACCGGGACGGTGCAAGTTAAGTCTGGGGGGAGTTTTATTGTGTTACTAATGCATTTTTCTTTCTTTTCTTATGTTTTATTCACTTTGTTTCATGTTTTTCAAAAAGTTTTATTGAGTCAAAAACCAGTCCGGAAGTTATGAACTTGCTTTGAGAATTGAGAGTGTTATGCTAACAATCCATGACCCTAGAGCAGAAACCAGCTAAAGGCACAAGCCTAACAGAAGCTCTTACAGTGGATCGACATGCTAGCTCAGCAAAATTTCTAAGGTAACCAAGCAATCTAGAGTTAACCTCACCTTAATCAATCTTAATACTCTTGTCAAGGGGGTTGGCATACATGTCGACAGTTCCTTGCTTGATTTTCAATAAGATTTGTCTAATCTTTAAAGAGTTCTCCTCTCTCTCCCATCCCAAATGGTAAGTGATTTATGAGAAAAAGCTCAAAGAGCACAAGGAAAACAAGTAAGCATGAGGAATGCATATGTCTGTACCTTCATGTCTTATGGAATACCTTAGTCAAACAAGGAACAAGCTAAAGACTTATCCTGTGGTTGAAAGAAGGGTCAATAGAAAAAATAAAATGATACCCTAGAAAAGTAGGGAGAAATTGACCTTTCAAAGTTCTGATGTGAGAAAGAGAGAGGAAAAGAACTCATTGCACTTAAAGAGGCAATCTTGGAGAGGATCAAGTGGGTAAGAACAAGTTCAATTGATCGATGTCCCCTTGATAAAGAATTCACGCTTTAAATTTATGCAAGAGGTTAGCAATAGAGAGTTTGGATTGCTGGATGAGACTAGTTGGGTTGGTATTGTTCGCTAAACTTGCAGGGTGTATGTGAAGCTAACCTTATGTTGTCTATGTTCATAGTGGAATACAGGAAAGGAACCTTTCACAGGATATTCAAAAGAGCAAGGGAGCTTCCACGTTTTCAAACCTCTTTCACGGATTTAGATTCTTTTTGCTTGGGACAAGCAAAGATCTAAGTCTGGGGGAGTTGATATACCTCTAATTTACCCACTTTTTATACTGTTTTAGCATTGTTTTCTAATGGTTTTTGGCAGGTTTTCTATCTAAAAAGGTAGTTTTACTGTGTTTATAGTGTCTAGAGTCTAAACAGGTGAAATGATGCATTTTGGAGCAAAACCATAGGATTTGCACTTCAAGCAGCTCCATGCACAAGCACCAACTTTAAGAGGGCCCAGAAAAAGATCTACTCAATGGATTTCATCAAGACCAGTTCCCTGCGTGCTCTGATTGAGTTAACTTTCCAACGCAACTGGAATGGCCTAATTTGGATGAGTAGAAAAGGAGTTACAACCAAAAGAGTGAAGACTGTCCAGACGGCTCTATCGAGAATCAGCGCCCAACCGCGCAGTCCGGCTGGCCGAGGAACGAATGTTCCGCGCTCGGCCAAATCTCGTCCGTCCGTCTGAAGTCTCGGCCAAAGTCCAAAACCGTCGGCCGCACGCAATCACGACCCGGGAAACATTGCCCGCGGTCGGCCACGCCACGCCACGACCGCGCACGACCAAACGCGCGAGCCGGGAAACGCCTCGCGGCCGCGCAACTCTCCGCGTACCACGGCCGATGCGCCGTCCGAGCCGGGAAACTACGTCCCGCGTCCGGCCGAGATTTCATCGGCCAAATTCACCGTCCGACCACAGCGGCCGACCACGCATCCGTCCGACCCCGACCGTTCCGACTCGGCCACATACCCGATTGTCCGGCCGATCGTCCCGACGACCGTCCCAACGCCGCGGTCGACCCGAAGCCCTTTTTGAAGCCCAAACTTATGTTTTCAAGCCCGGCTTAACCCTAAGCCGCCTCTAGAAAGACCTAGCACTATATATATGGATTTTTAGCCTCTTGAGAAAGAGAGCCGCCCTTGTATTTCGATTTCCTACTCTAAGTTTTATTGCAATCATGTTTTCTTCATCTCTATGTGTGTTTGCTTTGATCATGTCTGAGTAATCCACTAGTTAGGTTGCTAGGGTTACTATTCAATGAGTTGCTTGCATGATCTTTGATTTCAATGATTAGCTAGGGATTATATTAGAGTCTTTGTCTCGTCTTGTGCACTTAACTAATGCTGATTGCTTTACCGCGCATCTAGTAATCCGATCTTAGGTTGATTTGAGCCTCGACAGTGCTGTATCATTCGCCGGACATATTCTTTGACAAGCTAGGTTTCTTAGACTGCGAAAGTTGATCTATCTATATCTAGTGAACTGTATCAGAACCTATTCATTCTAATGCTTGATCTAATCACCTAGGGACATACCAAAAGTTTAGCGACTAGGTAGATTAGCAAAGGAGCCGGAGCCTCGAAAGTGGAATGGTTTTATATTCGTGATCTGTGTTCTAGATGGTTCTTAATATCCCAATATCCCTAATCAATTAATCTATCATTGTTTCATTGATCATTGCTTGCTTCTCTGCGATAGCCCCTATGACCTAGCGCTTTTCCTTTATTGCTTACAACCTCGTTATACTTGCTAGTTCGGTTCACCATTACAACCTCAATCATACTTTTGTTTTAGCTTGATCCAAAATCCATAGTTACAAAGTGTACTCAATAGCCAGTCCTTG